TATCTATAAGTTGAAGGGATAATGTTAGTCAAAGTGAAAGTAGAGCTCCATTCATGTCTCAGGAGAAAACGGGAAAATTCGTTCAGACACGGTCAGAACAGTGGGGTAATCGAACCAATATCAATAATGCAGGGAAAAAGGTGAGTTAGATTCTTCGCAAGGTGAATTATTGAAAAGTGCTGGACAAGTACATAAACTTCCACACAAATTTGCAAATTTACACAATGACTTCACACGCTGTTCACAAATTGGTTCCTCATTTACCAAAGAGTGCATTCAAATCACAATTATGCCACACAGAAGTTGTAAAAGCGATCGCAAATATATTCTGCATGTCATCGTGTTTGATTATGGAAATGTGCTCAATCTTTTATCTCAAGTATAAAGTTTATCACTGTAATTGGATGTTTTCACTCAAAAATATGCCATCATTTTGCCCCACAACAGTGAAACACTTGCTTAACGAGCAACGTGACGCGAGATACTGAACTCTCGACGGTTCAACCGAAAATATACCGGAGGCAACACTCTCTCGTATATCCCATTCACATCCGATCCCTTACGATGACGATGATGATGACGGCGATGAGCAACAAATACTACCCCTCACGGTGGCCCCGAAGGGAGCGCAGAGAGCAGAGAGGCGAGCCAAAGAGAGACGCTCTCTCATTGATGGGGAAACAGAGGGAAAGAAGTATTTTCATGACATCATACATTTCATGTGCCGAGAGAAATTGGCAATGTGTAAAAGGAAATTTTCTACAACTCCCCCTCTGTGATATATTTGTGCACACAGCGCACAGCCTAGGTGTGTGTGCATGAGAGCATCTCATCCTTTTCTTGCTTATGTACAAATCGATGTAATGGAATTTCTCTGTATACTTTTATATGCCATATATTGTACACTTCTCACACTACTTATGTACGCCACGTTACTCAATTATAACCACGTATATCTGTACATGACTGCCAACAAATCTGGCATAGAGTAGAGGCGAGAGAAGGAAATTCACCCCTAAAATGTCTCTCACTTTTCCCGAAAAGGTGATTGTTGGGGAGAAAAATTTAATAACTCAAGTATTTGGTGGAAAAAAGAGGCCCTTTTCCCAGCCCCACTGACAGTAAAATTGGTCCTTGGCAAGTGTTCGTGGGTAACTCTTTCACACAAAATGAATTGTAGCCTCTCCGAAGATTCTCCAGGATGTTAGGAGGCAGAATGCCTCATTGCTCCTTCCGTGATTGCCTGGGATGGAAACCATAAATCACGGAGCGACTATATCATGCCACAATTCGGTTGAATAGTGGGATATTACACTAGGGAATTTTAATTTCAGTAATTGATTTCCCCTCGTGCTGATTTATCACACGTTCTGGCTGCTGGAAAAACCATTTTCGTCATATCTAAATTAAATTATCCTTTGTTGTATTTGCCCTCCGAGCCATTGTGAATATCATATCATTAGAGAGAGGCTTTCTCTCTGTCAATAACACCCCCCGCCTGACGAGAGTAAACAGAATCATGCTGCCGGGATCTAGTGTAGGTATATTTCATAAATTTTACAACAATAGACACCAGAAGAATGTCGTAAGGACATGAAGCTGTATCTCAATTCTCTGCCGCACGCCCACACTTTTCCTCTCTCCTTATCGTCCATTTAATGGGCATATCGATTTGGTCATTCTATGTCATAAGACATTTTTTTCCACACCATAAATGTCGCTGATCGCCTAATGCTCGTTACACATTCTCCGCAGTGAGTCTGAGCACTTGTACTTAAATTCCACATTTCTCCTCACTGATGAACCGGAATATTTCCGAAGCTCGTGAGCTCATTTTTCATCGCCCACACTTTTTGCAAAAATTCTCTATGCACGCCAAGAGGATTTCAGGGAACCTAGCAATACACTTCTGCACACTCTTTGTGTACAGAAAGAGTCCTACAAACAGGGGAAATATTTGATTTCCCGCTTCGAGCAGTACATGCAAAGCTTTCAAAGGGCTTTGACACTTAATCCACAGCGAAACTTTATGTTTCTGCATTTATTTAAGTCATATATTCCGTAAAAACTTGAACATGTTGCAGTATAATATTGTTGGCTCAATCACCTACACACTGTTCCTCTATTTGACTTCATGTTTTCCTTCAGTTTAATGATAATTTCACATGTTTTCACATGCCATACAATTTAATCTAATTTTAGTGACAATTAACGAGAAACAAATTTACATTCTACGCTTTCTATCCTCATGCTATGATAACTCAGTTACCAGAGCGACCAATTGAAGCGACGACATGAGCATACATAACATATGTATTTGGGGAAGACGAAGCAAAATATTTCGCATAAAAAAACAAATGGGTATCGAAAATTGCTATCAAAAAATAATATAAATAAATAGCTATATACTTTGATCTTCAATTTTTTTCGCAACACACCCTGAAAATTAAATGTTTACACAAATTCAAATATCAATATAATCGATTGTTGTGCAAATAAGAAAGGTACACAAAGGTGGATAAACAGGACACAGGGCTTCCTTTTTCAAAACTCATTAACCATATTGATTTTTGACATATTCGCATTTTGCACGGAAGCCTTTGCTGGCAAATAGACACACGCTCAGCCAAAGGGATAATTAGAAATAATTAGGTGTTAAGTGAAAAGGCGGGCGCCTTCTCAATTAATTACACCCATATAAACCCTTAAAAATGATTAATTGTACTTGTGTAATGATGCATAATTAAATCTTCTCGCCTAATGATATATTCCTTGACAGTACATTTCAACAAATCTCTCTCAGCTCTACCTTAAGTGTGTCGCTTTATGTACACAACACGCCTTGCTTATGAAGTCTTCTTCTCACGCTTTATCCCACTAGCGTGAAATGTCAGTCACAAGAAGCCTAATTAAAAAGAACTTAAGTGTAATTTCCACCTTGCCGAGGCTTCGCCTATTTCTCGTCCCTTCATTAATATAAATATGAGGATGACACTGTATGTTAGAAGAAGAATACTTTGCGAATGGCACGAAATTTCACCTGTGCGCCACAGAATCACTTCTCACAATTTAATGAAACTAAACTCCTATGAGGTCATGTGGAAGGAAAAAAAAGCATAACCATGCAAATGGAAACTTAGTCATTTTCATCCCTGTCGCTTTTTCCACTCCGTCGAAGGGTGAATTTATGTGTTGACATGGCAAAAAAAACTCATTTGGAATCAGTCAAAGAAAACCACTTGAATTCCACATTCTAAATTAAATATTTTTCACTCACTGTGAGCTTGAAGGAAAACATTTTCATATGTGGAGGAATTTCACGAGAGTTCTGTACAAAATATTAGTTGGAAATATTCTCAAATAAAAACAAAAAGTTGCTCTTTCTCTGGATAAATCTACACATTCACAATATAAAGTGAAATATTTATGTGCATTCTGTAATGGAGCATGATTTAATTTCCATGGTCTAATGCGAAAATATATCACGCGAAATACTTATAAGCGAAAAGGGGATTTGCCTTCTCCTACACAAGAACAGCACGTGAAGTTGTCGAAAGTGATTATGCTGCCGTTTGATGTGTCAAGAGTGAGAATTTATGGGGGAAATTCTTAAAAACATCCTCTCCATAATACCCACAATCTTAAACGATTTCCATTAATTATGACTGACACGGTGTTAATGCCACACTTTTCGTATGCAAAGCCCTATATCCCCTTAAAAGGCTTTTAGCACGGCAAAATCTCCCGTTCAGACTCGGCGGCCCACAATACACCTCTTACAAATTTGTCAATAAATTACCTGGAGGCAAAATAAAATATTCTCACGACAGCAGGTTTCGGGGGTGAAATAAAATTATAATTGACTTTTTGGGGATGGTCCTAAAAAATTCCCAGAAATCGCCGCGCATTAAACATCAACCCTTCGCTGTGACGATCGTCCAAGGTAAACATCTCTTATGGCTCATACATCACTCAAAAACCTTTCTTTTCGACACGTCTGCATCTTTTCCGTGTGTCCTCGCATAAGAGATTTATTTGGTTATTTATGTCAATATTGAGTGTACACTATTTAAGCGAAATACGCTTCGTGCGCTCAATGTTGTCAGGCATGGAAAGTCAATGGCAGTAGTGCAAGTAATTCTATGCCAGAAAAACGATATGGAAACTTAAGAACCGCCCAGGGGAGTAAATTTCTAAAGTAGCGGACAACTTCACTAATTTTTACCGCACTTTTCTCCATGGAAAACATCTCCAGAGATTCACTTTTATACACACACTGCTCAGCATCCCTCGATGCCTTCGCCATACATTAAACTTTTAAGCTATACACAATGACAAGCCGATAAGACTTTCTCCTGTATGGGGTTGACAAGTCACATACAGCTTTCTATGTGTATAAATGAATGTGAAGTGTAAAATCGGATTACGAAAGTCAACAATTCCCTGATCACAATAAATACACTCAAGCAACGCACTGGAATTCCAGGGAAAAACCTCCATAAGCAGAATATCCATGTACATACGTAAGAAGCTCACGTGTAAATACATTTTGGAAAATATTCGCATATTTCTGTTATCAATTCTAGTACATGTAAATACACAAATGTCGCTCTCACACCCTCCATGATAATTACCTCACTCGTGCGGGGGAGAAAAGATGACATTCACCATGGGAAAAAGTCCCTGATAGCGCAACCCTCATATAATAAATACTTCAAATTATATCTTCGAGAAACATGTTGAACCTCAATAAAAGTTGTTTGGAAAAACGCGGCCCTTGTATATTAAAAAAAAGAATGTTTATTTGCACACTTTTTACAGTGCCGATGTATAACAGTGGCCAACAGACGTGAATTGTATGGTGTGTCATCTAATTAAAAGCAGCCATAACAAAAATCCGTCCGAAGCCATTAAAATTGTGAGAAATTCCCTTATGAAATGAATTGTAAAGGCTTCCTCACCCTCAGCCGGCAAATAAATTCTGAAACTCATATAGTCGCGCAGAAGAAGCATTGGAAACAGTCACGAAAACTCGGGAAAGGCAAGCAGAAGTTCTGTGTGGTGAATTCACACCCCATAGCAAAAATCAATATCAAGAGCATTCGCAGAAAATTGCCATCAATTCGCGATGAGTGAGAGAAAGTATAGAAGACCATTTAATTTGCAAATGTGATGCAATGACTATGCAAAAGTGTCTTCAAAACGACAAAAATACGGAAGTTTGTGTCTCTCCGCTGTGAACTTTCTCAACTGACGCTCAGTCAAATTAATATTGATAAAAGTGGTTTTCAAAAGCAATTTGGGAGCAATTTTGCCAGTGCTGCCAAATAAGATAACATTGTGCTAATAGAATTGGCCTGGCTAGCTTGTTAACACTTTGCATTGTAGTGCAGAAATCTCCAGAGATGGTCGATTTCCCCAACCAGCCTCTGATATCAAATACACTTCTGTTCTATTCAAGAAATTCCTCCTTTCCCTCTAGCATAAGACAGGCTTAAATCACAATGCTTGTCGCCAAACTCACCGCAACCCTTTCTAGAATGTCCCATGTTTGCCTGATGGGCTCAGAAATGCGATAATCGCTATCTCATATCGTTGACAATTTGTTGAGGCATTAGAAACCATCCAAATGGGTAGGTTTATTGATTAATTCGTTGGTATGTCTGTGAATATTATGATAAATATTGGTCATTTAGCTTCAACACTTAATTCATCTCCCTCTCTCGCTCATTGAAACTCCAATTTGTATTATAAATGCCACAGAGCTTAATTTAGATTATATTTCCATATTGTGCTACATTCAGCGCCCTTTCCCTTTATCAAAATTACACAAAAGCACGAAATTGCGTCTAGTGTGTGCCGTATTTCAAATAAATCACTGCTACATTTATCCACGTAGATGACTTCAAGCCAAAGCAGAAAGCGCCGCAAAGGGAAAATCAGTGGCACAAAAGTAAATGAAAGTAGTTCAAATGCAGACAATATTGAGGAGCAACTTGCAATGAGAAATGAAATAGATGACGATCCAAACTCGGGATTTGCTAGCTATTTGAAATCAAGTCAAGGTAATTTCACTTCAGCAACTTTGTGAACAGTTTTGAGGACTTGAGAATGACTTGCGATGGTTTTCGCCTCTCAAATGTGTTTTGGCCGCTGAGTTGAGGAAAGCAAGGAACAATGCCATGAATTTGGTGTAGTTTGACTTCGTCTAGGAAATAGTGAACAAGAGCACCAGAAGAAGCAAAAGTGGGCGGGGCATTCGCATGGGCGTGGCAAATAAATCTTGATGCTTCCGAATCTTAAAAAGCAAGGCGAGGTTAACGATGATTATTATGTTAGAACAAGGAATGAAGAAAGGAGGAATTAGATTTACGTTTCTGAACGTTGTTCTCGTGTGTACTAAAAATTTAACAAACTCTTTTGCCCTTTATTCTTAGCAGACTGTGACAATGTTCTCTTCAATTGATTCTTTTGTAGGATTGGACATGATGCGACTATTCGTGGTGGCAAACTCACTTGTTGTATTCATCACGATGGCTTGGCCGAGCATAAAGGACACATTTGAGATCATCAGGGATTTCATCTATGGTGAAAATCTTGAAGATATCTAAACTCCGTCCAAGTGTTAGTTGCGAACGATGAAAAGAAATGTCAGTGAATTGAGATGTTTCCCATTAAGATGAGGGCAAACGCATGTCAATTAAGCGGGGACATAAGCGCGATTATTGTGGCAAATATTAATTAAAAACAATTATCGTGCATTACCACAGACTCTGGGTAATTAAATACAGTTTTATGGTGTGTCTTCGCATTCTTTCACACATCATAGCCCAAAATGATTGGTGTGGCAGTACGGTACTTCCTCTTTTTCGGAATCATGTTTTGGTATAGCAGTGGAATTTGGAATTTAATAAACGACTACTTCCAGCAGCAATTTAAAACTTATCTCGCTGAAGAAATGAAAGTTAATCGAAAGTTGCCAGCGGATTCGCATGTCGCTGGAGGAAATCCCTTCAATCAGCGTGCGAGCACTGATGATGATACCTTATCAATCAAGCGTATCAACGAGTTGTCACTGAGCAACGTGAGTGATAATGGAAAAGCTGGTGAAAGCGTCAAGGGCAGAAACTTTCTGCGTGAATCAGTGAGGTCATCAGCACGCACTAATGACGATAATGAAGGCAATACATGCGATATGTCTCGGGAAAATTGGTGGGCATCAGCATCCAGCAGAGCCGGCGAGGAAAATATGTGCAGATTGTGATGGAAGAGAGGAAATCCGGCCACTTTGAATAGCCATCGACTGATATGCAACAATTTATCAGGTATGAAGATTTGCCTTATTAATTAAGTGAGAAATTATTGTGGCATTCAATCTTCTCTCTCTTCTCGTCTTCTCTTTAGAAATCAAAAAGCCATGAGATTCACAAAAATATTATGCTGATGCCTCGCGTCGAGAGAAAGAGTGATGAAAAGTGGAAAAATCAACCAAACGACTTTAAATAAATATTGTGTAGACAAGGAGATAATGAGTATCGGAGAGAAATTTTTAAGTGAAAACTATGCCAACAGCCACAATATAATTTCATTATCATCGACAAAACTCGCAGCTCATCGTCTTGTGATTGTGAGATGCCATATAAAAACATTTTTCCTTTCAACTCACTTTTCTTCTGCGCCTCATGTTGAGCAATTCAGAAACAATAAAAAGCAAATTGCTCTCCCACCTTCGCGAACACTGACATTGAAAAAACATCCCAGTCAGTGTAAGAGAAATTGTACACGTGAGAGAATAAATTGAAAAGTTGGATGGAAATGCAATTAATTGTCGGATATCCGATTTTTATTGCAATTGTGTGCACACTTATGAGAAGGTTTCATTTTCACTCATGAATGCTTTCGTTCTTCCTCCTCTTCAAATAAACGCACACATCTCGCAGAGCCCAGAAAGTGGGTTAAAATATAATCATTTTTTTTTAGGTGCCGCAGCGCAATTGCGGAGTATTGTATTATTTCACGGATTCATGACTGTGTCTCTCGTGTACGAAAGAGGAACACTTCAAATTGAGATCATTGAGTTCGACACAGATTCCAGCCACCAAATATTCTTCAATGCAATCGCCTCGGCGTTGTTTGCCTGCTCAAGGCGCGCATTATGTCACTCTTCGGCTCGACATGGACAAAAAGTAACGCCAAAGTAACGCGGGCGGGCGGCCAGTGCGCAATGAGACGCACCGCAGTTAAAGAGCATGAGACATTCAGCTGTGATACATACATACATAGCGTGCTACCTGCTGAATTGCCAAGAATTTCGGCACTTCCCGCGAATCTACACGCGCAATCCTTGCAGGCAATGCCTGCTTCGCATTCACACTGCATCGCAATTCCCTTTGGATTCATGACGACCGAAGTGGAGCACAAATTGTCCAATTGCCCAATAACATGTGTACAAATCAATACAGAAACATGCGACGCATCCCAGCAAATGCGCCAGATCAATTTAGAGTTCAATTTCTCCCCCAAAACCATCGCAACTCTAATGACTTTCTGTACTACTGACCTTTTTTCCCGAGTCTCCACGAAATCAACAGGTTTTCAGATAATCCATCCGAAATAAGAAAGTGACATTTCACACAAAAGAATTGAGATCACACAGAAGAAAGCACCCCAAATCACTGGATATTCCACCGAATCTTTGCACAAACGCTTATCACACACCAACCACTCGTCGATATTTGCACTTATCTGCTGGATTTATTGCAATTTTTGATAATTAGAGCACCATTTGACCGTTATTTGACTGATGCATGACGCTCACAACAAGCGAGTGAGGCGAAGAGAAAGAACCACCAGAGAAAGAGAGATTCGACAAGATCCCACCGCCGCGCTTTGACGTTCGCGGGTAAACCGTAAAAGGCAGGCGGTTTGTTTTGTAGAGTTTCGCTCTCTTGTAACTCTTTAAATTGCATAGTTTGTGGCGCTAATCATCCACAATTTGGATAGGCGCCAAGGCAACAGATTGCTGAAAAAGGGCAATTTGATTAACCCATCATGAAATGCACATTGGGAAATAGAATATTCAGAAAAATGCGGGTGTTGAACTCTGCGCATTACCCTAAAGAGTGATTTAACAGTCCACAATGCTTTATGGTTTTTTTTCCAGCCTCACGATCCCAACCATGCAAACCTTTATCGATTTTGAGTGGCAAAATTCAGTGTAAATTTCTGCCTCTGGCTAATCTTTTCCCTTTTGCATCCAAAGTGATAAACAACTTCCTTGAGGAGAGCGAAACTATGCTTATACCTCAGAATGTGCGCTGAAAGCAAAGTTACAGAATATGTTGAAGTTTAAATCAAGGGTGAAGTAATATAATCAAAAGTGGTGTACAACTTGGCGCGAGTATTAGGAACTGGAAGTGTTCAGAAGCTTACAATATTCCTTTCCTGACTAATTCTTTCAATGACAAAATCTGATTCTTTAGATTTTTTTACATTGATACAATCAGAATAATCCTTTATCTAGGTTATGTAATGATTCAAGATCAGATTTAGTCAATAATTCGCATTCTAACACATTTCGTGGCTTAAAATTCTTCCGAACGGAATCTTTAAAGATCTCTTTGTTGTATTTTTAGGTTATAGCCAGAAAAGATATCCAAAACAAGCGATTCTAAATGGATTCTTATAGAAATGTTGTATAGAAACATTAAGAAATTTAATTATAATTTGAGAATTTTTGTACAATCTAAACTTTTCAAGTGCTAGAAGTGTTAGGAAATGGTGTACAGATTTATCGCATTTTCTCTTCTCCTTGCTTTCCATGGCCCGAGGGAAAAAGAAAGTTTTTTACAAAAGGGTAAGAAAGTGCATTTCTGCGGGAAGAGGACTTTAATGGGTTAACCATAATGAGGCCATTATTCTCTGTAATGTTTCTATCTATCTCACGGAGATGCTTTAAACAGTTCAGCTCAATTTAATGGCTTTGCTCTCGAGAAAAGGATACAACTTTAAGGTCCCGCCAGATGACACGGACATTTAATTGCTGTTTGTGCTCAACGTTAATTAGAAGGTAAACACTGATTGGCATATTTGTAATTGAGTCAGTTTAATTAACCGGAAGACATCGATACTGTTCACGCCCCCGAATTCTCTAACAAATTACCACTGTTCGGTACATAGATTGGGTGCTTGTGTTAGTCGGAAAGTTGTGTATTCAAAGTAGGACAATTACCGTGAGTATCTTGAACTCGTGCATGGCAGACGTTGAGTGCCAACCCTCAATTTGTTGAGGGATGAAAGATGAGTGAATGCAGAGAGGAGATTGACGTGATGCAATTCTAAATGATTTGATTGGGATATGAGCAATTGATTATTGATTGCGAAGAGTGTTTCGCACCAAATTGAAAAATGCAATTATTGCAAATTGAATGCGGAAATTGCAAAAAAAATTCCACTTCATCGGCACGAAATACATTTATCACATCATGGCAGTTCATCCCTCAGAAATTCAGCGCTGTCGTGGAAAAGTCATAAATTCCAGAGAGTATATAAAATAGGCAGGCTGAGTACATAGATGGAAAATCTCACCATTGAATTACGACGAAGATTCAAAATATATTCAATGTTGCCCAATCTCTCTCTCTCTCTGCCACTATTGAGATACTGGGAGAATTGCTAAGGACAGTATGGAGAAAAAATCACCAGCGAAACTCCCACGAATTGTACGCAAAAATCATTACAACTTGAATGGGCTGGAATGCAAGAAAATTGGCGTGTGTCTCTCAAGTTTATATAAAAATTGCACAATTTTCCACCGCTGCGTTTGTGAACCGTTGGAACAATCGAAAAATTAAGGCAAACCTCATTTCATTAAACCAATTTCAACGACAATACTCAAGTCAGTACGCATTGAGTAATTCCACAGAGACATCGTGGTTTGCACAGTTAATGTTTTCTCCCATGCTGTGTTGGATTAAATTAATTATTGTGGCCCTATGTTCTGCTCAACTGTAGAAAATCCCATTAGATGACAAGGAGAGTCAAGAAATGAAGGATGAAAATATGTTGAAATAATTTAATACACTTCACTGTTTATTTTCCAGGCAGTCATACAGCATTTTCTTCCATCAAAAACTCAAAAAAAAACATAAATTCTTGCGTGACATTTTTCAATAAGTAATGATAATTATATAGTATACATTCCTGCATCATTGCACTATCATGTTACAAACTTAGAAGACTGGCCATTCAAATCCTCCTAGGAAAAATTGGTTGATGAAAATAGGGGGAAAAAGGTGAGAATGAAATTAATACATGTCTCCAAAAATAGAGATCGCACACGAATACTTTCTTGATTAGTCAAATTTGTATAAAAAGGGAATTGCGCACTCCTCACATCTACTCCTCACCCAGGATTTGCACACTCCGCACGGGCTTCCGGAAGGGTTGGGGCGCTTTCACCTCGGCGGGCGCTGAGGCGGCTGGCACGTTGGCGCCCTGTTGCTCGGGCGATTGGATTGCCAGCATCAGCATTCGGTACAGGAGCTCCTCTCGCACGTCCGCGGGCAGGTAATCGCCGCTCGCCGAACCTGAGGCCTGGCCCAGTTGCTGCAGATTGGCGTCCGGCTGTAAGTAGCCGGATTGCTGACTGGATGCGCCGAAATACCTGGGATTGAACTGCTTCTTGCGCGGCGTCAGTCTTTGCGCGTCATAGCCCGAGGGCATGTCCTGCGGCTGCTGATACACGTTGTCCTGCTCACTGTACTGCCGAAAGGCGCCTTGGAAGGGAGGTCGCTGGTAGAAGGAGTAGCGCGGATCGAATCCCACTGGGTCGTAGAGAGGCGAGCGCGGGATTTGCTGATAGCCCTGATACTGACTGGGAAGATACGGTGTCAATCCTTGGTAGCCGCCGTACTGCATGTAGGGAGGGTAGAATCCTCCGCCGCCTCCGAATCTGGCGTAGGGATTCTGGAATTGCTGATAGCGCAGCACCAGCAGGTGCAGGAGTCGCTCGAAGTCTCTCGCCGTCACCGGTCGCTCGGGGTAGTCGTAGTACTGCCCGCCGGGAATGTGTCGACCGAAGGGAGAGTGGGCGAATGGGAAGGGCGAGGTTTGCTGCTCGTACCCCACGTCATTGCTGCCGTCCGTGAACTGCGATCCCGCCACTGAGGGCGGGCGACGGAGCTGGCGATAGTTGTCCGCATCGTCGTCATCCCGCCCGGGAATCTGGGTGGTCTCTCTGATGAACTGCTCGGGCGTGGGCGGTCTGCCCGTCTGGGGGATTCTGTACAGCTCTCGCGGCGGCGGAGGACGGTAATTGCTGGGCGCTTGGCGCTGTCTGAACACCCGCCGCTCGTCCTCAGTCGCCTGACTGGCCGGAATTTGCACCACTGGCACAGGACTCTGCGTCAGGTAGTTCAGATCCGCCGCTGGTTCCGTGGTCTGCTCATAGCTGTTGACAGTGGTGATGCCCTCGCCTCGACTTGGCGGTCTGGCGTACACCTTTTCAGTGGTGGTGGCCGGCGACGAGCCCGTGTTGATGACGTTCTGCAGCTTGGCCGCACGCTGTCGTGCCGCCAGGACGAGCGACGGTATCCTCGGACTGCTGGTGGTGGTGAACAGAGGTCTCACATTTCCCGCTCCGCCGCCATACACGTGAGACGAATCCTCCCCTGCGGCTTGGGTGTAGAGAATCTGTGGCTGCGCCTCGTAGTGGTCTTCCTTCTCGGCCAGTTGGCGTCTCAGGTGATTGCCACGCACAGATTTGCGGTCGTGCTCCTTCTCCACGTCCTCCTCCGTGACAGGCTTGGACGTGGACGTCTCTCTGCTCTTTGTGATCATCACCTTCGACACTTGGTTGATCTCCAGCTTGTCTGGGCGCGTGATTTGCTCAGGCGGGCGCTGGGATGAGGTGGGATGTGGCGTGGGTCGGATGATGACAACAGATTTCGACGGTGGCACAGATTCTGCGTAGATAACCGTGGTGGTGTGTTCGCTGGTGGGACTCGCCGTGGTGCCTTCCGTGCCCTTCGACGTGGCGTAGTGGCTGTACTGCGAGCGCTCCGTGGACGATGGGATGGTGATGCGACGCCTGGGGATTGTCTGTATGACACTGGACTTGACAAATCCCGTGGGTGATTGTGTGGTGGAGGAGAGGAAGGCCAGAGAGGCTGGTCGTCTGGTCGTGGAGACGGCAGCGTACGTCTTATTCCTGTGATTGGGCGCTGAGGCGTCTTCCTGGGACAAATTGCCAGGATAGTTCCTCAAGCCTGTCGTCCCATTATTTCCCGTGTATGACACTCTTTTGATCTCCCCATTCGAGTCCACATATCCGTACGTTCCCTTCACGTTTCCCAGCACATCTCGACTCTCAATTTTGAACGTGCCATCTTCCGCCTCGTAGCCCACAGTGTATGAGCCATCGTTATTTACCTTCCGGATTTGCTTAATGATTTCCAACTTTTTGGTCGGATCCTTCGTCTCGGCATTCTCCAAGTCGAGTGCGGCGTCGGCAGGACGTGTCGTGGTGCTCTCCTCAGCGGCCCATGTTGCATGAATTTGGCATATCAGCGATAGAATTATCCAACACCATGAGATCTGCAAATTATAGAGAAAACAAAACTGTGACCGCATATCTTCTCAACCATTTAACTGATGGCCAAATTAACTCTGCAAATGACCAGCACAATTTCTTGCTTATATAACTTTGCGGTGCATCACATCATGACCAGGAGTCACGGAAGCGCACAAGAATTTCCCAATTTGCTAGCACAATCCTCGAGGGCTCCACTCAAAACAAACTTAATATATACGCCAAGATTAATTGGCAAAGTACACAAATTTCACTCATTTGCAATAACACTTTCCGTCCTCTGCGCATCCAGACCACCGTGACGACATAAATCCCACTAATAGGCGATATTATTATGTTGTATAAGATGATTTTTGGCAATGTGTACCTTCTGATGAGATTTGTATCCCATCGTGGACGTAGTCAGATCATTACACGAGCAACACATCAACTGAAGTGAGTTGATTGTCTGAGCGTGGGGTGCCTTTATAGACTAATGGAGATTTTTCCACGTGAATTTTGCGACTGGAGTGTAAGAAAAAGAGATATATAGGCTGTGGGTGGCTTGGGAGGGTCTCACATTGTCTTACCAGAGTCGGGACGACCTTGACTACGCGCCTCTGTGGATTTCCCACCACCTTCCAGCTCTCATCCACTCTTCTTAATATGACTTCCACTTTCCTCCACCTGTTGCCACCGTGAGAAATATTATGCTCCGCATGTGAACCCCATTGTTGGCTTCAGTTTTATTTAATAGTATTACGAATGTTATATTCCTGCCCATATAGTACTCACGTCACAGACAGGCCTCAACGGTGCTAAACGTAAGAGAGTGTGGGAGTCACTCATCTATTGATTGTATGATGTTTGCCGCTTAACATTTTCATTATTATGACGATGCGGTTATTAACAGCTTCCCTCTCGTTATATTTAGACCACAAGAAATAATACACAATTCCTTTATGAATACCATAAACAACCGCAGAAACAACGTCACGTGTGAGATGAAAGTGAATTTCCTCCATCTCTCATGACGCGGAATTTCAGATTGATTTAAATAGGATTAGATGAAATCTCCAGATTGACTCCTCAATACCACACGGAGATTAATTATGAAAGTGTATTTTGGGAAAAACACCTCCGATTTGGAGAGACATTTGCGTAAGTTAATTGTTTTTAAATGTTCCACTTGAGCAAAGTAATGGCAATTGTATTGTTGCCTTATCCCCCAAAATATCGCAAAGCTATGAAAGAAAAGGAGCTTTTCTGAATTATTTATAGATTTCCCAGCAATTTCCCAGGGGGTGGATTGTTGTCTCTTGCAGAAAATTGTGATGAATCTGCAAAATTTTTGGTGACTGTTCCACTTAATCATCCAGAATTCCAGTGATGAATAATGCGCTTATTATAGCTGAAATGCAGCGAAACAATTCACATGTAGTTGTGCAGGAAAATCTGTATCGGAAAGTGAAAACAATAATTAAATGTAGGAACATTTGAATTGAAAAATTAATCTCGCATTCAATTTGGTAGCAAAAACGCAATTAATTATCGGCGTATTTGTAAAGAATCCACAAAAGCATATTGACTACGCATTTATTAAGTCCCGCCCGCGTAAAAACTCTGCCCACTTTGATTATTCTAGCCTCGAATGGGTAATATTAAAATTGTGTTTCGGGATGATGTTGATCTGCACAAATGTACAAAGCTTAGCTGTCTTATTGAATGGAAGAAAGAACAATGTTTGAGGGCCAGAGGAAATTCCCAGAAGTCCCTAATTGAATGAAAGACACTTGGACGGACATTAAGATCGGAAAATTAAATAACAATTTGTCTGAAAACACCTTCCCAGCGATGATAGAATTCTCAGTGGCAATGAAAGAAGAAATCACCTAAATTGTCTGTATTCCATCTTTAATTGCAGCACAGAAACTGTAAATAAATTTGAATAGCTGAGACGAAATGGCGGAAAATTGCGAAAACAGAGCGTACAATAATAAAATAAATGTGTGGTGGAACTACAATGACAACTTTTATCAAATCAACACGTCTGGGAAAAGGAGAATAGAGAATAAATCTCAGTGGAATTTATTGCTGTTCCGGGAGGACATTACGCAAAAATAAAAGAAGATGCAATTAAATAAATCCACGCAGAGGTGAATAAAATTATTGAATAATTCAGACACATTTCTCGATGTCTTTCTCTCTCAACATGGTGACCACCCTTGTCATGGGAAAATGTTGCGAAATAAATGCACTTGTGCACTATTGTAGAATGAAGGCATTTATGGCCACAAAATCAGCCATTGTACATTTCACATCTTATTCACTATGTATTCGCGTTCATTTGATTCACATATATTTGAAAATTTGCGAAATTCACTCAGCGTGTGCATTTTTTTTCATTCAAGAGAGACATTCAGATTCTATGTTGTAAATTCTGCGTATAGCGTTTTTTTCTACAGCACGTAAATAGTATTTACGTATGTACTTTAGAAATAGCATACATATGTATGCGATGTGTTGTTTTGGATGCATTATTTCCCGATTCATGTGTGAAGACCTAGTTCTCACCGAAATCAAGCAGAGAAATAGTCAAACATGGACATGGTGTGACTCTCATTGTAGTTACTGGACAATTTTCCACCTTGCCTGTATGACAAAATTTAAAGTTTATGAACATTCGCAGAATTTCAAGATTAATTACTCATTGTTCGCTGGCGATGGTACGGAAAATATTTTATCCTTCGACAATAGCCTGTCAGGAGCAGAAGTTCTGCATCACTTATTTATCACCTCAACTCGGAACTTGGACGTGAGTTGTTTTCATTCAAAATTCAGCCCAACACGAGGAGTCGCACACTTTAGTTCACGAGAGCTCCAAATAAAATATGAGTCTCTGAGTGTGCAAACTTCAGTGAGATTAATAAGGACTTTGACTCGCCAAAGGTAAATGTTATAATTCCAATTTATCTCTTTTAATGGACCACCTCGTCGGTCATATAATCATTCATAAAACAATACAATGGCGCGGTTGCCGTAAAAAGTGTAATTTGTGCATTATTATATTTGACAATGAACTGACTAGTGTATTTCTCAGTTTCTCACTGATTGTCCATTTGGGTGCGAGTGATTTATGAATTGTATACAATTTACGTGCAATTCCGATGAAAACACAGACAATGAATCGCCACAGCGACCCACAGTAGTCCACTCTAGTTACCTGTTTTATGCTCACCTCTCTGCAAGACACAGCAATTTATCTTCCAACTCCCAAATATCACAGTGACTTCACCGCAGTCCCGATCATCTGCAGATCCCACACGCCAGAGACATATATATACTTCTGTGTTATGAATTACAAATAACTCTTGCATAATTGCAGTGCACTTAATGATGGTTTAGAAATATCATACCTTTCTTTGTGCGTGCATGGCACAATTATTTCACAGCATACACTTTCTTTGGCTCCATGAAGAGGTGCAATTTAATTCACCCAAGTGCTCCAGTTTTCATCTCTTCTGAGATTGAGAGTAGTTTAGATGTGGCGTGCACATGCCTAAGGGTGCCTAAACGCATTTGTGCCAATAAGACACACACTCCTCATTAAAATCATTTTCATAAAACTAGAGCTAATGCCATCCAACATCATTCTGGGCTGTAGCAATTCCCTCTGATATGGTAATAGACCAACATTCCATTTACCTGCTCTCGCCATCAACTCGGAATAAATCTGATAACACATATTGCGCATGATACATATTCATATATTGAGGAGGACTATTTACCTGACTGGGTAAAAAAGTGGAAAAGTGTGAAAGTAGGAGAGCCTGTAGGGAAATGCGGGGCGTTTTGCATTTATTTTTGGATCTAAAGCACTTTCTCGTAGAATAATCTTGATTAACAAAAGCACCAAGACGAAACAGACATCTCTCTTGTATCTTACCTTGCGTATGCATGACACACCCAAGGGAAAAATAATATAGTTAGAAGTGGTGTACAGCTCAGTGGAAGGAAAACTTGTATAATTCCTTTCTTAAGTGATTCTTCTAGTGACAAATGATTTGCATGCAATAAACATTGGTTTTCTACTCATTGGGTGCAAAAAACACTGGAAATTGTGTTTGGATCGAACATAACCTCAAAAATATCGATTTGGACTTGGAAAATGTTAATTTAGAAAACTTTTTGGACAATTTTGACGCTCAATCAGCATCATTGGCAAATCATGAAAGATGATTTTGTGATTTAAAATTCTTCTAAACGGACTTAAAATTATAGAATTTCCCTTTCATGTCAGCCACACACTCCTCAATATTTGTTTTAAGCTCTATGCGAATTTAAAAATTGTATTTCAATACCCGAAAATTTGTATTTGATTAAATAACAATACTCTTAATTACAAATTTGCCTCGCTGCGAAAATGGATGAAATTTCATTCGCATGGAATTGACGTAGTGTGTGAAATTGAATCAAATCAGTCGCATTCGAGATTTTACATCAATTTCACTGAAAAGTTTTAATGAAAGTTGCACGCCCAGTTTTTCTTGTGCGTCCACATATATTTTTTTTAATAACGACGTAAGATAGTTACATGAAAACTGGTTCAAATTAAGCTCCAATTTTAGCTATGCTTCAAACACTCTACCTTTTGACCCAGAGCAATTTTCATTCTTGTTTTCATTCCAATTTGTTGGTGGCGCGCATGGAAAGCCGATAAAAATTGTATATGCGAATATGTGGAAAAGGGAAACATATATCAGGAAGAAAAGGGAAAATTTAAGTTATTTGCTTAAGTGATTCACTACAAAATATTTCGCATTCAAATGGAAATGGTTTTGAATGGTAAAAAGGGTTCATGTTGCACGCTCGGTGAATGTTAAGGAATTCCCTGAGTTGAGGCAATATTGCCAATTTCACGTCGGAATGCTTGCCACTTAGAAATCCAAATGCATATTCTTCGGCAGGAAAAAGAGGTCAAATAGTGAGAAATTTTCACTGCCATAATAATGAAATTCTCGGAATTCGAGGGGTTGAAAAGAAGTGGGAAAAATTGATACTCACAAATGGCAATCAATCACCATGAAGAAGGTATTGAAAATGGCTTTTTAAATCCTTTCCTTTCCTCTGGCTGTTATAATGGATTGTGCGGCGCGATATGTGTGCTTTTTATAGGTAAGTTAGTGGCTCACAATGTATTTTCTGGCGGGGCAAAAAGTTCACTGAAGCATCAGCTGCCTGCCGAGAGCATGATAGACTTTATACTTTATTACACCAACTGGACAGGTTTAAAGCTCTTTAAAGCCTCCAACAGAACCATTTTTCTGCGTCAGTTATTTTGTGAATAAATTTTTCAACCCTCCCCCGAGAATTTATTAACATTAACTTTGTACTTGCGATTCAGCATCGCGTCAGTGGGAAATTTAATGTTTTCACTGTCACTTAAAGTGATTACTATTTGAGTAACGTTACACGCGATCTGTGTATTGGATTTATCTCCCACTCATCCGAATAAAACCATTAAATAACAAGCTTACAGAATTTCAAGGCGAGCTCTCTATTAAATTAAAGAGCACCCCGTCCTTGTGATTCATAACATCACACCAGACGAACACTGTCGCAATACAATTATGGACGCCACTCTTTTTCAGGATTTCACACATTAACCATTAATTTTCCACCACTCAAAACAATAAAAATGTCCACTTTTATGTACACTCTTTATTACAATCTTTTATTCTTATTCTTATGCGTATTTGGAATAGAGTATTTCATCGTGCGATTTTCTCTGTCGGTATCAAAAAGGGAATTAAATGATACATATTAAATTAATTACAATTGACAATACAATAATTACCTTATACAGAGGAATTACAGGTAATTAATGACCTCTTCTCCATTTGCGGTGGACAAGGAAAATTTTTTTTTTGTAGTTTTGGAAGAAACACAAATGGTAACTCATATGCTAAAGATCATACTTAAAAATTCGGTTATGGATGATGTTTATCGATGATCTACCATTTTTTTCCTACGATCAATGCGCAGTTCCTTAAAATGCTATATTATACAAATTGCAAAATCAACAGATTGACGTGTGATAGGAAAATTAATTGCCACTATATATTTTATTTTCTGTATTGGATTAATAGGCAACTAAAAGTGTTGCAAGAGCAAATCATCTCTCAAGTGTCACTCTTTTTTTTCTATCTCTCTCTCAAATACAATATAAACATGAATTGCGAGTATGAGTTTTTTCTGTCTGCCCACCAACTGCGGATCATTTATGTATTATTTGGGTTAAATAAACGCCACTCTATGTAAGTCATATTTCATCGCGATACATGAAATGTGTTGAATTCCTATCTTGCTAAAAGCTTCAATATCCGAAATCGCAGACAAGGTGTGTGATGTGATGCAATAGCCCAAGTTACTTATGCACGTTCGAGCGAGTTTTTCTCATCTGACGATCCGGGCATTCTTGGCTCTCTCTCTCTCTCTCTCTCTTTCGCTTTCATTATGTACATATTACACTCCAGCTGCACGGAATAACCATCGGCGATCTTTAAGTGTAATTGCGTTTATTACTTAATACCCAATTACACTATAAATGCTAAGAAAATTGTTTATATATGCCCAGAATTCACACGTGAGACACTTTGTGTGATAATTTAGAATGTCTCTATTGGATTACTTTAACGTCAACAAAACTGGATTCTTTTCTAAATTGACTTTGAAATAAATCGCACTGCTTTGTCACATGAAGAATTCACCGGGAATGCTTGAGCGCAGAGAACCGGAATGCGATAATTATTATAACACAAAGTTATGAGAAAAATATGTATCGTGGAATACGTGCTTACTTTCACTTTGTTACTTCCTACTAAAACTACAGCATTTGTAAGCGATGCAGAAAGACAGTTTCTTCTTCGAGTTGTAGTTATTCTTTTCAATGTTAAAGAGAGTGTAGAAAAGATAAAGACTTGTAGTAAATATTTAACAATTTGCAATACATATAAATCAATATTATCTAAGAATAAATGACTAAGAGAAAAACAATATTTGCCGCTAACACTATGGCAAATCATTACGAAGTTATGCGTGATTGATCGAGGTTGCAATTCATGATATCCTCATTACAACAGCTGGGGGAAGTTGCCTCGAAAAAATCTCATCATTTTCATGTTAGACAAATTCTGAGTCATTACACACAATCATACTCTCAATGGAATGCCGCATTTGCCGCAATCTAGCAGAAATGGGCGGAGCATTCGAGTGGGCGGAGCCAATCTTGTTCGGTTTAGTAGTCAAGATTCTGCCCTCGCAGGAAGGCGTCGATCTGCCCCAGAGAGCCTCCGGGAGATGGCTGGATGTAGTAGAAGGCCTGTGGTGGTGGCGCCTGAGGTCTCTGTGGCTGAGGCTGCGCCTGCACCTGGAACCTGTGCGCCGGGGCGCTCGGGGTCTGCTTCTTGGCCTGCAGACGATCCTGCTGCAGCTGCTGCTGGGCGATCTCCTGCTGCTGCGCAAACAACTGCTGCGAATTCAGCACTTGCAGATTCTCCTGCGACTTCTGGTACACTTGCTGCGAGAACTGCGGTACAGGAATTGGTCGCACTTGCTGCTGGATCTGGTGCTGCGGCTGGGCAATGGGTTGCCTGTACAGCGGACTCTGGTTCTGCAGCTGCTCCAGCGTGACTAGCGTGGGCTGGGGATGCAGGTGCACGTAGGGCTGGATGCGATGGCTCAGGGCGAAGTCACCCTCCGACTGCGGCAGTTGCTGGTACAGATTGGCGTCATACTGGCCGGTGGAGGGATCGAAGATCAGCTGTGACTGATAGATGGGATTGCCAGTGGGCAGGGCGGGGGCTGGCTTGAAGGGCTTCCCGACGGCCGGACTGACGGGCGACGGCGTCAGAGCGTTAGTTTCATCCTGGAACTTCTGGAACTCGGCCGCGAAGTCGATCGGTCGACGGCCCGAAGTGGGTTTCGTGGGTGCCACGGAAACTTCTTGGGTGGAGGATGGGTAGTTCTGGGTCTTCTGGGTGGAGCTCAGAGCCGGCCTGTATGTGGTGGCTGGTGGTTGGGTTTGCAGGGTTTGTGTCGGTGCCCGATAGGTGGGACGTGGGGTGATGCTAACGGGCTGTGAGGGAGTGTACTGAACAGCGGCTGGGGTTGGTGTGGTGCTGAACGTTACGCGTGGTCTCTCGCGAATGGTCACTTCTTGGGGTTGCGTCCTGATGATAGGACGTTGAGTGACTGAGGGTCTTTGGGGTTGGATGTATTGGATTGGTTCTTGCTCGTCAGTCTCTTCGCTGGCGTCGTCTTGCTGAGGCAGCGAAGAGTGTGCGTAGTTGTTTTGGAACACAGTCGTTGTGGGTCGAGGAGTTGTGTGCAGAGGACGAACAGGGCGAGGAATTGCCGGTCTTCGAGGGTAGTTCTGAGGGATGTTCTCATCCGAGCCGTCTTCCTCCGATCGCTCCTGCTCCTCTTCCTCGCTCTCGGGATTGTTGGGATCGCACGGATTGCCTGAGACATAAGTGAACTCCCTCTTGTTGCCATCAGGATCGACATAGCCGTACTTTCCGCGCACGACGCAGTCAGTTCCTCTGGTCTCCTCCTTGAACGACCCATCGGCAGCTTCGTAGCCGAAAGTGAAGGAGCCATCGTCGTTCACCTTGCTGTAGTTCCTGATTGTCTGCACTGGCGGAGGCTTTGTGGCGTGATCCTTGGAGCGCGCGATCGGCGCGGCAGTTTGACTCCTCGTCGTGGGAACGGGTCTGTTGTAGTCCGCCCGCTGTCTCAGGGTCGGCTGGCCATAGGGGCCGTTGTAGTCGTCATCGGACGCCACGAGAATGACGCGTCCTTGGTTGTCTTGCGGCTCAGCGGCGCTGTAGTACTGAATGGCAGGCTGCGCCCTGCTGTCATCCTCCTCGGCCAGCTCCACCTCCCGCGCCTCCTCTTGCCGCTGCCTCGGAAGCACCCGGACGCGCCGCGCCTCGCAAATGGCAACCAAAGTGAAGAGCAGAATTCCCTGCAAGTTGAGAGACAAGACAAGATTACCATCAGTACGCATATTTACATAATTCACTTGAGAGACCCCAAAAAAATACGCTAAACTTGAACTTGTGTGCCCACTGACGAAGTGAAGATGATTTTTCCTCTCTCTCCGAAGCGCATAAGGTTAGCAATGGCGGAGAAGAGATATGAAACATGAAATACAGCCATTAATTACATCCTCTTTCACTCTGTGATGCCATCTCAAAGTTGTGGGACTTTTCTAAAGTGGGAAACTCGTCTTCGGAATTACATTGTATCAAATGCCACTTAAAGCTCTCCGTGCGGCATCATAACAGACTCTTGACCGTACAGAAATGAATAGCGGAAAATTGAACTTGAGACGAAGAAGTGAATTAAGGCAGATTCCATGAGAAAAAAAATTGTCCTCTTCTTGCCGAAGTGTTAAGGATTGTGGCACAGATTTCAGCATCAAATCAATTCCACTCTTGACACAATTAAATATTCATTTTTGCACGCTCGCAATTGTTTTAACGTCAATTTGTGGAGTTCAAACTCACCGAAACGCCTCCATTTTTTATGCCCAAGCGCGTAAGTGTCCCAAAGAGCAATAAATAAGTGCCTTGAAGTTGCAAATTTATTAATAGAATTCGCGGAGAATGTGCACCGCAGTGACTAAGAGAAAATGAATGCAGATTCGAAAATTGCATTCACAAACCAATCAGTCAGAATATTGCAAATTCGGAACATGGGCTCGGTCATGATTATCTCAATTGATTGCACCCTAAGTGACTCACAAAATCGCTGGGGCTATGAAATTGAAAATTTCCCGTGTACACACAGGTATGAAATCAAATAAGTCATAGCGCGACACGATCTGAAATCGCAATGCAATGGCACATTAAGGAATTCCGACTGCGTCTAATGCATGATGGGAGTATTGGCAGAAACTCTGCTTATTCGGCGTGTTACTTTCTAATGAAAATGGTGTTTGTGTGTGTGTTTTTGGCGAATTGCATATGAATACATGCTGAAGAGGCGGCACTAATTGCATAAATTACTCATTACTCAGGTGATTCCTCGCAACCGCGATTGGGTATTATTGTTTCTCCTCTCGCAACTATGCAATCTTCCGTGTCTTCTCGCTTCTCCGGCAGAACATCCGCAATTCCATAATAATCAATAATAAAAACACACGCTTTTTTCTCACAGGCGCCCAGACTTTTCGCACCTCTCGCGATTCCCTATTTGACCCACTGTTTTCACATATATGGCACGCTGTTGCATATCAGCGCGAAGACATGTATTGTTTCGCACACTTTATGCCGCATTATTATTATTTTAGAGGTGAGCTCTCTGGCAAAATGTGACGACGATTGCGTGAGAAAATGCTGATGATGGCCAGTGTGAAGCACAGAGTGGACTGGAGGTGCTTTTACCAATCCCGAGTGTGTATTTCGAAATCGAAAGCAAATGATTGTCAAACACATCACTTATTAAACCAATTATTATCCACTTTCAGTACAAATCTCACTTTGTATTCTGCCACACATAAAATTTTATTGGTATGGGAAACACTACATCTGTTCACACAGTCCATTTCTGAGCCCGAAAAGACGAGAAACTCTCTTTATCTCTTCGTCTTTCTCAAAAAATTTTCAAACAAGCTCACACACTCTCTACATAGAAATATTAATTAAGATTCACTCCATTGAGATGTTATATCACTTTCTTTTCTTACCATCGTGAATACTCCACCAATTTATTTAAATAGATTTTATTATAATTATAAGAAGGAGGAAAAAATATTGGAAGGAGCGTGTGAAGCATTGCAATCTACTCCGAGTCTGACTAATAATGTAGAGAAAAGCAAGTAAAATCAAACGAAGGACTTCTTCAGGAGTTGCGTTGGAATCATGATTAAATTTCATTAACTGAACTTTATTAATTAAATGAATAATTCCTTGAAAACATCATAAAATCTCACTCAATTGCAATACAGCTTCTCTTGTCGATGCGAAACGATTGAGTTGAGTTAATAAAATGCTACATTTGTGGAGAAAAGTGAAAAATCCCATCTGTGCGTTCACTCCAAATTTAAGCTCTTCCATCAAACTCATTAAATTCAAATACAATAAATCATAAAGTCGTTGCCAGAGATAGTAAAGGTGGAAGTATATGGCTGTTTCCACTCTTTGGAGGTTACTTTGTATTGTTTCTTTTACATGGTCAATTAACTCGAGAGGCGCGAGAAATTATTTGGAAAAAAATATGGATATTTAATTAAGTAGAAAACATTAAACGTAAACACGGCTTTGTTGCGGAAATTAATTTTTTGACATTTAGCCGCGATTTCGTGAATTGCTTCACCTTGATTGTGATTTCTTCAAATCAATTAATCATATTTTTCCCCCTTTCATCGCCCAACTCTTCACGTGCGGCCAAATAATGGAGCGTCCGTGGGGGGAAAATTCGGGATGATGGAAGAATGCAGAGTGCGGTTTATTGGAAAATGTGGTGAAGCCACCGTGTAATTGGATGCATAAAATTGCAGCACTTGTTTGATACGTTCTTCTGAGTAGACTTTGTAATTAAAGATTCGATTGCAAAACGTGGGAACTTCTTCACATTTTCTATTCCAATCTCAAACTATATGCGTTATTTGTTAATATATATCTCATGTTTATGTGAATTATTTGTGTCTTCTCTCCCATGTTTAGGCGAGACGCGAGGTTCTCCTCTCTGCTTCTGCCATCGCGAGATTCTCTAACACATCGGCATCACATTATTATTTATTGTACAGTCGCAAATACAATACACATCAGCAAATTGTTGATATGTGAACAAGGTCATAGCTATGCACAATTTAATTATTTTTAATTGTTCAGCGCCCAGCAAACCGCCGAACTTAATTAACATAAATCAGATAATGATATTCACGAAATTTGCACAATGCAAGACATTTCATCGCCCGTCAAAGAATTCATCTGCTTTTTCTGTGCACACAAACACATCTTTTCCCATCTCGCAGAGCCCAGTGATTTATTTGGAAATTCTACGTTTCCAACTTCTCGACAGGTCGGGAAAAAAATCTGTGGCATGAAAGGCCATTCACAAAATAAATTTTTTACACCATCCCTCGTCGCTTGCTGGGTTTCTTGTATTGTGATCGCAAGAATGTATAATAAAAATTGCAAAAGAAGGCAATGGCACACGGATCTTGGGCAAAATATGGGAGAAATACGCAAGTAGGGAAAAAAAGAGATCTTTAATTTGTTGCTTCAAATTAGCAATGAGGAATTTTAAACAACGCATTTAGCTTCTGCTTCACATATGAAGATTATATTCAATATTATAATAATAAAAATGAAAAGTATTTCCTCTGTTATTAGACACATTTTTCTTTCCACTCGTGGAAGCTATTTTCTATGTCTTCATCGCCAATGCATTGGGAAAGCAGATAAAATGAAAATATTTTCACTCTCTTTTGTCGCTCTTAAATCCACCAACAACTCATGGCAACTTTCATCGAGAGTGAAATATTTTCAAGGCGCTTAGCAACTTGTTTGCAAAACACATCCACCAAATCGTAAAAATGCCGACCAAAGAGCGGATAAATGTTATGTGCAATCGCTACATTTGTCATAAAATGCGTTCGCTGTTAAATTAAATTAAATCACACCCCAAAAACGGATATTTAATGCAACGCTGATCACACGCGCGCGCTCTTAATTAGTAAAACCGAAGCCAGGAGTCATTCCCACAGCACACAAATTATATGTTGAGCACCTGAACTTTCGAGCGCATACAATGTCCTGGGATTCATTTCAAAATGTGTAGCGCTCGTGTTGTAATTGAAAGTTTAACTGGGTATGCTTAAAAAAAAAAAGAGACAATGGCACTCCAACCGTAGGTGAAAATTGCGCAAGAGTTCAGGAATCAGGCATAGCGCATTTCCATGCCACACAAGAAATATTAATTCTCTCATTATTGATGCAAAAGTGTCGCCCATGATCAATGGCGTGAATTTCACTGCAAAGTGGAGGAATAGAGACACTCGAGCAACTCACCAAATTCCTTAATCGCATTGTGTTTCCTTAATTGAATTTTAATCCAAAGAAAGTTGCTCTCTTCTCCCTCCTTTGTTATTCAACAATCACAATGGAACTCAATTTATTACCGAACGTGCTCCTCCGAGCAGGATTATGATTTGTTATGATTTCGAGGAATAACGGTGGAAAAAATTACAGAAAATACAGATTAAGGAAGAGAGACGAACAACTCTAGAAAAGACACACTATGCACAGTGACCACACTTCCTTGCTGGATGATCTTCAATTGTACAGGTCGAGGAGAAGTGAAAAAATAACGCCAGCAACTTCAACAACTCCACAACTCCACTGTGAATGTGAACAATGGTAAGTTCTTTCGCAAAATGACTCGCATGACCCGTCTGCAGTCGCTATATAACATTTTCTCTCTAAAAGTTATAAAGTAAGATCAACTGTGTATTATCCACCTTCCACCGAAGTTTGAGGCGCGCTGAGTGAGTGTTACAACGACTGGCTGATGGTAGAGGTGGTCTTGCCGTCCATGTATTGCCGTGCAGACCTGCAAAGTGGCGGAATTCATCGCTTTTTTCCATGATATTCAATTGTATCTTCGCCATTTAATATCCCACCAGCAATTTACCCGTTAGGGATCACCAATTTTCGCCACAATATCTCAATCCTCTCCGTGGAGAGTCCAATGGATATTTGATGATGGCTAAGAAGACTTAAACACCTCGTGAATTAATAGGATCAAGCAGCTTGAGAACAGGTTTTTCCGAAAGGCCAAAGATCGCGCATCGGAGCACAAATTTCAGGGCGACGCGCCCCTCAATTCTGCCCTGGCAGAGCCAAAAGATAGTGAAACTGCTGTGAAGTTGAATCGATAGCGTTTCATGAATATCAAATCAAAAGAAACTGAATATTCTTGCCGATGGTCGAACGGCGTCTCACAATATTGTTGCGCGCGCTCACCTGAAAGTGGATCATTTTGAAAGCAAAATAAAGATCACAAGATCACAGAGATCTCTTTACAATGAAGAAGAAAAAAAAGTAATATCATATTATTCACTGTGGATGAGAATTGGAATTTTTCACTCTATTTTTATTATTATTACTCCATTTTCAATGCTGTGCTCAAGTGAAAATATCACGAATTTTACTTTTATTTTCAATGAAACTAATTGCAGAGTCGCACGAAGAGTAATCTTAGTTTAGGAATCAAACAATCAACAGAGAAAAGAGCATTATTTTGTTCAATCTTCTGAAACTTGAAGTCTTCAGTTCAATTTCAGCCAAAAATAGAATCTTTGGTTGTTGGAAGCAAAATTTGAAGAATCTTTTCCGAATGAAACACTTTTCTTTGCCATTGAAAACGTTGTGCATTGTTTGGTGATTTATTTACTCTGAATTCTGAAATATTTCAAAAGAAATCATTTCATGCATTTTTCTCTTAAAAAGCATTCTCATGACTTTCCTGACTGAAAATATCACAATTCAAGCAAATGCGCACTGCGTATTGTACATATCACACTATATACAGCACTCTTGGACGAAATAGCGATACTTATTAAGTTTACGTGTGGCACTCAGGCACCAAACAAACAAGATCTGTGAAGAGTAAGTGGCATATCAAATTGAATTATGCTCGTCTTTTTCACTTTCTGCTTTAAACAATTGAGTAAAAGGTGAAAATTCATTGTTACAATTGCTGTGAAGAGAAATTCAGTGATCTTGAGACGAGAAGATGCCAAATAAACCGTCTCCTCTCATCGCTCTCATCCAATGTACGAGCGCAGTTCTTATGATAGCGTCATGACCGCACAAATTCGCAATGTTGTTTTGAATTAATTGAGTCTTGTTTTTGATACTTTTCCGGTTTCACTGGTGAATCTCCATGCGATAATACATGTATTATCGAAGCATTAGTTATGTGCATACATTCCCAATAATAATCCACTTGATTACGGTATAAATTAAAAGTCGTGCGATGTTAGAGCATCACGGCATCGTGTGCAGTTATTCGCGAAATTCAGTCAGTATGTAGGCAGTTTGTGCACATTGTTTATCGAATGGTGCACCGCGTGCTGAACCAACACATGCAGAGTGATTTGTACCTGGGCGTCCGCTGGTCAGACTGCACCAGAAAGTGATAATGAAACCTGCGCCCCATCCATTAAAACTCTCCTTGCGTAATGCCACAGAGTGTTGTTATGCAAAGGCGAAATTGTGAATTTCTTTCAGGAAATTCACCCCTCTTTCGCATGTGTTTTTCCACTGCACATGAAATGTCTCAATTAAGCCTTTTTTGATGGCCACTCTTGATGACTCTGCATTGCTGCAATATAATTGTCATGACAATCCTTTGAACGCACACGCACTGAGCTCTTGAAACAACCACGAGAGCCATTATAAACAATTTTAATGGGTATTTAATTGAATTTAATGCACGGTCCGAATTAAAATTCCAAACACAGACATTATGCGTGATTTTTGGGTGGGTTGCCATTCGGCTGGGGATTCCTGGGAACCTTTTGCTGTGCACATTGGGCATGGAAAATAGAACAAACACGCGGGCCAGCCGCACATTTGGCAATATGACCACTGCAACGCCGCAATTAATTTTAATATAATTAAACTAAATGAATGAGAGCGAGAGGAATTATTGTCTGAGAGCAATTTGTCGTGAATTAATGGCGGGCAAACGGCGAAAAAAAAATCTCCATTGTGAGTCATTTGTTTGTCCTCAGTCATCGATAGACCTTCCATTTTCCGGCTCGCCCGCGATAAAAGTTCACAAAACACGCGGCAAAAGAAAATTAATCCACATTCAGTGGCCATTCAGGCATTTCGGCATGAAAGACATGCAGAGAGACATTAAAAGTTTATGTACAGAGTCGCGGAATAACGGATCTTGTATGCAATCTATTGTGAGCTAGCAAATTTTCACTTTCATTTAGCCTTGTCCATTCATAAAATATCCACCTATGGCAATAAATATGTATTAGTATCCCTCAGTCACTACCAACAATGTAATTATCGACTTGGTGTGGCTTTTTTATCCGGAGCAAAAATAACTTCACTGGCAGCGCGCACAATACGCCAATTTGAACTTGAGGTTGAGAGGAAAATTACTCCTCTGACAAATGCAATGTGTATACACATTTTGCTCTCGCTCAAAAGCTAAATGCTGAGTCTTGGACGAAGTGAGTGTGCGAGCAGAGGTGAAATTTATATACTTCTGCGTGGAATGACTTTTTTCGCCACTGTAAGAAAGCATTGGAAAGATGACGAGATTCTATAGGAAATAAATATTATATTCCGCCCAAGGGGGAGATATTATTGTGGGAAATGGTGGCTTAGCGAGAGTTCTTGGAAGTATAAGTGTTACAGTATCTGACATGCAAACATTTGACAGACTTAAGCCTCTGACTAAGACGGTAAACAAGTTTACGAAGTGTATGAAAAGGCGTTCTGGTGTTCCGCCAGAGTTCTGAAGAGTGTCAGAAAGTGGTGTACAGACTTCAGCCATACAATCTTCCCCTTGGTTTTCTCCGCACTGCATTGAGCACGGTGCATTCAGAGAATTCTTTTCGCTTCTGCGACAGTCGTGGAGAAAATGCGCCTCTTGTCCACGTGGACATGCATCATCATCAGTGAGAGTGGCGAATTTCGTATGCACTCACTGATTTGTGTTTCACGCCAAACAATCAATTTAACACCATTATTATTCACCGTGTTCTCGTGCATTCCAGCGGCGCACTCGTACATTTTCCTCCATTGGAGAGAATGCATTTGATGCGATGATTGGCTGGCATTATGCAATGTTTGAGGTGTATTAAAAATAAGAGGAGAGAAAAAAGTGATATCTGCCCGATCGAGCAAGTGCTTTTGAGGCTGCCATTATATAAGATGCCCCCGGAGTATGTGAAAAGCTTGACCACGAAATTCGAAATGCGATCTACGACACTCTCTTTTCCACCGAATGCGCCTCAGATTGCGACAGTCGCGTCTGCCTCACTTGCAGTGTGTGCGCGACCATATGGATTGCCAATATGCGAAGAAGGAAACTCAATATTTTAACACACATTCCATTTGGGAATCCATCGAATGCCAGATTGACATTTACAGCGGTGGAAATTCACCAAATGTATCAAATGCAGTTTTACGCTTAAAAGGATTTCTGCCCAGCAAACTCCAACTATTTGTGTTATCTCACATATATCATATTGCACAGTCTGCATTTAAGCACAACTGAAGCACTGAAGCTTTAATGGCTTTAATACGAGAGCAAATCAATTATGACCTACGAAGGAATTTCTCCGAGAAATTACATAAAATTAACTCTTATAGATAAGATGTCTGGCATTTTCGTAAAAAAAAGTCCACATAACTTTCTACACTCCTCAAGACTTGACTTCAAGTAATCCGCACATGAAAACAAGGTTGATTATGTATGTGAAAAGTGGGAATTTCTTTCTGAGCACACGAGTGACTTCTTTTCGGGCAGCTTTAAATCTCAACTAGGTCGTTAATTGACATTTTCTCGAAGCCACATTGCGAGATTCAACTCTCAATGTGGATGATATTTCAGAATGTTAATTTAAAATAACATATTGGTCAAAATTAATGCAGAGCAGAAGAGCAAAAAACCGTTCGACAATATATATTTGTTTGGCGCTTCTCTCGAATGTTTGCGTATGCAAATAATGCGCATATAGAAGCGAACATCCCGGAAAATCAAAGTTTATCTTTTATTGTAGTTTCATCCAACACAACTATATGAGTTATGATAATCGTTTGTGCAGATTTGTGACTGTTGTGACAATCTTTAACCAATCGGAAGCACAAAAATGGCTTTGAACATTAAATTTTTTAGTTAAAAATAGACGAATCACTGTGATTTTGTTAATCATTTTCAAGAAAATTCATTAGGCAAAAGTGTTGCTTTCTATCATTTAATATCTCGTTAAGAAAGCAATGTAGTGATGAAAGTTATTTGGAATATATAACACCTATTTAAAGCATTCCAAGTCTATCATTAACTGGTTTAACTACTATTTCTCAGATTAACGACTCCAAATGGAAGTGGTTTGGAAGGAAATCAATTTCAATCTGTAGCCAAAATGTGAAATTAGTCAAAAATGATGTTTTCCCATGAAATTAGAGTGTTTTTACTATTCAGAACGCTCAAAATGTCCTCCAAAATTTAAATATTGTGATTCTGCTTTGAAAAGCACTACAATTTTTCATTTTCATTATTGTTTTCAATAGTGCATTCTGAAAACAGAGCAATAAATTCATTTTATTTGATAATTATAGAAAAATATTTGATGCATTGCAAATACACACATGGCAAAAATGACGCCGTCAATGTGATTTTATGGGATATTCGCGGAATTTATTCTCCAAAACATCAACAATATTTTTACAAACATTCCCGTTATTGTATAAAATATTACGAGTTGAGTAAAAGTGTGTCAATGTGCTGCAAAAGGGTGAAAGAGGATTACAGAGAAGTTAATTGGTGAAAAAAATCAATTACAATAAAACCGCTCTTCTTAGCGTGCTGGCAAATTGAGTTGGCGAGCAGCAAAATCTCAGCAGGAAAAAAAGAAAGAAATACGCGCCGAGCAGGTGCAAAATCGAGTTGGAGAGTAAATTAATTCCTTTTGTCTCACCTGACTTTGATGGCACTTCTTTTTCGAACTGGCTTTAGCCGCAGCAAGAGAGTCCGCAATTTGAGATTAAATTTATTATATCGCAAACTCTCGATGCGGTGCAAAAAGGCGGACGAATTCAATAAACACACATAAGAGAGGTTCGAAGAGTTATGCAAAAGCTCGCGCGCGTCTAGGAAGTTTGTGCTTTCGCTTTACAACTGTTCGCGAGCGCCTCATATTTTATTCCGCTGATATATAATGCCCAATTAATTTGAGAAATATTCCACCTGCTCCCGTTCTTGTTGCCGAGAGAGTCTTCCTGTTCACTTTTTGCTGCACGTGTCCTCAATCATCCGTGGCAGGAATTCAGTGAACTTCCGACTTTGCGCTCAGTAAGCGCTGCTCATCCTTTAATCATATCGGCCGGAAAATTCTCCACGGAAGCGTAAAGATCACAAAGTGAGCGGAGATGAGACTTAATTGGCCAACCATTTAGACAGATATTTAGCACGTCCTCTTCACCCGTCATTTCTAGGGATTTTTTATGGGTCTTCATGTGAAATTGAGCGTGAAACCAGATGGAACTCAATAAAAATCGATTCACTGTGATACAGAGCGATTCACTGCGGATGCTTGGCAATATATTTGGGAGAAGGTGCGCGTCTGCTTGGGATTTCCCATTTATCACTATACCTTCAGTCTAATCTTCCCTCCGCCACATGATATTAAATGCAAATTTACATTGTGCGCTAAACATTCCGAAAACATCTCTCGCCGCCCAACTTTAAGGAAAGTTCCATGAAATTTCAAAACTTCCCTTCCGAGTCGATATGGCGAATTTATTGAAACTCAAACAAAAGGCATTTAAAAAGCACCGAAATATAATCACTTTATTCATCTTTTCCATACAAAGTCTGCCGCTCTCTTCGCTCAAATTGTGCATTTTGTTTGAAAACTTTTCTCACCAAATAAATTTTCAACTTCATTTCATTCGCAAATAGCTTCTGTGGCCAGCAATTTCAACAATGATATTAAAATCAACTGAGCTCTTCCAACATTGTGCACATATTTTAAGTCAACACAGTTCTGTATGCATGCGATAATGAGATATAAAATTTCGAGCTCTCCTATTAATTTGGCTCAATTATATTTTGCAAACATTCACTGATTGCCATCTGAAATTTATGCACAGCGTCTGTCTTTTTTTCCCATCAACTCATTCTCTGAAATCCTCGCTGAACTCAGCCCGAAATGCGTCGACTGGGATTTAATTGAAATACTTTGAATACTTCCACACTGGGCTCGATTCAAACATAATCTGAAACCCTTCATACGAATCCGAGTGATTTACAACGTGCCATCAAATGTGACAGACTTTCAGAATCTTCCCCATGTGCCAATAATATATTCACTCTCTTGGAAATTCAGTGGTTGTTTTCCATTAATTCTCACATGCTTACCAGAACAGGTACACGGAATCTCTTTTCCTCACTTCCGAGGGTTAACTCGAGAGGTCTGCTGATGTAAAACATATAAAATTACATCAGAAATTTGCCTATACATAATTTAACACATTATAAGTTTCATGCACAGAACTTTTCACATATAAAAGTTATGCGAAAGTTTGAGTGAACTTTTCATAGGGTTATTAGTGTTATTTAATATCTCAGAATTTTCCTCAAACTACCGAAATTTCTCTTCATTTTTCATGTCTCTTATCCAGGGAGAGAAAGTTGTGCTGAAACGGAGGAAATCCTCATAGAACGTGTAATGAATAAAGTATTGAAACTTGAGTTTTAACAACTGGCAAATTGTTAAGCAATTTCAACAAAGAGTTCACTGAGAAAGAAGGTAAAGAAATGATATTTTAGTCATGCTCATGATTTAATATTTATCCAGCAATTCTGTTTTGAAGATGCTCATGAAGAATTCAAAGAATTTCTTCCACTTTTGAGCAATAAAAGGGTTGAGAAACTTAGTTAAGACTTCTGTACTGAACGTCTGCGTATTGCCAATTAAACTATTCAAAACAATAAGAATGATTCTTAACAATTAAACCTGAGCAATTGGAGAAAGACAATTGTCGTAAGAACACTCAAAATGGTAGCTGCTGGCGAAGCTGGTCTGAGATCATCCTTCGTGGGCGTCTTTCAAGAGGACTCTGGGCTGTAGATAAAGAGAACAATTCCTACCAGAATCTGAACAAATACTGTGTCAATTGAAAAAAACTACAGACAATTTTTACCAGATATAATGAAAGGAATCACGAGTCTCGCAATGGACTCAAGTGTATTCACACTTTCCGCAAGTATTTTGTCCCATAAAACACTCAGGCAATTGAATTTGCCTCATTAGCTGTGCTTGTTATGCGATGAAAAGTGCGTGTTTCAAATTAATTTGGCCGCAAGAAAATGCACAGAGTGAAAGAAAGAAGAGAAAAAAGCCTCTAGAGAACAATCACTAAGCCAAAAATTTAGCATGAATATAAAAGGAGAGATTGTGTAACATCAAATTGATAATAATTACAGGAGGGAGGAAATGTTGAGTGTCTACACCACACTTTAATACCGGAACCACTTTACATTTACTTTTAATTCGAACCGAAATTAAATTCAAGTGAATTTCGGTCTTTGCCTCGCCATCACGATTGTCCCGAAGGGGAAAAGCCGGAAAGCTCTCGCCCTCACCCAATTTTCACGCCTCCGTTGATGATTCTGCGTGTCGTTCTGTGCCAGACATAATCGTAATTTTCGCTGGATTAAATTAAAATAAGGAACTCTCCTTCGCGAGGTGATGATTGTGATAAGTTAAATTCTTTTTTTTCTGCTCACTCATCGCCTCAAACTCCCCTTTTTGGCGAAGCGTCTGGGAAAATGTGTTAGCGCGCGTTTCTCTTTGGCGTTGGCAATTAATTTGCTAAAGACCACCTTAATTATTCATAAGCATGCAAAATTGCATCTCTGTGTAACATCAGTGCTGGGAAACACAATTTGTCTCTGAAATTGGCGCTTACCCCACAATATTGTGTCATTTTTACCTTTCACACGCCAAAAAGTCTCTCTCGCCATTCGCAGAATTTAATTGTGCGACCGTTGTGTTCGAAAATTGCCGCACTTGTGGTATTTTCAGCGGCGCTAGCGTCGTTCAGAGGAAAAAATGCCCCTGAAGGAGCTGTCATTGGAGTGTCAGTGAGGAAAATATTTCTTACCTGTGCAGCGCACTGCAAAATATCCTCATTTTTCCCCAATTTCCTCCCATTTATTTCACTTCTCTTCAGTGCACAGTGCTAGATTGCCAAGTGAAGTTTCTGATTTGTGTGCTTCCTGCGGAAATTAAGGGTGTTCAATGTGTGAAAGGTGAAAAAATATTTCCGAGAATTTCGCGAGCGGAGATGAAAAAGTGCGACTGAACGTAAGACATGCGTTGAATTCCGAGCGCGAGGCGCGCAAATTGAATTGATTGATAAATCCGCAGTTGTGTTTGTGACCGCCTGGAGTTTTGTTTACAACTTTTTTCCACCACAACGCGAGAACCCCATCAAATTTGCACGGCTCCCGTGTATCAATTAGTGGCAATTTATGCGCCTTTTGTGCTCATGAGTGTCATTGAAGATCCTCGAGCGAAGAGTGACACAATGAGAGATTAATCGAGTTTCCCCAGCAACTTTGTGATACATCTTCTAATTGGATTTCCCGCCAAGGATGCCATCGCCGTCAACCACAGCATCACCCATGGAGGACTTTCCAGGTAAATGAAATTCAATTTCGCCGCACAAGGGCTGTTGAAGCTCAGACTTTCGCGTTGTATTTGGCGTGTAATAAATCAACATTAGCTGTCGGCTCAGCGGGGATTTATTGTTTGGCTGAAAAATATTTGAAGAATTCCGAAAGACAAATATTTGCCAACGATGCTCGACTGTGATTAGATAAATTCGCACCACATCACATTCCCAATGCACACACAGTCAATTGTCATGCTGTGGAATCAGTATCAGTTTCTCGTTCGATCATCGCGCGTTATGCAATCGATCGCCTCTCGGCCGCAATTAACACAAAAGTAATTCATTGAGCCGCCCACGGCGGCTAGGAAAATAGTGGCGTCTGTTGTACGCGACATGAGTGCGGTTTCTTCATCGCCTGCCCACCTTTTTCCTGCGACGCGGGCAAAAAAATGATCTCCATTCTGTGTCAGGGCTCAGCATTATTTATTCACTCACGAATCTCACCTGGCCGAATGTTGGGCGCATGGAATCGAGAAGCGGATGTTGCACTTGTGTTTGCAAATAAAAGGCTTTTATTGGGATGAAAGGAGCCAATTTAGCCCAGCAATGTTGTGCTGAACAATTAAACAACAATTAAACTGAAGATATTTGATAGGAAAGCGAGATTGTTAAGAGCGTGAACTAATTTTTGAATTGGAAAATATCATAAATAAATTGAGAAATATGCTGAAAAGAAGAGATTTTAGGTGTGCCGAATAGTATTTGGAATGAATTTCAATTTATCCTAATAATAAACAGAATTGAATCTTTTCAAACAAAAGTACAATTTTTGGAGAATTTCTTTACTTTTATTCATATATAAATCTGACTTAATTTGATAAAAAATTCTTCATTTTTACCAATCAAATTTCACTGCAATAATTTTAAAGTTTCAAAATTATGTTCCTGTTGTGATAAGAAAATGGCATTTGGATAACAAGCTCAACTTTGCCAGAAAAAAGTTTAAGCGCATGGAATAATAATGAAACTCCGTGAAAAACTGGTAATGTAAATCTGAGTCTTTGGCGTCTCATAAGCGCAACATATTCAAATTATGAGGAGTTATGCAAATGCTGGAGTGAATGATAAAAAGAACTATCGGCGCACGTGAATGACAGCGTGAAAGTTATCTCGTATTTATTTGACCAGCGCTGAGATTTTGCCGTGTGATAAGCGGCCAGTTTAAATCGATTGATTACTTAATGACGGAACTATTTAGTCCACTTTGGCGTTATTTTATCCGCTGAATGTGAAAATGAGTCATTCTGGGAGAATGAACAATTGAGAGATTGTTGTGAATATTGATCTGAATGTTTTGTCTAGCGTTGCATAACGCCGCTGCTCGTCCGCAAATTGACACAGCGAGAATGTCGTCTTCCGGGTGAAATGGGTTTAATTGCGAAAAATGGGGATTTCTCCCGGCGGGGGAAATGGCAATAAGATGTGGGCAGGAAATTGATAACATCTACAATTTCCCTCTCTATCTCATGCTCTCTGCAGAATATCACAGTGTCCGGCAAACGGATAGCATGTCCAATTTAAGCGATATGTCCGGCAACACGACAACACAGCAGAGCAATCGCCCACGGATGGACGTGGCGTGCGTTATAGACACACATCAATCTGAGAATCTGCAGCATCGGAAGTCTGCGCTGGAGGAAATTAAGCAAGCGTGCTCGCTGGTGAATGCAAATTTGCAGTATATTCAGGTTTGTGACCTCGTGATTGTCTCTCAAGTGGGGGGAGCAGATTTGTGATGATTTGTGGCGCGCTTTCCTTGTAGTTTGAGAAGCTGGACTTTGGCGAGATTAACGTGTTGGACACGTTCTACAATGCTGATGTCGCTGTTGTGGATTTGAGCATTCAAATACAGCAGAGTGCGCTGTCTTATCACTTGGGCGTCCGCGAGAGTTTCGGCATGAAGGAGAATATTCTCATGTACAATGACACACAGACGGAGTCCACGCTGCGACTGAAGGTGATGAGAAAACTAATAACTGTGCTTAACACGTTATCACCTGTAATTGTAGCTTTAAAGTAATTAATAACTGCTATTTGTGTAGTTTAGCTTCAATTCTCTCTCTCTCGCGCAGACTTTCAATAATTAAGCAATCGTGTAATTGCTGTGCATGTTAAAGTTTTCACCCTAAGTAATTGAGTTGTGTTGTCTTCGCCCGGAATAGATTTCCTGCGGAACGTACACCTTCTTGTCGTACAAGCTTCTGGAGGGTGAGGCAGGTAATTCACCCGGGTCGTGTATTGTGACGAACCCAACGAGCGGCAAATTCACGGAAGACGCCCAGGATCCGAAGCAGTCGCTGGTGCAGAGGGTGAAGAAGCTGCTGCAGGATGTGGAGATACAGTCGAAGGCGCACATGAGGGAGAAATTCCTCACGGACCTGCGGGTGGCGCGCGAGCAGTATGCTGGGAATGGTGAGGAGATGGCGAAGGTGCTGCACAACATGCGGAAGCGCCTGGACGACCCGAATGTGGTGTCTGGCGAGGTGGTGCACAGCTACATGTGCTCGCTGCGGGACATTCAGGACTACGATGCGATGGTGCAGCTGGTGAACGACCTGAAGACGGTGCCCAACAAGCAGAAGTACATCACCACGGGGAATATGAGCTGTCTGTATGCCTTTGCGCTGAACCGGCGCAACAAGGAGGGCGACCGCGAGAAGGCGCTGAAGACGTGCGTGAAGGCGCTGGAGAAGAAAGAGAACCACTTCCCGGACATGCTGTGCCTCTGTGGACGGATATACAAGGACAAGTTCGTGGAGTCCAGTCACACGGACATCGACAGCCTACGGAATGCCATCAAGTGGTACAGGAGGAGCTTCGAGGTGCAGCCGAACGAGTACGCGGGCATCAATCTGGCCACGCTGCTTGTGATCGATGGCAAGGACTTCTCCAACACAGAAGAACTGCAGCACGTCGGCGTGGTGCTCAACAATTTGATTGGGAAGAAGGGCAGTCTGCCCTCGCTCACAGAGTACTGGGACGTGGCGACGTTCTTCGAGATTTCCGTGCTGGCCGAGGACTATGCCAAGGCAATCCAGGCAGCTGAGTGCATGTTCAAGCTGAAGCCGCCCAATTGGTACTTGAAGTCCACCATTGGCAATATTGCGCTCATTGATCGCTTCCGCAAGAAGTCCGAGGACTGCGACTCGAGTCTGGAGCAGCAAATCTTCCAGTTCTGGATGGAGTTCTTCATTGAGGCGACAAATATGGAGCCGAACGAGAACATTCGCTTCCCAATACTCATCCTCGAGCCGCAGAAGATCTACATGCCGAGCTACTTGATTGTCAACATGGGCGCGGAGGAGAAATCGCTGCAAATCATCAATATCTGCTTGGCACACTCGAAGGGCACTTGCAAGAAGGTGCACGACTTCCTCTTCACCGCCAATCAGATCAAATCCGTCAGCTTGTACAAGAGAGACGAGCGCTGTGCGTATTTGTACGTGCACCACAACTCAGATGACTTCCAGATTTACTTCCCGTCCGTGCCGAGTCGACAGCGCTTCTATGACATGGTGCTGGAAATGACGGTGGATCAGGAGGTGTTTGTCGATCTGTCATTGGACACCAATCAGATCAAGGTGAGTTAGTGTTGAATTACTGGTGAAAGTCCTAAAAAATTGAAAAATGTCGTGCTGAAAAGGACAGATTTCTAGTTAGTCAACTGTTATCAAGAGTCTTTTCCTGATTTTCTTTTTTTGTCAACCATCAAATGGAATTCTTGAATTACTTTATCAAATGTACAATCAATTTACATTAGAAGAACAGCGGAAATGTATTTTTTAACCACTTTTTCATTGCCAAAACATTGTTAGTTCTTTGAATCTATAATTCAATGATAAGAATAATGGAAAACTGTTTCACGCTTTTATATACAATTCTAGAGTTGCTCTGAATACTAATTTTTGTCACTCTCTTCTTCTCTGCAGTACGAATACGACTTGGATGATCAGAACAGGAGGATTCAGCTGGGAAAGGGCACTTATGGCGTGGTTTATGCGGCGCGCGACCTCAATACTCAAGTTCGTATTGCCATCAAAGAGGTGCCTGAGAAATTCTCACACGACGTCCAGCCTCTGCACGAGGAGATCAAGCTCCACAGTCAGCTGAGGCATCGGAACATCGTGCAGTATTTGGGCTCGGTGTCTGAGGACAACTTCTTCAAGATATTCATGGAGCAGGTGCCCGGCGGCTCACTCTCGGCGCTGCTGCGCTCCAAGTGGGGTCCGCTCAAGGACAACGAGTCCACCATTGCGTTCTACTCGAAGCAAATCCTCGAGGGACTGAAGTATCTGCACGACCAGAAGATCGTGCACCGTGATATTAAGGGCGACAATGTGCTGGTGAACACGTACAGCGGCGTGGTGAAGATATCCGACTTTGGCACGTCGAAGCGCCTGGCGGGAATCAATCCCGTGACGGAGACGTTCACGGGGACGCTGCAGTACATGGCGCCGGAGGTGATTGACCAGGGCGTGCGTGGCTACGGACCGGCGGCTGATGTGTGGTCATTTGGGTGCACAACAGTCGAGATGGCGACGGGAAAGCCGCCGTTCATCGAGCTGGGATCGGCGCAGGCGGCGATGTTCAAGGTGGGTTTCTACAAGAAACACCCCGAAATACCCGAAGAACTCTCGTCCATGGCGAAGAAATTCATCCTGCGATGCTTCGAAGTGGATGTGTTGAAGCGAGCAACAGCGGCTCAACTTCTGGAGGACCTTTTCCTCTCCGAGTGAGTTCAAATACACTCTAGAAGAGTGATTGTGTTATCAATCAGTGCCTCTTCTTGCAGCAAACATCGCAAGTCTGTTCGTGCGCCGGCAACTAATGTCATTGAGCTCTCGAGGAGCGTTTCAGTTCCAGCTGAGCGTCTGATTTCAAAGAGTGTCTCACCGAATAGCAGTCAATCTTGCGCTACGCCTACAACACCTGAACTAGAGTAAGTGTTTAAAAGAGTTTCTTCAACTGGCAGAAGCTCTCTATGCCAAAGAATGCACCTTGAGAGATGTTTTTTCGTGTCTTTTGCTTTCAATTAACACAATATAAAACACATCTCATTTGGCCTACACACGCTCGCGACGAGTCCCTCGCCAAGGCTGTGTTTCTATCTCTTCTCGTTACTTGTATAAATATGGTGTATATTTGTATATTCAGTAGCTGTTTGTCATCGACAAAAACATCACCGTCGAAGACTCCACATCACAATCACTTGGCTCCTATTCAAATTTCACTGGCGACAACCAGTTTAAGGTAACAGAAAAACATTGAGAAACCATCAATCTTCTTAAGAAAGAAAAAAAAAATGTGTACAGAGAGAAACAATTCGGCATTTTATTCTCCTTTTAAAGTTACTAACAAAACTCAGTGTCTGTTCAAATTCTCCATTGCCTTTTGATGTGCAACAAAATAATATAATAATGCATCTGACGATGAATGTCATGTGAAATTAATTCGCAATATTTCTCTGGATATTTACTTTCAGTAGCATCTCAAGTCCAACAATTGAACTCGAAACTGAATCAGACTCAAGTTCTTTCAGCTCAACCAGGCGATCTTCCGGTGGACTCTTATCTCCTGAGGTGAGGGAGAAAATGTAAATGAAATGGAATTTAAGGCTGATGAAAGATTGCGTTTGATTGTAGGTTGAATTGTCCGGCTCGAGCACGAAGAGTGTCTCTGGAGAGACGAGTGAAAGCGATGGTTTCTACATGCTGAAGAAGGATTCGCAGCGAAGAACGACTCTGTCCAAGGTGTTGAGCAATGACGAGGAGAAGATATGCGATGTGTGGATGAACAAGCTTGTGAAAGAGCATCAAGTTGAAATTGTGATTAATAAGGTGTTTAAAGCGCTGTGAAGACATCAGAAACACAATTCTAATGCACTTTTTTTCATTACAGTCTCACCTGGAACTGATGATCAGAGCCTTGAGATCATATATCATTGAGCAAAACAGGGAATTCTTGGAGAATGCCATCAGTCAGTTGAAGAAGAACCTCGACTTTGACTCAACTGCCATCGATCATCTGCATTTGGCTCTGTATTCATTTCAAGTGAGTGGTAAAGTTGCTTTTCGTGTGAATTTTACTGAAATTCCTCTCAAATTGCAGGACGCAGTCATCAGCGTGCTGCGATCGCACAGCATTAAGCCTCACTGGATGTTCGCTCTGGACAATCTCGTGAAGAGTGCCGTGCAGGCGGGAATTACAGTGCTGTCGCCGGAATTGGGCGCCAATTTGGCTGGTCAGATTGACACGGGCGACGATGACGATGGCGAAGACATGTCAACGTCCGGCGCCAGCACTGTGAACTCCACGAAGATGAAGTCTTCCAAGATGTCGCAGGAGAAGAAGTACATCTCAGACGAGTACAGTCAGCTCAAGGCGGAGAATGTGCGCCTCATGCAGGAGCTCATTGAATCTCAGAGGACATATCAGACCTTCCTCAAGGGCGCCGTTGAGGAGCACCACGTGAATCTGGAGGTGATGCGGAACTTCCTCACGCAAGTCAGCACGACGGCGAACGTGATGGAGAGGAGCATTTCGCAGGGCTACTCGAGTGACTTGAGCGAGAATGGGCGCCAAGCGAAGCTAAGCGCTGATGACGATGTGGACGGCAGGAGACTCACTCTGGGCAGGAATTGCTCACACGGCAAGAGTGACTTCGGCCGATCGATCAGTATGACGTCCAGTCGACGGATAAATTTCGCTCCTTCGCCTGTGGATGTCGTGAAGATGGACAGCAAACTCAATGAGTGGCTGCTGAAGTACAGCATTGACACACAAGCGAGAAATGTGATTCACGCAGAGGAGTTCTCGTACGAGGACTTTGTCTATGGCCTGCAGAAGGATGATCTTCGACGCATAGGATTGAGGTGAGTGGCAAAAAAGCACTAATTTGTCCTCTTGTGCTGATTTTTTGGGCTGTCTTGCAGAATTGGAACGGAAGTGAGGATTTGGAATGCGCTGAAGAATCACAGAGCGACGCATCAGAGTGTCTCAGAAGAGGCGACAAATCGCACCGAAAGCTCAAATGCAGATGGATTGTTGGTGGCGAAATCCAGCTCAAATTCAAACTGCAACAGTTTTGACTCCAACAGCACGTCTTCGGAGAACGTCGATTACGATTCTTGCAATGGTTTCGACGAGAAGAATGATTTTTAAGTGTCCAGTTTATTATACAATCTTCCCTCCCCTTAACTTGCCACCCTTTTTTGCCCTCCCCCAAAACGCCTCTAACCCAGTGCCATTTATATATTATTTTGTGTACATTTATACTCAATTGTATAACAAATACTTTACCAGCTACAGAAGGATTTCTCTTGAATAGCCTGAATAGCACAAAATGTAACGAATATGTGATGATGAAGCAGACAGTGTGAACCTGATCGTGATGTGCCTTTGAGAACTTGCAAAGTTCTGTAAATCATTTTTATTAAGCTGTAGAACAGAAAAACATCACATATTTTTGTAAGGACAAAAAGCCTAACTACAAAATGCAATTTATCCACACTGGCAAAAGTGTCGATACAAAATGGAACGAATTTTTATCAGTAAAAAAAGAAAAGAAGAAGAAAATTTTTCGCCTGTAAAACTGTAAGAAAAATGTGTTGTAATTATATGCAAGTATTGAAAAAACTGTCGCCTTTCATTTCACGTACATTTAATTAATGTGTCCAATTAAATACACGGCTCAAGTTTTTAATAATTTCAGTGGGTGATTTATTAAAAAAAAGGGGAGTTAAAATTAATACGGTGCTAATAAATTGCGAGTCGTGGCGCGGCCACGCGTTCTCGGGAGCGCCTCACTTGCCCAGGAGGATCTTTCGGGTGGCGCCGAAGCTCTGGCCGGATTGCGTGGCGCCTCTGTTCGTGCCCGCCTGCAGGCCGATGATGTTCTCGCCGGCGCGCATCTGCTCCTCGGAGAACTCACGTCGGTTCTCCTCCGACGGTCGGGGGCCTAGGTAGGGTCCGGGCCACTCGGGGTGTCTGTAAGTCTGCGGAGAAGAGGCGCGATTAGTTGGATTGCGAAAGAGGTGAATGCGAAGAAGAGACTCACCGCGCGCCCAACGGCGAAGATGGTCTGGGTGACGAGGGCGATGTTCTTGCGGTCCCACAGATCCGTGGTCTGGAAGAGATCCACGTCGGCCACGCCGTATTTGATGCACGCCTGCTGGAATCTGCGGAAGAGCGAGAAGTGGCCAAGTGAGACCGGAGGCGCTCGAGTGGCGCCGCGGGAGGGAACGCGATTCCGAGTACGCGAGGCGCAGAAACTGGCGCTGCACGCACCGAATGGCGCAGCCGGGCGCGCTGTGATGAGCAATTCTGTGCCACGAGCCACCAGGCGCGCACACTTCGCCGCTCGCCCAGCTGACGGCTCCGCGCCACTGGCCAGATTGCCATCGCCAACTCTTCATGCACATCTCTCTCGGCCAGCGGAAAGGCGTTTTCCCTCCAAAGGAAAGTGCTCTCGATTTTGCATGATTCAGAATTCATTATCGCGCGATTTTACTATCAGCCCACGATCTTGCTTTTCATGCTAATTGCACCGCAGCAACTCGGAATGCGGCAAGGCGAAAGGTTGCCAATTGATTGATGTGAAGAAACTATGCGATAGAAGCAATTAGGTCACCTTGTGCCAGTCCAAGGAAGACATTTCAATTAGACCACAGATTTTTCATTCGCCAATTTGCATAGCACAATTTATGATGAGAAAAGAGACATTAAAATATAACAAGTCTAGTGATGCAGTGAATATAAGTAAAAACGGGGCAAATGAACACCGAAAATAACCCAATTCGCTATATTTCAAACTAGAACAGAGATAAGATTAGAAACATCCAAGGAAACATCCAAGAAAGCCAGATTGTGGAAATATTTTTGGTATATTTCAAATCATAAAATACTCAATTTTGCTATCATTTAACCTCCTATTAATTCACTTATAATTAATTATGATTTATTTATTAATTCCCTTAAAACAAAAACAATAAATAAAAGAGAAATTATGGCATTAAAGTGAGTCTATAATTTGTTGAACCTGTTTTCCTTAGAATTTCTCGTATTTTATGCAAAGTTTAAGGCTTTAGAAATGTTTTAAAATTGAAATCCAATTGAATTTGCAATAAAAATCTATGAAAATTTATTTTTAAAGGCAAATCCAAAAAGCAAACTCAAGCAATTCGTGCTTTTATTCCTTTTCAGTCTCTCTTTTCGTGAGGACGAACGTCCTTTAAAGTTCATTGGCATTCGAACGCTGACCTTTCGTGAAAACCACCTCTTTAATTATGTACCTTATGTACCTGCTCAGAATTACGGAATGTATTTAAGACCGCATTCAATGGGCGGAAAGACGCTCTCGCCCTCAATCTCGCGAGAGGCGCTCAATCTGGCGGCGTAACGCCGCACAGGAAGCCGATGATTGGAGTAAATTTGCACTTCCCACCCTGAGTGTGCTTCATGGCTGATTTAGAGCGCGGCGGGGTGTGAAATTCGCCGCGAAGCCACCCTCGAGCGCGAGCGGAGGCGCTGCGGAGCCGCGCGTGACTTCTGCAAGCCTCGTAAACTTGTGGACAAGACCTCAAGGTCTTGAAGTTGGCAATCTTCTGGCGCTCATCTCCGCTATCGGCGCCTCCCCGAGCACACACGGACTCCTCATATGGCCACGCGCCCTGCGGCTAATCCGCGGGGCAGGTGGGGGCCCGCGCGCCTTCCCAGCACTGTCACTGCTGTCCGTGACATCAATCTGACAGGCATGGCAGCCAGTGCGCGACCCGGCGCGCAGAAGAGCGCCACCTCGCGCCGCTGGCGGGCTTCTTGCCGCTTCTGCTGCCTCGCTACACCGTCCAATCTTTATGCTAAGAAATTTAAATTATCCGAGGACGACAAACAAAGGGAGCTAGTTTGCACAGGTTCGCGTCTAAATTAGTCAACAAGACGAGCAGCGGGTGGCATTAGAGCGGCCGGCCGCAGTCGGCGGGACCTCAGCGCGTCTCAGGAGAAGCGCTCGTCCCCTCCACGCGCCGCCCGTGCGCCAGGGCGCGGCAGGGGAAGCGCCGGCCGCGAGGAGTGGAGGAGCGCCAAGTGGGCTCGCGACTGGAGCTCTCGCGTGTGCACAGAAAATGGTGATCCAACGTGCTCCAACTGTAGCAGGCGCCCAGAAGCGGCTGCGGCGCGTTGTAAATATAATTAACGAATTTTTGCTTCACTCACTGACTGATATTGTCCATCATTTTGTAATCGCCGCCGGACGTGTTGATCCGCTGGATGAGGCCGGGCTTCAGTCTGTTCATCAGCCGGCAAAGGATGACTCCATCGCGAAGGATGTCCTCGTACAGGACGCCGGGCGGGAAGCGCTCGCCCAGCACCGTCTCGATCCAGTGCTGCGCCTCGGCCTCCTGCGAGGGCTCCCGCTTGCCAGCAACCTGCAAAGACAGAGAGCCATCAATCTCGGACAATTGACCCCCAAGGCACTCCATTAAGCAGGACAAAAAGGATTATTGTTAACCCTTAGAAGATGTTGGTGAAATGTCGAATTTTGATAAGAGCTTTTATGGTATTTTACAAATTGTTTTGTCGATGTAAGTGCATTATAGTAAATTCCTTATCAAATTTTAGAGTGTTTATTTCCACAAAAAATTGGCAAACTTACTAGAAAGGGTTAAATTTGTTTACCTAAGTGACATAGACTGATTTAACAGCGTGATAACATAAACTAAATTTGTTTATTGTGAAGATTTTGTAACCATTTCAAGTTTTGAGCACGTAAATCATATTTCTTCAAGCATATTTGCAGATTGTCTTACAGTTTACTGGTTCCTAAGTCAATGTTAATATTCAAAAATAGCTTTTTACAATTTTGTTTCTCAGTAAAGAAATTAAAAGTGGAATATTCGCTTTAATCCTCAGTTCTCAATCCTCGAAAACCTTAAATTGAAAAAAGAATTTTACATTTGCGGGCGGGGCAACGAAAGGGGCGTGGCTTTTTACTCAAAATCTTCAATATAAACAAGGAAATATATTGCATAACTGAAACTTTTTGCTAAATCCTTACACCGGACACCAAATAATCATGTCTAGTAAAAAATGACACGAGTTTGAGATTAATCGAGACAAAGGCCACCCACTCTTCTTCCCCTTTGCTAAAAATGCTAATGGCAACTGTTCCGATGATAAATGAGATTGAGTTGCAGAGTTAATTACTTCATCTCTAGAGAGCAAACAATTAGTGGAAAGACCCAGAAAAAAAGCACAAACACGCGAATCGAATTTAAATGCGAATTCTCTGCTTGATTGATTTGATGTATTTTCGCTTCTTAATGCTAATTAAGCAGCTACTTTTTATGTGCATTGTCACTTGACCTCTGCTGTAGCTTTATAATTCAATCACCTTCTTTTTTCCCTGCTCTACTTTATGTTCATCAGCATCACATAAAGTGAGCTCGTATTTTGAAATGAGCCAGAAAAAAGTGACTGCTGATGTGCTTAATGAATTTCCCTGCGAGTTGTGATGATATGAATTGCGTGGGCGTCGAGATCCATTAAATTGCGTGAAAAAAGTCCACTGTACAAAATGGCCAATGATTAATTTGTGTGGAAGTATAAACAGAAATTTTGAGAACGTGAGCTCACCCGCAAAGCCATCGGCTTTGAAGTGGAAGGAAGTGCGAATGGGAGGAAAAAAGAGCCGCGAAACTATGAATGAATGTCGTCACGTCGCGTGTGTTGAAAGCGCGTTCGCCCGAAGAGTCGGAGAAGCTGGAGCTGACGCCTGGTACTACGGAACTTTCGGCGCTTTCGCCGCTCTGGCGGGAGCTCTGGGGACTTTGGGGCTCCGCGAGTCTTTTTTCTAGCCTGGTACTCGGTGTCTACATTTGGGACTGACTCCATTTTATTTGACATCCACTCAGGCGAGCGTAATTGCCCAACTATGAACTTCTATATTGTGGCGATTCATCAGAAATAGATTGATGTTTGTGGCACTTTTTTCGCAATCGATTAAAAATAGGTCGTTTTGAGAAATTGTGCAGCCTTTGTTTTGATCGAATGCGTGATGGGACTTTGCCAAAAAATTATTTTTGGAAGTCCCAAAGCGGTCCAAGAAAGCTTGATTAATTCAACACATTTTGTCAGTGAAACATGGGTTGATTAATTTGGGGCGGTGTTGTCATTTAGCGTGTTCGAAGCGACGGACGGAGGAAATTATCTGATTTTTAACATGATTTTTTAATGCTTAACGCCTTTAGCGCCTCAATGTGTTCTTGAGCTCAATTGAAGGAAATGATTTTCTATAGACATTTTCAAGTGAAATCGACGTTTGACTATAAATTCTACTATTTACGATTGTAGGAAAATCTTTGAACTGCATTTTTATGATTGGTTTTTATTGGAACAGAGGCTTTGTTTGTAATTTCAATGTAAAAACAGCAGAACATTCCTAAAGTTATTCTCTTTCATGGCACACACAAGAAGAAGACAATATAGTCAGAAATTTAAAAACTTACAATATTCATTTCCTCAGTGATTCTTTCACTGACAAATTATTCTGATTCTTTGAATTACTCTTTATTTTTACGTAGAAATAGTCACAATAATCCTTTTCTAAGTTATGTCACGAATCAAGGCCAGATTTAGTGAATACTTTGCAGTCTAGCTCATCAATTCTTATGCTTAAGTCGGAGAAATCGTAAGTAATTGGCAGAATTAAGCGTTTGAATGTAATAAACATTGCTATTCTGCACCATCGATGCCAAGAAACCCAGTAAAATGAGATAAGATCGAACATAACCTCAAAAATATTAGTTTGAGATTAAAAAATATTGATTTCGAAAACGTTCTGAGCAACTTTAACTTTGAATCAGCAATTTTGAGTTCTTTGACAATTCATGACAGATGATTTTGTGTCCTAAAAAGCTTCCTAACAAAGTCTATAAGGATTTCTTTGTGATATTGTTAGGTTATGTCCGGAAAAGTTGCCCAAAAAAGAATTTTTAATCGATTATTGTAAAAATGTCGAATGAACAGTCAGAATTTGTATTGCTTAACCCGATAAATTTGTTCAGTTTCTTTGGACAAAAAAACAGATTCTGCTCATCTATTCTTGATGCCAAGATAGAGGCCTGAAAATTTATTGCTTCACTCATAATTACTTTATTATGATATATTAAATAGTTCGATCCGCGTGTTGACGTTATCCACCAAAATGTTTCCAACCAGTCGCAGGATTAATAATAGCAAATGTTGACTTTATCTATGCATACGCCAAACACTAGAGAAACCGAATTTTCACGTCAGTTTTGGCCAAGAAAAACATCCTCGCAGAATTGTAATACAATCTTACATAAATCAAATTACTTCCAACACATGAAATATGAGGCAAACACCGAAATAGCTCGAAAAGAATCCAACTCAAGTTCAAGGCATTCAGAAGTGCAGCTGTTATGAACCATGGCATTGATCATATTCCACTTCGCGGATGTAATAAATCGCGCACGATATAATTAATAAAATAAGCAAAATATATTGTTAAAATTGGCAAACGAATTATTCGCGTTGCACAAGTTGACATCATATTAGATTTATGTCAGCATGGCAAGGTGTCGTGAGGTGCATTTTATAGAATTGGCGATAGTCTCGCCTCTAAATTCAATTATCGAGTTATTAAATCACAAAGTTACAAATTTGTAATGGGCTATTTTCTCTGCGCTCGCCACCCACGCGACTGGCGTCGCTCTCGCTCGCACTCGCGCGCGTAATCTCTGTCCCGATGATGGCGATGAGAGGGAGTTAATCTCTGTTCAGCAACATTCTGCCCAACATATATCCACTCGCGCCGAATTTCGCCGACAAGTCTTTCCGTCCGCTCCTGTATTTTTGGTCTAATTAACTTAAATTCGGTATTTTGAAACATTTCTTGTCAGTCGAAAGTTTGCGGCTTTTCGTGAAAGACGACATCTTCGTGCATATCGAGTGCTCGATTAATAACTTAGCCCCTCCTTTTTTCAATTACACTAATAGTCCCTGAGAATGGCGGTAAGTTATTCTTCTCATTCCTCTGCCATTTGCCAAAAATCATTCGAATTTTTTCCCAATCGCCCTGGTGTGTGAACTTGTTAAATTTGCAATGTTTTGTGGTTATTTTTAAAATGTGTTTGAAATTTATTTTAAAAATTCCATTAATTTTTTCACTCAAATAAAGAGCCGAGTGAATGAAAAGTTAGTCCAAATGTTTACTGGCTCAGAGACTTCTGCTTCATCTCAAGTACAGCTGAATTGGTAACAAATAGAAATTCCCATCGCCAATTGACCGTGGATGTTCTTGACGCCACCATTCGTTATTCTCTAGTGTTTATACATTGGATCAGCGCTAAAATTCATACACCACAGCCATAATCTCTCGGACAGAAGCACACATCAGCGCAAATATATATTCCGCGAGAACTCTTCTATGCTTGAACCTAAATCATATCCAAAAATAACAGTGCTTAACTCCCCAAATCTTGACGCGCTTTCGCGCTATGCTCAGCTCCGTGCGGGTGGTTTTTCGAAGAGGAGAAAGAAGTTTAATGTCTGTCGTATCGGCTATTTTGAGACGATGATAGCATCACATTCGATCTGCCTTGTTTTCCAGCCGCGCAACAAGGAACAAGAGGCTGAAGTGCTCAACTGGATTGGAGCTGTTCTCGGCGAGAAGTTGTCTGGCGACTACGAGAATGTCCTTCGCGATGGAGTGGTTCTGTGCAAGCTCATCAATAAAATTGTTCCGGGCTCCGTGAAGAAGATCCAGGAACGCGGAACGAATTTCCAACTCATGGAGAACATTCAGAGGTGAATCGACTGCCTCGAATCTCTTCATGCTCATCATTTACCCTGTTTTCCGTGCAGATTCCAGGCGGCTATCAAGAAGTATGGCGTGCCTGAGGAGGAAATCTTCCAAACTGCTGATCTCTTCGAGCGCAGAAATATTCCCCAAGTCACTCTGTGCCTCTACTCTCTAGGAAGAATTGTGAGACGCAAGCACACCCTTTCATTCCCTGAGAACGCATTCACATTCCTCCTCATTCCAGACTCAACTCCATCCGGAGTACGCCGGACCAGCCCTGGGACCAAAGATGGCCGAGAAAAACGAGCGCACGTTCTCGGAGGCCCAGCTGAGGGCCCACGAGGGCGAACTCAATCTCCAGATGGGCTTCAACAAGGGCGCCTCGCAGTCTGGCCATGGCGGCTTCGGCAACACGCGTCACATGTAGATTTCACACGAATCTCTTGTCTCTCTCTAATGCACAATTTGTATAATGTTCTTTTCTTTGATCAGAATTGACCTAGAGGTAAATGCGCTTTTCTATTTTTCCAACATACTTATTTCACAAACACTCATGTTACAAGCGATGATAATTGAATGCACAATAAATTGCATTTGATGCCACCATGCGATGAGGAAACTTTTCTGTATTTCTAATGAACTCGCAAGGCAAAAATTGACCAAGAGACTTCTTATTGCACAATGTTTGTTTTGACTTTCAACCCAAACATTTCACAGATGTTGTATTCAATAGGCGTTATTAAGGAAGCTTTTACTGATCAGCCTAGGCTGGTCTAGGCTCAGCAGGCTAGATTGGAAAGTTCTACATGAGTTAGGCTGAAAAAATACCTTCTGAATCCTTTACAAAGATCAATTATAGAAGTAGTTTTAAAAGAATTCGAAATAAAAATTTCCCTAATTATAGGTAAATTATAAATTTTTAAAACAACCTTAATTTAAATCCATTTTAAATTTTTGCGCTAATATTTTTCAAGCAATAATTAAAAATGAACTACAAATAATAAATAATAAATAAATCAAAATTTTGCAAAGATTAAGATAAAAAAGACGAGTGCAAAACTGAGTCTTTAGCAGTGAATCTTCCGAGTCAATAAATGCACTCGTCTTTCTCATTAGCAACTGCTAACAGCCCAACAATCGTGTGTTCAGTTTGGCTCCATTGAGTTCTTTTCTATGAAGACATTGCTAATTGAACTTGGCGTATGAATTTCCTCTGCTGTGTTGCATACTCTAGACTAGACCCTTGGTGTGTTGCGCGCAGAACGGGTGGCTAATGCCACGTTTTGCGTGCAATCTGAACATGGACATGCGGAGAGTTGCATAACAGACGATGCAAGAACCGATTGCAATTATATGCGTCAACGACTAACGCATATATTGAACTGTGTATTACCCTCCAGAACATGGAAACCAATGGTTCGGGTGTTGAACAAGAAAGATCCGCCGCGAGCCCCGCGGCATTTTTGATGGACGGTCGGGTGGCTCTGGTAAACAAGCAATTGTGCGAGATTTATGGAGATCTCACTCGTGAAATAATGAGAAAAATATATGATTAAAGTGATTAATTTCCACTTTGAATGTGTCTAAGCACAGAGTGGATTGAAAATGCATGATTGAGACGCTTGGGTGCAGAGAAAAAATACCTGTCGAAGATGCACTTAAGCGCTAATTGACCATTTCGAATGTATGTAAATTTCAATGAAAACAGTTCTGCAATTGCTATAGAATTATGGGTGAATTGCGGTACGAATTCAAATACACAATTCGATGGGATGCGATGTTCAACAGTTGTTACTGTGAGATTTCCAAACCATTTGCTTTCAATCGCTGCTTATGCTGCCGATCGTGTACATAAAGAGAGAGAGAGAAAACTACATATCATTGTTGTGGACAAGAATCTCGCTGAGGATTTCCTAATGGCATGACACTTTTTCCTAAGACTCCGTCCTTGACGCATGACGCTCGCAGATTGTCGGGGATGTCTTTTTTGGCAGAACAATAAAGGTTTAGATGATAGTTAATTAAACAGTGAAACAAGTTCTATGTTTTTGTTGCAACAGATAATAAAAGCATGCGCGTTTTAGAACCATTCTTAAGGTTACCGTCAAGGTTGATTGTCGTGTGTGTATCGGAAATTAATCATGGTCTTCATAAAAGTGATAATTTTTTGGGGCAGTTCCGTCGCGATTACCAATAATTGACCACGATTTATGGCTAATAGGACAATTATGGGTTTAATGGCCGATTGATTGTGACTTTGGATATGCATTCACTCTTCGCTCACATCCCATGCTGTAGTTGCTGTCCCCGATTTCCTTGATATATTATTTGAAATATACATCGAATCCACTGGAACTGTGCACATTGCAAATCGATTGCATTTTCACAAACTTGTTGCACATTTTGCTATATGTGAAAATGTTACAAATAGAGAAAAAATACAACCATTTTTGCCATGTGTATTGGAGATTGGCACACACCGAAAAACTAGAAGTCAACCACTCGATGGAGACCTGTTCGTGGTGTTGATACTACACTATTATGGCTTGTAAGTCAAAGAAAAAATTGAAAATGTTGTCTTACTACCTACTGTAGAAATGTATGGTGTATGCAGATGTATATGGACGAGACATTATATAATGGATTCCTAGTAAATTTGCTCGTCAGACGGTGTCAGGCATCGGTGTCGAGAAGACAAAATCCGCAGCCTTTTACGGACACGAATTTACCGGAAATTGTGCAACGCGCAACTTCCTTCCAGTGAATAAGTTCAAGAGTGTGCTGTGAAATAGAAATCGCAGGCGCCAAAATGCTAAGGACTGTGATTTGCACGGTGTTGATCCTGGCGATCGGCAGTGCAAGTGGATATATTACGACGAAGCGTAAGTCTATCGCCTGATTATGCCAAAATCAGTGCCAGAAGTTGATCATTTTGTATCACACCCAAAGCGGACTTCCTCACGCCATGCCCGATAATGTCCGTGCCGGAAGAGGAGTTCACAAAGTGCTCCACTGAGGACATTCAGAAGCTCTTCGAGAATCTGTACACCGGAATTGAAGGCCTAGAAGATGTGGTTGTTGATCCGCTCAAAATAAACCGCATCAAAGTGTTACAAGGTGCTGGTCCTGTGAGTTTGAACGCGTCCTTGTCGAAAGTTACCGTGACTGGGTTCAGATACACAAACGTCACTGAAAGCAAGTAATAATTTATGACTTTGTCTCATAAGCACGTGCTGCCAAGCGACGAATAAGTTGATGCTGACAATCTCAATCGCTTCCATACACAGAGTGAGTCCGAAGGACTTCAGCTGGGAGACGACATTCTTCCTGCCCAAGGTGCGCATTGAGGGCATCTACAGCATGCAGGGAAGGATCCTGATCATCCCCCTGAACGGCAGGGGAAAGTGCTGGCTCGAGCCTGAGAACATGACCATTCGCATGCACACGAAGACGCGCCTGATCGAGAAGGACGGCTTTGTATTCTACAATGTCACAGGGACGAAGGTGGATTACGACATCAGCGGCCTGAGGCTGCGATTCGACAATCTGTTCGATGGAGTTAAGGCGCTTGGTAAGCAAACATCAGCATTTATAATTAGCCTCAAAGTCACTCAACAATTGAACATTATTCATCTCTTTTGACTCTTTTCGCGGTCAAACGATCGTCAAACTGATTCTCTCTTGAACAGAGGCGTAGTCGAAGATCATCAGCCGTTAGATAGGGGAAATCGGGGCATTGTGGGCACAAAAAACCTAAGAATTTTCAGTGTTTCTAAATTTAGCTGAGTGTCTAATTTAATTTTGTAATATTCGTAGTTTTACGAGCATTTCTTCGTATATTCTTTATAGTGGATAAAATTAATTACAGTTTTTACCTTTGTAGTCAAGGTCAGAAAATGACATTTTTCGCCTTGTCGGATTAAAAAAAAAAGTTCTTCCTAAAGTTTAGCAAGAATTTTATCTAGAATTCTAAGTTTGGACGTCAAAATATCCTCTAAATAATTCACGTTGTTGATTAACTTCAATCAATTTAATTGATTTCAACTAAAAAGTGTTTAATTGTAAAGTGAGATTAATTTCATAAAGTGCGCTGCTCAAAATCGTCCCACTGTTCTCTATATTCACCAATGATTAACCGATCAACTCAGTGATCTTCATCTATTTGATAAAGATCTGATAAAACTTCTCCACTTCTGTCTAGTTAAAATATCTCCATTTACACTCTCGAGTGAGTGATATAATTTCTCGAATTTCCTATGCGCACTTCCGATATGTGAAAAATGTTAAATGCCTCGCAAGTTGAAGTAGATCAGAAAAATTGCAATGCAAATTATCACATTTTTCCTATGCAGATGCACGGCGTGCGATTTCCCTTGTCACTCACATAAGCAAAAAACGAAGCAATTTAGTGAAAAAAAATGCACTTCAGCAAGATGAAGTCACAAGTTGTTCCGAATACTCGACGGGCCGTAGATTTTTCTCATTAAATGCGGGAAACCATATGATCACCGCATGCAACACTTGGCTTGGCAAGAGCTCGTGTTTTCTCCATGATCACCACCTCTGCGGTGTGTGTGATTCCACGCCGTGCGATTCGTGTGGCGCGAAACATTGTACAGATCGTATTGTGTGTCTCTTGCAGAGGAGAGCACCAATGCCTATCTGAACGAGAACTGGCGTCCCGTCAACGAGGGCCTGAAGCCTGTCATCGCGAAGACCGTGGAGGACATCCTGCTGAGGATCATGCGGAAGATCTTTGACAACATTCCCGCCAACTTTTTCGTGTCTGATATACCAAAACCCAGCGAACTGTACAGTCGGAAGAACTAAAGCGAGACATTCCAACTTTTATGCGTTAATAAAATGTGTAAATAAGGTGCAGAGCTTCTATGTACATTCCAATGTAATGAGTTAAGAGCCTAGTCTAGACTAAAAGTGTGAAGTTAATTAAAGTTATAGGAGAAAAAAACTGTATTTATTTGCTTTCAGCCGATGCTAAACACTTCTGGGCCAAAGGTAGGGAAAAAAACTCAAGTCTTTTGAATAATTTCTCTTTGTAGGAAAATCTCGGGTAATTAAAACAGCGCAAAGTATCTTCACAAATACTTGGTGAACCGCAAAATTGGAACCTTGTCAAGAACTTGGAGCTTTTTCTGGCAATTTCAGCGTAAACAACTTTGCGCGCGCGGCAAACAAAGAAAACCTTTTTCTCCATTAGCAGCAATTATCACAAATCATGTGCAGGATCAACAAATTACCTGCCAAAGTGGACGTCGCATCATTTTGTATTCAAACTTTTAATTACTTCACAGATAATGCAAGAAAAATCACAAATTCTCAAATGGAATTCTTTGAAAGTATGCACAGAATTTCACACAGTAAAAAAAGGCACTTTTCGGCAAACAACTCAAAACTTGATGTGCGCGCAAGAATTTCCCGCTCTCGAGTGTGGATTTTCACCGTTTTCCTTTCTGTTGATGCGATGTTTGTGAATGATGAAATTGAAATACCTGTTTTTGGGTCAATGCGAACTTTTATATAGGCGTCCGTCTAATCATGAACCTCCTCTCCACGTTTAGTCTTCTCGAGATGATTTTATAAGATCTATATCTGTGTGGCATGTTATACTTATACACGTACGCTCGGAGCCGCCCAGGGGGGTTGTGTACATAGCGCGCGCATGGAAATGTGTGGGTAAAATTGTGGATTTTTCTCGGCGATGCGCGCGGGGAGATTCTTTGTGTTTAAGTACAGCGCGAGATTCACTCATCTCATTTTCTTTCGCCATAATTTCACTCTTTCACCAACATGGAGTCTCGCTTTGCGAGGAAAGAGACTATTATAGATCATCTGCACTAAAAAAGTAGAATGAAAAGGCAATAAAAAAGGTGAACATTTAGCAAATTAATGAATAAAGAAATGATATCGGGTGCATGCCTTATGAGCATATTAAGTGATTGGTTGGAATAATTTAATCGAATCTTATTTGCTAATTTCAACAATTAATTATGCAAAATTGCTCTTGCATAAAAAATAGAAATTTTTCACTCTGCACGATTGTGGAAAATAATCATTTTCTCGAGAGCATTTATAACTGCGCCCAGTGTTTTATTCCCATCGCACATGGTATTAATATTGGAGCAAGATCAGAATTGTGAATCACACACTATTTAATTATTTTCCATGCTTGCAACTAACTGATTTTACTCCACCGTGAGTAATATGGTATAATTTTAGACACCCCCAAAATAATGTATCCACACACAAACACACGCAATCGAGGGATCTTTCCGCTCAAACAATCATGTGTGCCTCTCTGCCATTCCACATGTATTTACTTTTAGGCAAAAATATCTCAGAGGACATGCGAAAAGCCGAAGGCGGGATTTTTCACATTATACATCTGTCATGTGTCCAAGTCAAATAAACCCTCTTCATGGCCGGCCAGCAAAGTCTTCCGAAGACACTGACCGAAGAGCCGCACAAGGACTGAACGGTCAATACAAGCGCGAGTACGGAAAACATGTCTATTTGTGTGTAAGCTACGCAGTTAATCACCAATGACTAGTCATAATTCCTGGATTTTCACAATCTTTTATGCAAATAAAAAGGTAATTTCATGCTCCATAATTCTTCATATGTTTTAAGTACATTCATTCGATCGACGAGAGGCCAATAGCTTTAATTGTTTCACTAAGGAATAATCCAATCGAGTCCCAGTCTTTGACACTTGATATAGGATGTGATAAGCTAACGCCAAGACTAGTTGATGAGCGATGCAAACCACTCGAAATGTACCCAAACAGGCGTTCAAAGTTAAATCAATATGGCGGCGTTCTTGATGACGTCAAAGGCCAATAGTGGATGTGGTCTCTTGGAGGGTGTTGAGACACGTCTTTTGGTGGAGAGATGATCGAAATTGGTTGGTAAACAGCGGAGATATAGGTTGGTAAAGGTGTGAACTTTAACCTTCCATATGTAATTTATATCCATATCTAAATGAGCTCAGAAGATGTTTGAACTAAACCCAGACATAATTCTCATTCTGCTGAAGTCTCGTCTAGGTGTTGGAGCTTTCTTTTTGAATTCCACCCAGAATTAATGTTAGGAATGCCATTACAATTTCATTTTTCCCCCATTTCTACGTCAATGCGGAATGTAAACTATCTAACGCAGAATCTCACGCTCGTTCTCACTCTGAAATATCAGCTGCAGGATGTTTTTCCGGTCTGTGGCCCCGCAGCTAGTGAAAATGTATTTACGACTCTCTGCTGAATATCTGGCCTTTCATCAGACTATCAATTGGAGAGGCGCGAAGCAAGTTGATACTGATCAGAGAGCGGCCAGAGAAGGCGGGAGTGATTAGTGCGCCGACTGATTGAAATGCTCCTCTGAATTTATGTGGCGTGCAACTTGAGGTTTGCTCTACAATTGCCTTATGTGGCAAATGGCTCTCATTGAATTCCACACTAATTTGGTTGACATTAGTCACTGTTGTTGTTTGGGTGGGAAAAAGCGCGTCATGTGAGATCTTTCAGCCTTTCTTTTATCAACACCGACAACTTCCAAGCGCCCGCGGTGATTCCGCGTGAGCCAGACTCTATTTTTAGGGCAATCCCTGGGCTATTAATAGGCCACAGTGATTTGTTGATTTCTCACTTAATTACCTCCAAAACACATGTGCCGCCGAGAGTGTGTCTGTGGAGTGCGTGCGGCGTCGAGAGGTGGGAAAACACATCCCCTTGGCGACCATTCTGAGCTTACTGTGTTGGAACAAGAGACGAAAAGTACTTGGACGTCCATCTGAGCTTTGTCGGCAGAGCTTTCGGCTCCTGTTCAATAGCGTCTCAAGCACTGCACATGGCGAAACTTGGGCGCCCCGGAAAAGGAAGTTCTCCGGATTCTTGCAGCCTTGTCCGTGCAGCTCGGAAAATTTCTTTTGTAGCCGACAAGTATGCAACCACACATGCTTAGACGTCACGCACACTTTAAATGCCCACCCGTTCTGACCAATCGGAGCGCCTTTACACACGACAGTGGAAAAAATTTAGTAAAATAAGTCTGGCATTTAAGTTACGTTGCTTTATGCCACGTACGCGGCGCCCATAAGAAATTTCAAATTGTCGGAATTCCTCACATTTTTACACACATTCACAAGCCCGACTTTTCTCCTCTGCCTTTTCTCGAGCTGCTCTGAATTGAAACATTGTATTGCACAGCATAACTCTCAATTCGCCACTCTGAGACCCTCAAAAATCCATCACACACGCGACATGATTGGGATTCCTCGCGCGCTAAGGAAGAAGGATTGCTCGCTGGTCCGGAAGAATGTGCGCCCTCAATCGCCAAGACTCTGGCCGACGATAAATCGCTCGGGAGTGCGAAAGTCACACATTTGTAGTCTCGCCCGCTCCATTCATAACGCCGCACTTCTTTCCCATTGATAGTTGACGCGCGCCCGTCGCCCAAAGAATCAATTGATTGCCAATACGCCGCGCGCACCGCGATAACAGCGGCGCTTCCCGCGCTCCCGGCACACCCGCGGCGGGGGGCCGGGCCCGCGATAACGTGTTCCATGCTGCACCTCGTCTCCACCGGAGTGCAGCGCGCTTATGCGCGCCTGTTGAAAACCGAACGAGTCGATGGTTTTCGCCATTGAATATTGCCATTGATTATCGACGGCCATGATTGGCTTTAAAAATCGGTTCCGGGTGGCCATTCAATACTATCGGGCCCAGGTGCCAGGCGACTATCACGTACGCGCATTTAGTCTGGCTGGCAATATTTGCTCTAGTTATCGATATGCCGAGACGATGTCGGATGAAATTGGATGGCGCATTAGGAGCGCAGAAGCGCCATCGCGCACCTCTGCAAGCCCGCGACCGGCGCAGTGACGTAGGAAGCGCACAAGGGCGCCCAATCTTATCCGCTCCCACTTTTATCACTTGGCTTGCAAGATATGTTTTTATTCAAAACGATAATTTTACTATGTAGTGGCGCTTAAAGCTATGCAGATTGTCATATTTCCTATTTTTCCGTTTCTTTTTATAGTTATGAACTAGTTTAACTACTCAATTGGCAAAAAATATCTTATCTTCTATCCTTAAGTTTAAGGGTTTCCCAAAGTTCCCAGTGCGACTTGAAGAAATCCAGAACTCTAGCATTGATAATGGTAATTTTTAGTATCCCGAAGACGTTATTAACCCATCTAAAACGACTTATAACCTAGGATATCAGAAGTATTCATTGCATTCTACCGCTTCTACCCAAGAATCTTAGTCTTTTTGTGAAACCAATAGAAAAATCAATCAGTAATATTCAGTATTAAATACTGCCTATGAATATAAAATCTTTAAAATGTCACCTATAAGATCAATCTTACAAAATTGAGAGAAAAGGAAGAACTAAAGTAGAGTAATGTTCCAAAATAATTCATTCCAGAAACTAATATTTTGAATTAAATTACATAGAATGTGGCAATATAATCATACAATGAAATTCTTAATCTTATATTCAACTAAGTGAAATCAACAATTTTTTGTTGTTTCTGAAAATAATTTCACGATTACTCTACAAATTTATAGCGACAGAATGAATAAATAAAATATATTAATACGTGAATAATATTCCGCGAATGATACTCGAAAATCGTTAATGCTGACTACGTCTCTGGCAAGCTCTTCTTGCTTCGTATTCCGCTGGATAGTTGTGATTCTCTCCATCTTTTATCAATATTACACTCGCTGTACACAGTGTTACAGGATTCCCATCGGAAGGCATACCGAAATGCAATTCTGTAGCAATTCCAATTAAACTGTCCGTCGAAAGCATGTCGAAAAGGTGTCTTTAATCAAGGGGCGTAGCGTGAAAAATTCGGCTTTTGGCAGTCCGACCATCTGTATGGCGTCCTGGTGGAAATGTTGTTTGTATTTGCCTCATAACTTTTGGTATTCTAGTTTAAATATTTTACAACTTTTATTTGTTGCAATAACATGACTAGAAAACACTAAATCCGATGCGCCACTCGACAATGAACGCGTTGTTTTGTCATAACGACCACATTTTGTGGTAATGATCAAATTTGTAAATAGATAATGCCCCGCGTAGAAGTCATGGGTACAGTAATGCAAACAGTGCTGCCTAAGTGTTTTACAACATTACAAAAACCACACGGCGCGAGAATTAGTGCTAAACCCTCCTGCGCGCCATGCTCGCCTGGTGTATGTTGAGAAATTGACCTGCACAATGTTTTATTTCTCCTAATGCTTGTCACAAAACTTGCGCTATTCGATTGCCGAGAGAGACTGTAAAGTGTGCGGAATATGTTAACTACTCGCGTGTTTAGAACGACATGATGCGGCATAGATCTGCAAATAAGAATACAGAATACGGCGGAAGGATAAGCGAGATAGGCGCGCAAACGCCATTTCTGCCCGCGCCTCTGCAAGTACACGTCTCAGTGACCGCAGGTAGAGCTTAGGTGAATTAGAAAGTTGTTTGTAGGTGGCCTTCTCTGCATCCATTCATCAATCAGACTAAAACTCTTCCTAGGCGAGCAGAAGCGCGCCGCGTCTGAGCATCAGTTTTTCGGCATTAGAAATTAGCAGAGGCGGCGAAGAGGCCTTTTCTCCTCACACCCAATCTCACACGAGAGTCGCGAAAAAAGTGAAAAGAAATTGGCCAATTTGTCGAGTTGCAAATTATGCATCAAGTGGATTTGACTCCTTTTCCAATTTCGCCGCGATTACATTTAATTTGCAGCGAAGTTGCTCGGAATGTCTGAGATTCGCGCCTTTTCGAACATGGGCGAGTCTCGCGCCGCCCAAGTGCTGCGGAGCAACGAGGATGGAAGATGATTTGAAGGAATTTGAAAATCATCATATAGAGCAAAACTGCGTCCGCGACTAGGGACGCATGATGTGCAGACACGTCACTTTCCCAAGCAGCGGAATGCCTCCAATGCCTCGGAATTGGAAACGTTGGAAAGTAAAAACCGTCCTCACTGTTCTGTTACTCCGCACCCGGCGAGCAGGCGGCGCAGGAGTGACACGCGCTCAGTGGCGTAGCAAGCGCACTTCTGCTGTGCATTGGCGCCTAAAGTGGGCGCTCGCCGAAGGCCAGCAGCAGTGAGATGGCAGAGGTTCCGCGAGATTTCCTCGGGAGAGACTCGCGTGCGATATTTTGGAGGAAAACATGGGACATGTGAATCAGCTCTTGCCAGGCGACCAGAAGTGCGAGGACTAAAATCGAACTCCATCTTTGCACGGCGAAACTCCAATGGAGATTCCCAGCTTTGGTCACAGGGAATAGAATTCCCTATAATGCAGTTTTTCAGATTAGATGGCGACACAGGCGGTATGAGCGAATTTTGCAGGAAAAGTATGAGACATGGAATCAGTTCTTCCTAGGAGATCAGAAGCGCAAGGACTAAATTAAAAAATCCACAAGCAACTACACAGCAACTCTCGAATACCTTGATTAAGAATTTCTGAGAATCATTAGAATTTTTAAGAACTCGTGAATTGGTTTTTCTTTCGAAAGAAAATCGGGAAAATGGTCAATAAATCGAGAACTTAAACTGAACCTCTAAGATATATTTTTAAAATTATTACTTTTCAATGAAAAGTCTTATTTTGAAAGCCGCCTATCAATTCAAGACATGACGTCATGTGAAAAGTGGAAAAAAAACTCAAGGGACATTTTTTGAGTTTTTGAATTGCGAGATTTTGTACGAAAGCATCGGAACGAAAATCGACACTTGCTAGGCGCTCAGAAGCACGAAGATGAACAGTTACTTAAGTCGAAAACCTCCAGTGCAGATCCTACTTCTTATCCAAGTTCTCGTGCACGGATTTGTGACGGAAAAGCGTCGGTGACCAAAATGGTTTATCACCAGGAGGCCAAAAGAGAAAAAAACAAATCCAGAACTTCTCTTATGAGGAGAAATTCCTGCTGAGATCCTCTAAAAATCATTAACTGCTAAAGGGAAATTAAGAAAAATTTGCATGGGAGCTGAGAATTACTAAATCCATCGCAATTGCAATTGCAAGTGAGAATTAATATCGCAGTTCTTTGCGCAAGTAGGAAAATCCGGAGAAAAGTTAGCATGCGCAGAGCCAAGCTTATCAGCAAGACTCTCTGGAAACTGAGCACCTGTGGAAACTAACTCTGAATATCTGCAAGAAATTATTGATAAAAAAAATCTCTTTGTACCCGCTTTGATGGAACAAGTGAATAAATAAAACAAATCATTCTTTTAGAAACAATACGAGACTTTATTTAGTGCTTCTCCGGGGGGATAAATTCCTCCAAACTGAAAGAAATTTGTCCCCGCTGTAACCTGAACCTGAATCGAAGCCAAAACTCTCACCGCGAGACAGGAGCTCAGAAGTGGGATTAAGTCGAAAGCAGTATTCACAGTATTCGCACGACTCCACTTAAAAAGAGAAAAACTCCAATGGAGATTCTGGACTTGAACAGTTCCTCGTCAACAGACTAGATGGCGACACAGGCGCCATGAGCGAATTTTGAGCGAACAAGAGTCGGTGATTGCTAGGAGAGCAGAATTGCAAGAATTCATTTAAATCGCCTTCAGAACTCCACTTAAGACGAAAATCTCGCAAATCCCACAGGATTCCGATCCGCGTTTTCTTTTTGCTGGTTTAGGGATTTGTCGGATTTACAATGGAAAAGCATCGGAGACGCGAATGGTTTATCACCAGGAGAGCAAAAGAGAAGAAAACTAAAATTCAAAACTTCACTTTGGAAGGGAAACTCCAAAGACCTCGCTGGAATTCTCATAGAATTGACAACTTTCGTTTAAGATAATTTTTATAGCAAAAGCAAGAACCGAGAATTGTTCTTGGATGACCAATACCTAAACAGTAAAGGCTATCCTGTGCAAATTTTCGTCAATTGTAGTCCTTAAGGACTACAAACATTGTGTGAAGACTAGAAATTGATTCATGTGAAAATCTCTGAGAAAATTAAGAAATCTGAAACTGCCCCTATCTGAAGCTGCCCCATTTACCTCTAATTCTAATTCTTAATAATCTCCAGAAAGCCTCTGTATATGTTCTCAAATTTTCAACATTTTCTCTTTAATTTCTGAATAATTTGTTTTAGGGAAAATCCTATTTTGATCTCATCTGCCGATTAAGTCTCGAACACCTATGAAAAGTCGAAAAGATTTTCAAATGAAACTCTTAAGTTTCTTAGTATGGAATTTTGTATGGAAAAGCATGGAAGTGAGAATCAGCAATTGCCAGGCGACCAGAAATGCGAGCAAATCCAAATCGGGCTCAGAACTCTACTTAGGCGGAAATCTCCAATGCAGATCCTACAGGATTCCCATTCGACTTTGCCTCGCGGCTCATGATGGAATTGCGGTGGAAAAGCATCGGAGACGAGAATGAATTGCGAGCAGGAGAACAGAATAGGAGAAAATACATATCTTGCAGTGACTTAATTACGACCAACTCCTAGTTATCATGTTCACGAGAATTTTTTTTCGCTTACAATCAATTAGTTGGAGCAGAATAGACAGTGGAAACAATTCAAGGAAAAGTCTGGGGAAACATATGAAATGGAACATCTTTACCAATAATTTCTACGCCACTGCTTTTAGAGGCAGTTGCGTCACTATCAGTAAGTAAATCCGTTGAAAAAAGAATATTTTCAGTAATTTAGGGAAATTGAGGAAATTACTGAAGACATGTGTCCGACTGTCTACTGTCTTTCTTACCTTAATCTGCAGAAATTCGTTTATCGGGGCATGACGTCTTCCCCATTCAGAGTCAACTTCATGTGATAATTCGACGTGTGGTTCGTGCATTTTGCCTCAGTTTTCTCAATTTTCACTCCAAAACAATGTCTTCTGGAGATTCTTTGGGCATCATCCCTACGAAGGCAATGCTGTTGCGCAGCGGGAGTGCGTCAGAATTCACGGCAACGGTGTTTGAGGAGAGAAAGCACCACCGAGAGGAGCGAAAGCGAAAGAAAAACATTGACCATAACCACAAATCGACAGAGCGTGTGCCGAAAGACGAGGAGAGTGTCTTCGATATACGGAAGGCGCGAAACGAAGTGCTGAAGTTGGGATTGTCTGGCTTCGAGGAAGTGGAGAAGAAGAAGGCACAGGTGGAGATGGCAGTGAAGTTGGGGGCCAAACCGGCGAAGAGGGAGTACAAGAACTACAAAGTGCTGCAGGAGGAGCGAAAGCTCGCGAAGGAGGCGCAGGAACAGCAGCAGAGCCTGCAGAATGTGGGGAAGAAGGCGACCGGTGAGGCGCTCTTCAGCTACAAGAAGTTCACGAGGGGGCACAGAAAGCGGAAGGGCGACTCGGAAGTTCTGAAGGAGTACGGCAGAATCTCTGCGGACAAACTGTCGGCTTTGACGACGAAAAAGAGGAAAACATAGGCTAAATACTATTTATATTACTATTCTAATAATATAGATTTATTTTTCAATTTGTTGTACACAAAAATAATGTGTTTCTTATATATAAAATTTTTGTCCTTTGAGAAGAGTCACAATTTGTCTGATTTTTTTTCAATAAATTCCCAACAAGATATTCACTCTGTTTTCTCACAATATCCATAAAACTCTCTATGAATTCCTCATATTTCTTTATCAAACAAACAGTAAACTCTCGAATCCAAAAATCTTCACCTCGATGATATACTTGAAATTTGAATCAAATGGTTTTTTGGCACAGAAGCTAAACTAATTTGTTCGCCAATGATAACATTGATTACAAGTTGCTCGATAAAACTTATTGCCACAGATCAATTCTCTCGCGCCTCCCAATCAAATCTATACTTTCCGGTTTCAATTAAGTCTCCAATTATTACATTTAATGACTAAAGTACCTAAAGTATTAAGCTTTTCTCTCTTCGAGCCGTGCACTCTCCGCCTCATTGCCCTGCGTCTGGCTCGCCTGGGTGAAACACACTCAAGATAGTATAACTGTAGACATGTATTTTTGGGTTGTTGTAACTATAAGCAGAATACCGTGCACTTGGGCACAATAAATTCGCGCCCCTCAATCGAACATGGCCATTGTCGATGTGGGCACGACTTCGAGGAGCATTTGAAAGAATATTGTGACTTTGTCTGCAAGAAGAGGGCATAAATTTCTTAGAATGCGCATCGGTGGAGCTCAGAAAGTGTCTTTTGCTCACCCATGAATTTGATTTGAATGCCATAGTGGACAAACGGCACGTAGACAATCAGTCCGGCCAATATGAAACCCACCGCGTACAGGTACTCGATCTGAGGTTTATCAACAATTGGGCCAACCACCAAATACGCCGAGATCACCAGAACCAACAATGGAATGATAATTGGCACCTGCAAAAAGGCAAGAAGGAGCAGCATTGAGCGTTTTATTAAGGCCACAAGAGGAGCAAGAGAGTACCTTGTAGGGCCTCGGATAGTTGGGTTTGGTGTAGCGCATCACAATCAAGGCCAACATAGCACCACCATAGAAGATCCAGGCCGTGAAGCTGAAGAAATCAATGAGGGTGTCGATGGTTCCATAGATCACCATGGCAGCCGCGATCAAGGACTGCAAAAAAAAGATTCGGATATAGAAGAGGAATTTATTCTTTAATTGTTTCATTTCTGCTCTTCTTTGCTTTAGTCAAACAACATGCAAGGCAAGGACGAGAATAATACCAATAGAATATTGATGTTGTTTGCCTGGGCGGGGCTCTTAAATGGGCGGAACGCTCGTTAAATGTTTTCTGCTCTTTGACTGGTTTGACTATAGCAAAGAATTCCTCCCAAACTACTTGGGTTTTTGACCCTTTTGGCTAGCATAAAAGAGGGCTTTCTTACGTGAAATATGAGTCCTGGAGCCGGAGTGAGACGTCTCACGTGGACATAGGAAAGTATGTCCAGGAGATGCCCCTCACGGCTGGCGGCAAAGCACAGACTGAAGACACAGAGTGGAGACTATAAATTAGAAATTGGTCACATTGGCGGAGGCGCAGATGATCATATTTACCGTCCGGCTGCGAAGAGAGTTCCATTGGCGCTGCCGAAGGTGCTGATCGTCACACTGAGCGGCATCAGCCAAGCAAAGGCGCCCAGGATGCGATTCCCGAAGGTCACCGCCACGGCCTCGGACTCGATCATCTCAGAGGCGGACATCGCTGCCAAGTAGGAGACATTTATTAGAGCGTAGCAGAGAGTCACCAGAGGAATGCCAATGATGATCGAGCGCGGCAAGTTCCTGATCAAACAAGAGATGGTTTGTGAGCTTCGTGGCGTGAGGAAGTGCATAGGAGCTACTCACTTGCTGGGATTCTGGATCTCCTCCGTGACGTAGTTGAGATTGTTCCAGCCATCGTAAGCCCAGAGGCCGGTGTAGAATGCCGTGGCGATCACACCGAAGGATGGCGTTGGTCCTGTAAATGCATTCTGTAGATGTTGCGTATTACCTTGGAACAGTTTGTACACGCCGCCCAGGATCACGATGAGGACCGCCACGAGTTTAGCCGCCGTGAAGATGTTCTGCACTGCCATGCCCAAGTTCACGCTGTAGCAATTCACGAACAGAATGCACACTGCGAATGACAGAGGCGCATTAGCTGGCGATTGGTATTTGGGGATGAACAGCGGACTTGCCTATTGCCAGGACCGCTACCATCTTCACAACCGCTATCGGGGGATCGCACTCTGATACGAACGCTTCGACGGCATACTGGGCGAACGAGAGACAGATTATTGCCATTTGAGAGGGCTTCAGCACCAACGTGCTGACCCAGGAGAACAGAAAAGCTGGTGGTGCTCCAAATGCATCCATGAAGTACGCCCACTGCGAAAGGACAGGCGTGAAATTAATGGCCTCGCCAGGGCGCGATATCACTTTGCGAACATACCTCAGCACCGGATGATGTATTCATGGTGCCCAACTCCGCATACGCCAACGCACCTGAAAAGCCATGGAGACACACAGGCATTAGCGGAATTCTGCGGAAGGCACTCGCCTCAAGGGGAGTTGAGCGATAGTGTGGGGCGGAGAGAGAGAGATTGGATGTAAACGTTTGGCATGCCCTTGCTAAGGTCACACGACCTCGTCTGCCATGAGATTACATAACAAAATCATTAAGAGACTTTCCCTTCTCTCAGGGCTTTCTTCTTTCTCTCACTTCTGAGGACATCACTCGTGGGAATCGGCGTCGCCGCCCATTTGAAAGTGCGTCACACGCCAACCAAACCAAATTGAGCCACTGTGATAGCATCTGCCACCCTCGACATCACCCCCCCCCCTTCTATTCTATTTATTGAGCCTTTCAGCCCACGAAGAGTGCCGTAAAAAATTCATCCACTGGATATCGAGTCTATTTCCAGGGCGGAAATTCACAATTACCGTGACTCGGTGCAATATACAAACAAAATATGAGCGGAAATTCAACTCCCATCGTCTTCATCAGTGCGAATGGAAGTGATTTTAATTGAATTCCTCGCGGCCAAGATGTCCCTCGAAGTGTGTCACGCAAATATTCCACTGCGTGGGGCGCAAATTGATCAATTGCCAGGAGATTACAGTTAAGCTGCTTAAGAGGTCGTTGTCGGGTGGTCGTCTCAAGAGACTTTCCCACAGGAAGTCTCGTCAGCGAACGAGAAGAGATTTTCGGGGAGAAAATCATAAGAGAAATCACGTGTTTATTGGTGCTAATTGTGGCTCAGCTTTACGATAGTTAGAGAAAAGTCGGGTTGCATCGGAGAGTGAGTTTATTTTCACTGTTTGAAAGTCTGTGAAATTGTTGAAAAGTTGAATACTCTATCCTGAATATTTAATGTTTAATTTTATGAACGGAAGTTATTGTTTCCCTCTACAAAATTGTGGTCAAATCATTTATTATTTAGTCAGATTTTTCGAACGTAAACATACCATTAATGCTTGATTTCTTGCAAATTGTCTGTAGCTGGTAATTGAACTATAAAAGAGAGCGCTAACTTCAATTATCGACTTAACCATTCGATTATGAATAGAAGTAATCTTGTTCGTGATGCTAAACAGCACATATCACAAGATGATAATTCACTTAACCGTATTAACTGTAGTAAAATTAGGTGTTAATTTCTGAGCTTGATTGCTTTATTGTGTCCTATTCAATATTTTAGTCCGAAACTACAATTCTCATTCAAAATACTTCTGTTTTCCCTACATTCTTGTCATTCTCGAGACCAACGCGTGCGTCACTTTGCACGCGTGAGTTTATTCTTTCGAAGAAGTGAAGGAAAAGTGTGGGAAACGTCTGCCAATTAATTGCGTAAGATCATGAGAGAAATAAATTTTGACTATTTAAAGGAATTAGGGAACTAATTAAAGAATAACTCGCACACAATTCTGCCGAAAGGCCTCAGAAGCCTCAGAAAAGGTTACCACCAGGCGCCTCCACCAGTCAGTGGAGACGCCAGGTATTTTCTCTCTCTCGCGATTCATGTGAATTGTGTGCGAACCACTCAAAGGCCAACTGGCGACTTGCGTTATAAATAATACTTTGAGTGAATTCGGTGAATGAAACTTGGCGTCGGGAAGGAAGAAAAGGTGCTTACCTAATAATGAGAGTAGACCGCATGCCAGCCATATGACGAAGCTCACGCCAACGGAACCAGTTCTCACCAATAAACCAGAAGGCGATACAAATATTCCAGACCCTGCAAGAGTCAGGAGGATTAGCAGGGGAGATCTGGGTGCAGAGAAGTGGCCGCGAACTCACCTATCATCGTTCCGACAATTAAAGCCACCCCACTGAAGAGTCCCACCCGTCTCTGGAGGTGAACAATGTCGTTCGCCTTTGAGCCCGGCCCCTCCAGCGAGTCCCGCATCCCCCCGGTCCCTGTTGAAGCGAGGCATTAGTGGTCTGCAGGATGCTGCTCGAGTGTGAACTCACCTGATGAGTCGGTCTCTGCCGTTTCGGGCGCCCCATGCCCAAAGCTGCCATCGGAACCCGTTGTCCCATCTTCGATGCTGCACTTTTCTGACTGCTTAACTGACACATTATTATGTCCTGTGGATCACGAGAAGAGAGAGAGAGAGAGACTTGTTTAGCAACTTTCCTTGCAACGTGGCACGTCTTGTTCGTGGGGAGTGTAAAAAATTTCAGTACAGTATCAAATTTCGCACAATTGAGAGACAAACACACACGAATCAAACAATCCGAACGGAAGACTACCACAATTTCACCATCAATCTCGATAAAATATGAACGCGAAACTATTTTTAACACCATCAGTTGATATATTTACACAAAGTGCACTGCGGAGTGACAAAGATAGGATCATTTTGACCTCATTCCAGAGAGCGAAAATCACTGAGAGGACGTCGACTCTTGCGAGTGACGCCAATTCACGCAATTTAGATGTGATGCTGGCTTGTGTGCCAAACCGTCCACCCAAAATGGGGAAGATTCCCTTCGTCAACTGCCCGTGGGAGCCTGGAAGTGGGATGGAATAGTAACCTTGTAGACTTTCTGAGCTGGTTTTGCGTGCGCTTCTCTGGTGGGAGCAGAATATTTGGGCGAGTTTATCGCGCATGGCATGAACGGATGGATTTTAAATTAACTTTGCTGCCTCTCTGAATAAAATCAACTTTGCAACTGACCAAACGCTAGCACGTCTATCCCGCTCGAGAAGCAGATCACTAAAAAGGTGTCTCTCATTCCCGCCCGGTCCAAGTTCACATGACTTCGCGCGCTGATGTTCTTTGATGGTCGGATGTGGCGTTTCGACGACGATGAGACGAAAATAATTCACATGACCAAATAGCACACACTCTCAAATCCTGTCTTGAGCGCTCGCTAAGTTAATAACAATAATTCTCAGTAGCAAATCCCAACACATTCGCGCAATCACAATTCAAAAGCGCGAGCTTCATAGCGCCGAAAGAAAAAAAAAACGACAATATGACGTACAAGTGATAAATTCTGCACCAGAAACTGTCGTGCTGCTCAATTAAAGGCACACAGAAGAGGAGGAAATATAGTTTTAGCGAAACTTTTCCATGCTCAATTGGTCGCAATAGGGCAAAACATGAGCGAGGAGAAGATGATGGAAGCGCCTGGTGACAGTGGAGGCGTCTGGTTAGAGTTGCAATTAACCCATTCCTCTTCGGGCCAGTTGAAGAATTCCACCCAAATAGTCTTCGTGGATGTGAAGCGAAATGAGACAATGTAATTTGTATGCAAATAAACAAGATACAATAGGAATATTCGCAATTGAATGCATGCCAATGTCTCTCCTCGCGTCTGTCGTCGGTCATTCTCACTCTTCTTGCGCTGGCAATCTCTGTGATTAACACGAGGAACAGGAGCGATAAAACAATCCCCTCAATGTCATCATAAATTTATCTAGCAATTTTCACCCACAACATTCCTCAGCTATTGTTCTTCGCATGTGGCAAATAGCATTGAGAAGAAAGTTGATACTTGTCATGTTGTTTTGCCCCAAAATATCACGACGAATCTACACCATAAAACAGGCGTTACAATGATTAAATAAACAAGAAGTAAGGACAGCAATAATGATACTTCATCACCCACATAGATATTAGCGGAGAATATATTCGTATAATAGAAATGTTGAGTCAAGATTTTAACGGGTAGTGTAACTGGGAAAGATTTGTGAGTTTTATTATAATTCATTCCCAAAACACTTCAATGGAAAAACGTGGTAAGCATTCGAATCTCAACCCTTGCAAGACGTTCATGCCTAACCAGATCTATATGTTTGTTGAAAGAGGAGAATAACCACCCGGTAATTCAAGAGATATGTAGTTCAGCCTGCAAAATATCTTCGAAAATAAAACACTGTGGGAAATATTCGCAAAATATGCTTTTCCTCCGTTCACCACGCGAATTCTCGCATTTTCTTTTGCACACCACAACATAAATTGACAATTATATTTTCGCGTTCATGCGAGATTTTTTTTTATTGTTTATATTTACGAGCTGAGTGACTTGAGAGAATTTATAGAATAAGATTTTGCAGAGATTAGAAGAAAACTGAGCACTTAAACTTGCATTCGGAATAAATTAGCGTGTTGTGCCTGTACAAATTGCGGTTGACGGGAATAATTAAGATAAGGAGAGACATTTTCGATAATTAAATGCCAAAAACATTAATTTCAGTCCACTTTAGCAACTGTAACACGAAAGGGTGGCGAGAATATCCCTCATTTTCTGCACACCGCGCGCCGCATGATTAAATTATGAAGTTTCCCACGCTTCTCGATGGCAGTTAATTAATTTGCAAGGGGTTCTGATACGAAAATAGATCCATCAAGTGAAGAAAAATGAAGCATTCTGTCTATATATAAAGAGAAAGTGTGACGTGAGACCTTGGCTGAGGACTTCTGCACGTGGTTTTGTGCTTCTGATTAGAAAAGTTCACAAGATATATCAATCAATTTCCACGCATTCGCGTTAGGCTCGTAAATAAATCAAAAATGCACATCAAAGGATTCAAAAGTTACCTTTTCTGAGTTACACAATCTATTTTCAGCTCAGGGCATCGAAAGGACAATGAGGAACGCGTCGTACAACCAACAATTCCTCACGTGTGTAGTAGAGTCCAATTGATGAAATATTAATGGAATTTTTTCCACTTTAATATTTGAAATATTGCCGCTGATAAATGTGTATTTCTGGTGGTTTTCCTCTTAAGCACACGAAGGCGTTCAAAGTACGCGACCCAATTGAGTGTCTCTGACAGACGACAGAGCAAGAGGTTATTGTACGGGGAGTTGGCTCAATTAATTTGCTCGAAAAATCAATTAAATTGATTGGTCAAACAGCTACAATTCTCTGGTCAAATTTCGCGCGACAACATGCCAGACATCTCTAAGCCTCGCAGTTTTTCTCTTCCCCTTTGACAAAGCCACTTGTCTCTATACACAATTTGAATTTTGCACTAGAATTCTCATTCGGCGCCAGTTCTCAAATAAATCTCGAGATTCGGACTAATTCACGAGAGAATTAAAGACTACGCGTGTGGGATTAAGATTAAAGCTCTCGTGAAAGCTCAAAGTTTGCACACGCCAGACATAATTGATGATATTTGATCACGTTAATTGCAATCAACTGAAAAGTACTGCATCAGTCGCCATTAATTATCTTAATTGAACTTTGTCAGGCAGAATTGTTCTCGGAATCATCGAACGCAATTACGTTCGTGTATTCCAAGTCCAGGAAAAAGCGGTGCGGTCAGGTAAATGTAGTAAATGTACTTATCATGTTTGTATAGCTGAAAAGGTTAAATTTTACGTGCAAACATTTTGAGTAGGGCTTCAATGGAAGAGCCCCGAAAGTGGAAAAGTTATGAAGAATAATGGGAAATTATTATATTTTATTCACAATGGGAATTATAATGTGTTCCATTCAGAATCCATTTTTAAACTCCTGCTTAAATTCACAAAATACAGAGTTCAAAGAACGTAGATTTTGCGAGTTATTTGTATAAAAAACAACGTATAAAGTTTATATTATAATTTTGCTCAAAATTTCCTGTGTTCATTCTCGCACCCAAATGATTTGTAGAGAAAATTTGAGTAGTTTTATTCCAAAATCGGAGTTTTAATTGTACCGAAAGTTTCAAAATTTTGGAAAAGTTGATCTGTACAATGTCTTAAAAACTCTATGAAAAATTTTAAACAACAATCCTTCAAAACACCAATATTCTTTTAGCGTTACAATTTCGTAATCTCGCTAGTCTCATAAGAAAATAAAGTTCTAATGTTTTCCTTAACATTGAATAATTATCGTGCCTACAAGTTTATGGCCATCACTTTTTACGACTGTTTGGACATTTTCCGAGTGATTGGAGAATCAAGAAAAACATCCCCATTAAACAAATGTACTCAGCAGGAAGACAAATGCAATCTAAAAACGGGTTTAAGTGGTCACAAGACTCTGCTAGGCGGCTTTTCGCCTCTGTTGTGTCATGCCAAGCACATCTGTCCGTCTGATCGGGTGACTTCACCCACAAGAGCGGACTTTTGATGGGAAAAGTGAAACGTGCAAGTGACAAATCGATGGACAAACATCAATTTATTGACGATGTTGCCTCCTTTCTCACCCCATCCAGTCTAATAATAAAGCGCGAAACCTCGTCAGAGCCACAAAAAGTGTCACATGCTCATGTGAATCGCTTATCTCAGCGCCTCACTGCACACTCTTGGCGTCTCGTGAAGCTATTTAGTGCGATACAGTCGCTTAGCGCGGCGGAGCTTTGGAGAAAAAAGCAAGACAGATATTTTGTCCCTCCCACGTGAGGAATCGATCGTGAAACGCTTGCGTACTCGGCGTGAATTACTGACAGCCACTGTGTTACGCACTTCGCAAGAGGGGGAAAAGCGGGAGGAAAATCAGGGAGATTTTCCAAGGCGGCCAGCAGAGAAGACGCTCGACCACGTGGTGGATGGCGGCAATTTTCGCGCGTCTCAATTGCGAGGCGCGATTTTATCAAATGGAAATTTATTGCAACTTTACAATGCTTGATCAATTGTGGCCTCTGACTTGAAGACATTATTCCGGTAGTCATAAATTCTCCACTTAATTCGCGTCAATCGAGCTCTGCCTCGTGACTCACAATATAAATCATTCGTGCAATTGAAGCCTAATCATTTCTGCGAGCATCTTTGAGCGCAATTACAGTCGCATCAGTGCAGGAATTCCTCAACTGACTTTGCATTATTCAAGGCGTTCGCATGTGTCGTCACTGGAACACTTCAAGGACGAAACAGACATTTGGGCGCACAAACTTTTCCAGCGCGCGGGGGTGGGAAAATGGTACAGCGTGAGAGGGATGAAGGGTGGATGAGAGCGCCAGTACGCATGACACAGGGAAATTCGGGGGCTCGACCATAAAATTTTCCCTCCGCTGCCATTGAGGGAACCGGCAACCCTGCCAACCCTCATCAGGGACACATTGTGGGGGTGCAAATCGATAATATGTTAGGACCATGCCTGGCTGTGCCCGCGGGAAAGCATGAAACGCATTTTCCACCGAACTTCTGGACGCCAAAAGCCGTGGAAGAGTGAAAATGGGGCGGAAATCCACCCCACATGCCGACAGGACAGCTTCGAGAAACTACCACTGCAACGCGCTTCCAATATTACATCACTCGCGCGCACATTTTCCCTGTTTCCGCGATTTTCCACGGAAATTCGACAGATTTGCCGCAAGAAAGGGTCAGAAAAGGCCCCAAAAACATCCCCTCACATCACAAAGACACACTTTTCTCACTTACCATTTGCTCTGGCGATGTGGTTTGTATGGTAGGCATGCTGATGCATGCTGATATTTTCATGTCACTTCGAGAACTGAGCCAAAACCGAGAGCTTTCACCGATTTTTGTTCTGCGCTCTCTCGCCGAGGCGCTTCTCTCGCGAGAGAGTCTCTTCTCTCTCCCACTCGATTAACATTCTCGGCATTCATGCTGAGAATTCATATGGCAAAATGAACTGCTGGGTGGGAAAAAGCACTATAACAACACGGCAATATATAACCCCGCAGCGGCTGAAGAAGTTCACTTTCGAGAGGCAAAAGCTCAAGTTTTAGATCAACGAGGTATTAAAGCACAAAACTCCTCACATGCTTCTTGTCCTCTTTATCGCATACACTTGATTTTATGGGGCCTACGAGGGTTTTTGCGCCGCCCAGACAAACTGTTTAACAATTTCTGCCTTTGTTAACATGGATTTAAGAAGTCCATAAGAAATTCAGGGTTTATTAAAGTCACATGCAGAGCAGAATGAGGCAGTTTCTTCTGATTTAATTAACAGATGCTGTTTTTCACGGACAACGGTTGCTTAAGCGACTAAGCGTCTTAACTTGATGCCTTTGATAAGAAATGATGACGAATTCTCAGGAATTACGTTCAACATTACAAAAAAGGAGTTCTCTCTTCTTATTCTTCAATTAATCCAGAAATTACAGGTCAATTAAATGTCAATTCCAATTCTTGGGTCAAAATGAAAATGTATTTTACATTTTTTGTAAGTTGTAAATCATCAATTAACCATGAATTGCTAGGAAATAAATTATTTGCAACGACATATTTTGCCAAACCGTTTTTATAGATGTTATTTAGGCTTTTATTGTCGGCATATTGTAAGAAGGTTTACATATGTCGTAACTTTGCAATAAAACTTTGCTTCTCATTTGTATAATTTCCAATGCTAATTCCGGGTTGTTCCGTGTGAATTAGAAGAAGTGAAACACAAATTGATAAAAGATAATACAAAATGAAAGATAATATTGTTAAGGAAGGTAAATTAACTAAATAAACTGTAAATAAATAAAGGATACGAAATGGATACGATTGCAATTATATTTGCGCTCCTGAAATCGCGTGGATTTACATTTCGCGCAAATCTAATTTTCCCACACCAAATTTTCAGCATTTATATTGCAAAACACTTCTTCAGAAAATCAAACATGAAGCGATGCGGAATATTGCTTTCTTCATATCGATTTTCAGGAATTGCGCATAAATATTTACTTGAGGCCGAAGGGAAAATTCACCATCGTGAAGGAAAATCACATCAATTGAACCCTTTTATGACAAATTCGTTTTCAATTAATTTTTCATCAACTGTCATAAAAGTGCGAGATGCTTTACGACTCGCGATGAAGGAAGAATTTTAATTAAAAAGCACTGAGAAAAGTATTTCCAAAAGTGTTTCTCAATTCAAGGGGGCGGGAAAGAAGGTTAAGACAATTTTTGTAGAGTCCAAAATCATTTTATTTTCACTTTCATCTTTTCTGGAGTAAAAAATTGTCCTTTAGAAATTAATTTTCATTTCTCTCTTCAATCTCTCAATTCTCTTTCTTGTTGGAAATAACAAATTACAATATGAGTGAATCTCTTTTGTTAACTTTTCATTATGAAAAACAATCCTTATGAAGTAAGTACAGGGTGTCAGTGTAACAAATATTCGCTATTTTACGATAAAAATGATCACTATTTAGCATAAAATAAGAGATTTTATGTTTCTTTTTTTTCCATTATACTTGCAATTCTCAAAATCAAACCTCGCGCGCCTCACAGAACATTTGCGTTGAGTGAACTTTTGGAGTGTCCGATTTTCTTTCAATTCATCTTTTTATAATGCCTTTCATCTATAGTAACTATATTTTCGATCATCCTATTTTTATATATCCTGAAATATCACAATTTTGGGTAGTTTTATTTATAAACTTTCTCATTTTGCGTCCTCCTCGCTGTGCCTTAGATACAATTCAATTTCTCTCTCTCTCTCTCACTTTTGTACAATGGTTTGTTCGCACGGCAAAAAGTAAAATATATATTTAATCTTTGTTCAGCAAAAAAATACATTCAGAACAAGAGTTTTCCATTTAAGTGTATAAATGTGACTTTGGCAGTTTATTTCTATTTGATTAAGGAATATCTATTTGCTCTCTCTTTCTAAATAAAATCTATATTTTGTTGTTTGATTTCTAATTTCTCTGCTAAGTTTCTTTCTACCAAAATAATTTATTATAGGAAAAAAAACGAGTCAACAAATTAAATAACATACATACAGATTCCTTTCTTGTGCAGCCATGGCAAATGCCTATGAATTTGCCACGCTGCAATTCATTTTTTTTTCTTTTAATGTCAAGTGTTTCTTGTTTATATCTAAGGCCTAATTACTTTTAGTGGTTTCGATTCTAAGGAGTTTCTCAATCTTATAATTTGTTGCTACAATTTATAAAAATAAAACAAGTCAAAATTCACTTTCATTCTCATTAAGCTTACAATCACTATTTTTTTTCATCATCATCATCAGTTCTATATCATGAAGAGTTTCTCCTTTTTTCTTTATTCATCAAAAGCACCTTTATGATTAGGTGACACCCTGTGAATTACTTTTACAATTTATTTCTTTTTATTACTTCAGACTGTTGTTACCTGACTATTTTTTTCTTATCGTTTTTTTTCGTCAACTTTTACCGCTTTCACCTGATAGTAAAATATAACGCGCTCTCTCTCTCTCTCTCCGCATCTTCCTCAATTTGGTGTCATGAAGAACACATATTTTCCTCATAATCGTACTTCAAAGGATTAATAAAAGCATATATATATATCATAAAATTCAATAATACTACATCCAAAAATAATTACTTCATATTACGTAGTCAACTACAAAATGTAAGATTCATACTTCCTTGGAGTGTATTGCTCCGTTATTATTAATTCCTCATCTGAGACATTTTCATCCTGGGTTAATTTCATTGACAAAGTAAGGCTGCCGATCTCTTCTAGTATTTTGATACCAAGACGGAATTTGGGCAACAACATCAAAAAACTCTGGGAAACTAATTTGGCGCGCATTTGCTTTTAACAATTTCGGTATTTGCAGCCCCGATTAAATCATTAAAAATAGTGAAGAAATAAAATAAAGAAATAAGCCATTAATCGCATACTTGTGTGCATGAGTTATTTTTCCTTCCAGCAGCTGCGGAAGTTAGACAAATTGCTGCTTCACAAAAGCCTCAATCACCTTCGGCGAGTGTCTGTCGAAGCCAGCAATCTCCAGAATTCCCATCTTCTCATCGTCCCCGTGGAACTTCAGGTCCGCCTTCTTGCGACGCATGTTCACGACAACGAAGCGCGAGAAAGGACTAAAGAATCACAGTGTAAATAGCGATTGCCGCGGGCACACCAAAACATTTCTTTGTACTCACTTTGAATACTTCTGTCGCTGGCCTTTAATCTTGTACCGATTGAAGGCCATGAGCATGGAACTTGCACTCTTGCCAGCCCTCAAAAGCGAGTCCACAAACACGATGATGGCATTGTACTCCTTGTTCTTCATCATCGCCTCGTTGAAGGGCGTCGACAGATCTTGCCAAGTCTTGTCCATCTGCAGAGAATGAAACAAAGGCTTGATGGCGCGACGAGAATTCAAGTGGGTGGGGAAATCGAATGGGCGGGGCATGTTTGGATAGTGATAAACACAAAGTTGACACAAGCAAAGTGTGATGAATGGTCAACAATGTGTTGCAAAGTTACAAAAAACTTGGCGCAGTGTTCAAAGAATTGCAGAGAACATTGTCTGTTGCATTCTAGAACACATTAGTCTAAATCTTAGAAGTTTTTCTTACAGCTAAAGGATGATAAAATTGCTAATAATGCAATTATTTCACTCTGCGCGCATTTCTCTATATAATCAGTAAAATTTTGCAAGAAACTCACCAGCATTCCAATGCAAACTTTGTACGCTTCATCGTAAGACATCTCTTTAGTCAGCGGGACGCGCTTCAGAGTGCCTCTGTTGTCCGAGAACGTGAGTATGTCGACCTTGCGTCCCGCGTGGAGGAGAGAAAGAGCCATCACGAGGGAAACTTCCAGGCACGTGAGTTGTTTCAGGCCGAAAACAGGTCCTGCAAAGGAGACGAAATGAGAAAAAAAACTTCGCACAGAAATCACTCCACAAACTTACTGTCCACGAGTTTCTTCCTCAAGTTGATGACCACGCAGATGTTCTGCTCAATCGGTTCCAAATACTTGAATGATTGGTTGAAGCCGAAGAGAATCTTCTTCGCCAAGTGCTGATTGAATTCCATCTCCTGCACGCCCAGCTTCTTGCGATAGTACATCTCCTGGTGAAATATGATCGCATGAGCATTCAAATCGGATCGCGCGAAGGAAAAAAAAAGATGTGCAAAAGGAGAGAACAATGGGCGAGGAAGAAGGTGGAAAGACAGAGATCGCGAGAAATTACCATAATTTCTGCCTTGCATGGCAACAGATGGCAAGTTTGCAAATCGATATTCCTACCTTGTGCGTCTCGGTGTAGCGACGCTTGGAACGGTAGAGCTGGAGGAAAGCATAAACGGAAATTGGGTGCATTTTGCTCTTCCGCAGGGTCTCCATGTTGCCCACGGCTGTGCAGTATTTCTTCGCGAGCGCCTCGGAAGGCTTGAGCATTTTCATGGCCGTCAGCCGTGGCATCGCCTCGAGCAGTTCCGGGTACGTCATCTTGTGCAGAAGCTCCTCCCACACCTGCCGGAACGGCCACATGTGCGTGGGCAAGTAGCCGAAGGGGAAGTTGTGCGTGCGAATCATCTCGGCCGCCTTCACGGGGTCCTGGAGATTCTTGAACTCGACGACGAGCAGGAGACGCCGATAGGAGTCCATGTTCGCCACGGAGCCGTTCTCCTGCGCGTTCTCCAGCACGCGCGGCCCGCTCTGGAACACGGACTTCACGATGAGCACCTTCTGCGGGTCCTCAATCTTCGGATGAGCGATGTTGATGACGTCTTTGTGCGACCACTTGTTGATGACGGTCCGGCGCGCGATCATGTCGCACATCTGCTCGGGCGTCTTCAGATTGTACCACTTGGACACGGCATTCTTCAGGCCGCGTCCGTAGCCGGTACGTGTGAGGGAGTAGAACTTGTTGTAGTGGGCGAAGAGCAGCAGATCCTCCTGCGTCGCGAGCAGATCCGGAAGCATCTGGTATAGAGCATTGCGCAGCTCCTGATTCTCCACCAAGTGGAAGCAGTAGACAATGCAGATGATCGCCTCATTTGTGCGACGCAAATAGACAGAGTCCAGGGCTTTCTTGATGGTCAGCGTGACCAGACGGTGGTTCTCTCCAGTCGCCAGAATCTTCAGGCACTCCAGTTGGTCCGGAATGCGACACAACTCCCTCACGTTGGGCTTCTTCTCGCTCGCCACGTAGCACTGCCCTGTGGTGCCCATGTGAAGGAATCGCAGCAACTGTATAGCATTCATTGCTGGTGATCTGCAAAGGCAAAACGAATTGCTGAGGAGTTTCCAAGAAACGAGGAAGAATCTTCCATTGAGTGAGGTTAGGTTGTGATAAACAATTTTTCGACCCAATTTTCCGCTCTATTTTCACAAATTCCATCCAAACTCTAGCTTCAACAGCCAGTACAAATCCCAAACTAAGTGCCGAGACACTAATTCGAGGGGAAAACCCATGTTTTAGGGGTGAAAAGCAGATAATTACATGAGCGTAATTCCTCCAGTTGTCACAACACTTCACCAATTCACTGCTGGCATTGCAGAGACGCGCAACCTTTCTTCGCGGGCCGTCATTTTAAAATTCTAGCCATTCGCCACGGGATTTTTACAATACATTTTATTATATATGCATACAGAATATACGTCTTAATATCTATACAAGTCGCAAGTTTGCATTTCATCTTCATCTCTCTCTCTCGCTTTCTCTCTTTCTTTCATATCTTAATATAATCGAACACTCTCAAAGTTGCTATTCACAATTATTTTCTCCAGTGTATAAATAGGGTTTCTTCTGCTATTTCCTACAAGTCAGTCATTCATTTTTATTAATATATTCTCGCACTATCAATTCCCACCTGCACTACAGCGAATACACTCTTCTGTATTTCCTTTAACGTTTAGAGAAAAGACAAATCAAAGGCATTGATACTAAACGGCCATGATTTCACGTACAAAACTACACGATTATTGTGATTTTTTTTTCATAGGGACACCTGAGAATTTTTCTCTTTCGCGAGCACACACACCAAAAACCCCCCCACAAAGAGAGGAAGAGCGGCGTTCTGGCAACAATTCAGAAGCCATATGATGATCTGAGGATCATCACTTGCAGTCCCACTCATTGATCGATGTGCCTGTAGAATCGCCTCTGCGGCTCTGGCGTGTAGTGGATGCGCGTGCGGAAATGTTGAGGTGATCCGGGAACACTTTCGGAGCCACGTCGGGGCGGCGGCACAGGTGGTGATGAAGACAAGTACCTGAAACGGGAGCCAGAGCGTCAGACTTCTCATTCCGAAGTTGGCAAGCAAAACAGCGACTTTCTCACCTCCTCGGCATTATTGGCGATCCGGGCGGCACTTGGCCCAACTCGTACAGATTCCTCCGCAGCAGCAGCGGCGATTGGCCCCGATTGTACCGCGGCGGCGGATCCGGACTCCTGTGGCGTCTGTCCACGCCACTGAGAATGTGAGGACTAGGCGGCTGGATGGGAATCGGTGCGCGCTCCTGCACCAGGAAGGGATTGTTCGACGTGTGCGTCGGCGTGTTGTACACGGTCGATGGATTGGAATTCACAGTGGGTCGGCCGCGGCTCTTCTCGCCGCGCTCCCCCGACGCCAAGTGGAGCTTCATGTACGAGGCAAAGCGACGCTTCACCACGCCTGCAATGGAATTGAACCACCCTAAACGCATTGAGGATGGATCGCGGGAAAGAAATAATGCCTACGGTTAGACAGAGGCAAGCAAAATAAGCTCTTTGTGTGTATTTGGACGTGAAATGATTCTTTTCTCTCTTTTTTTTTTACAAAATCCCATATCATCAAAGGCACGGTTTTCATCTTTTTTACATGAGAAAGAAAAGAAAGAAATGAGAGGATCCAAACTAATATTGATGGTTGCAAAGAAAAATTCATAAAAAAGCTGCTGCTTTGAACGAAAAAGAAGAAAGAAAATCAACCTTGATAAGCCTTTGCAGCAATTTATCTGGTATTTCTTTCTGATGTTACACCAACAAATGTCTCTCCAAACTCACCCGTGTCATCTTTGATGCCATCGCAACTGCCCAGGCCATTGATCAGGCCAGACGGCGAGTTCCTCCCCCGCGGACTGTTGCTGTACACATTGTGGTCAGGCCTGAAGTCCTCAGCCTCCGCGCGAAAGTCACCTGTTGGATAGAAGCCCAGCGATGAGGGCTGAACAGAATTCTTCTTGCCATTGCTGCAGCTGTTAAAGAGGTACTGATGCTGCTTCTGACTATCAGCGTGCGGCGCGTGACTCTTGTCAATTCCACGGTGATTATATTGATGGTATTGATGTTCATGGAAGGGATTCATGACACCCACATTTGGTACATGCGATCGCTGAATTGTTTGGTATTTAAGTATATCACTGTGGAAGGGATTTGTGTTCTCCTGGTGCAATTTCACCTCCTCCTCCAGCTGCCTCTCACGCAACTGACTCTGCTGATGGTAGAAGCGTTGAAGCACTGCAGTTAAAAGCAATGAAGCGCACAGTGTGGCTCTTGTTAGTGACACAATATCCCCCGAAGCTCTCCCTCAATCACAACGACAAATGTTAATCTGGGCACAAAACTCACCAATTGGACTAGTGTTTCCTGGCAGACGCATTTGCCCATGCTCTTGCGCCAGTGCTGATGACTTGCGCAGCGGCAACGGTGAATCTGGGATATAGAGATTCCCAAAGCCATTCTCATCACCATCCGGCGGTCGAGTCTGATTCCTCATGGCCTCCAATTGGTGTTGTCTCGCCTGGTTGCTGATCTTCTTCTGTGCAAACGGCGTTGTGGTCATATTTCTGATGAAAGTATGGCCTGAAAGGGAAATTCAATGCATCTTCGCGGCACTTCTCGCCAACAGCAGATGACAAAACTCACCCAAACTGCCCATCATTGACTCCTTTCGCGGACTCCCGAAGTCTCCAATCTCTCGGCGACGCTGCATGAACGGTGAACTCCTGTACATCTTGTTCATTTCACTCACAACATTGTAATTGTCCTGCGCGTTCCGCGGCAAATTGAAATCTCCCTCGTCAACTGTGAAATTACCCGACGGCTCGCCGCCACTGTACAAATCCTCGAGCTTCCGGTGCTCCTCCACGTCCCTCTCGACACTCGTGCAGCCGCCGTTGTCGGCCGCGCACGAAGACGCGGCCGGCGGCTTGCTTGGGGGTGAAATTGGCGATGGCGACACTTGATGGCGATGACTACTACTGCTACTACTTTCATGATAATTTGGTATACTTGATGGTGCTACTATTGTCCTATGAGCTTCAGATTGCAAGTGTGAAGACGATAGTCTGGAAGAGGATTGGCAAACACATTCTCCAGTAAGTCAAAGAGACAATAGACAAGACAAAGCTTCGCATTCCGGTGCCAAAGAAGAACAGCGCGCATAAGAAATGCAGTGAAAATATAAATGGAAGATTACTGAAAATCATCACTAGAAAAACTTCAATTATAATTTGCGAGATTTGCAAGAGAAGAACAAGAAAAAAATGTAGAAAAAGCCAAAAAAATCACTGCCCTCAATCGTCAGGACAGCAAAATAAAACCAGAAAGAGGCTTGAAAAACTTACAAAGAACGTAGAAAGTTAACGAGGAATTAGAATCAAGCTCACATTAATAGTAGTTATTTGAGTAAGAATGTAAGAATTGGTGAGTTTTTTTTAAACATCTCTTTTTTTGTTTAAGATTCTCAATTTCTTTTGTGGTATTAAGAGAAAAATTCTATTTTTCAATACTTACTTAACAAAATAAATAGATTATAATTGTTACCTACAAAAAATAAAAACAACGGATTAAATAAAAAGGAAAACTCATGCCCAAAAGTTGACACTTCGATGTTAAATGCCATCAAATTGCCAACACATTTTCCATTCACGACATTTTGCCATTTCTCACGCACATAACAAGATGGGGTTTTTTTTTAGAAAGAAAGAGATAAATATGATTATTATTGTTAAAGGTTTGTCAAACGAAACTACATCAAAAGTGGTCAATAAAATGAGTGCATGTTCGGATGATGCAAAAGAATCTCTCATTCACATTCACATCACAAAACGTACAAATAAAAACCAACTACAGCCAAAGCATCGTGCATCAATTACCTGCGATGTGACTTCAGTCCAGTCTTTTCCATTACCGACGAGAACCACGAAGGCACGTCGACGTAATGATCTTCATAGTACTTTAGAAACGGTTGTCGCAGGAGTTCAGGATATTTGGGGCGACGGTGTGAGTTCTTCGTTAAACTGCAACCAAGAAAGACGGTGAGAGACGGAAAACTTGAGTGAATTGTGATCATTTGCACTCACCATTTAATGACGAAATCCTGAAAATCAACACTGAAACCTTGATCAGTTGGCAGTGATGGTGGATCTGACTCTAGAACTTTGGTCAACACTTCGAAGTCGGTTTTACAGCCTTTGTATGGGAAAGAGCCAGTCGCCAGTTCGACTAGTGTTATGCCCAAAGACCATACATCGGCTCTAATATCGTACTCTGGTTTCTTCGGATCGATGCGTTCGGGCTGAATGAGGGGAAAACAGTGATTAGAATCATGCTGAAAACGGTGATTAGCGTAATCATGCTCACCGCCATGTACGCGGCGCATCCAGCGGATCGTGTTTTGGCCTTTGAATCGACTAGTCTTCCACTAATTCCGAAATCACATAGTTTGATAACACCCTTCTCGTCAATCAGTATATTCGATGGCTTCACATCTCTGTGGATAACGCCGTGTTTATCTTTCAAATACGCCAGTGCTTTCACGGTCTGCGGGCCGGTTATCGCGCGCGTGCGGGAGAGATAGAGAAATGCCATGTTATTCCCGAGCAATCAACATAATCCCTCAGACTGCCGAGGTCAGATACTCACGGCGACTGTCACCTTCCCGAGAATGTCTTCAGGCACAGGCAGATTTGACTTCTTTTGCAGCTTATCGAAGCACGTCGCCATCAACTCCATGCAGATCCACACGTCTGTCTGCGTGATGAAGCATCCCAGGCATCTCACAATGAATGGGCAATCATGAGACTTGAGCACCACGTCCAAATCCATGATTATCCGCTTGTTCTCCTCCTCGTTTCCCGTCCGCCGCATTTGCTGTCGCAAGAAATCACCCCCAGATAAGCTCTCAACTCAACACTGACCTCACGAAGAGTCTCTTCATACCTTCACAGCAATTATTGTGTCACTCTCAACGTGTCGCATCTTCACCACCTGCCCACTCGTGCCGTTTCCCAGCTCTCCCTTGTCCTCCAGGTCCTTGATGTCCGTCTTGTACTCCTTCCCGTCGATGCACAGAATCCCGCTCCGCTTCATGATGGTCTTCAGTTTGTTCTCCGTTTCCGGCTCAATGCGGGAGTGCAGAATCTGGAATCCGCCCACCGGCAAATCCAGTCCGCCTGGTTTCCGGCCTCGTCCGAACTCTCCCACTGCAAGAAAACACCAAAATGCACCACTTTCCGTGCCACAAGAGAATCTCCCCCTTCCGGACTGTCAATCGCTCAAGTTGTCAAACTCCCTCACAGACTTTTCCCCATTTTCCGGCACCCCTGCAGGCGCCACTGCAGCGCACCCACCTGGAAAACCGCACGGATGGCGCCACGATGGGATTTCCAGCCCCAAAACGGGGCGCGGAGTGGCAAAATGGGGAATTTCTGGGATGGGCAGGTTCACTTGACAGGCGGAATTTTCTCGCCAGATTCCCGCACGATACTCACAATTGTCCGGACGTCGGCCGCTGCCGGGGCGTGATTTATCGAACGGCTGCTTATCCATACTCTCACCAGACTCATTCTTACCGCTCAGGCGATCCTCCAAAATCTGAATTTTGCTCCCGATCTTCCCGATATCATTCGACATTTCTGGGGAGTGTTATACAACTGTTCTACGCAGCCAGCGCCTCTGGTGACTGGCGCCCTGAAGAAGACACCATGAAAATATCCCGGCTGGAAGTGTCCAAGATTCGTGGTCAAATTTCACAAACGGCTGATATTCCTAGCTGATAAAGACGAATAATTCGCCGTCTCACGTGTACATATACTTCTTGTATTGTGTAATCTTCTTTATTATATTAATTCAAGTTTTCATCTGGCATAAAGAAGAAGAGTATACCGTTACTCTAAGGAGGGTGTCCGTCTTCGTGTCCCCCAACTTCTCGCCAAATCCCTCGATCAGAACTTTCTTGAACACGCCATTGCCCAAGTCTGTCATTTCTCGACGCATGTCGTCGAAGCTCTTCTTCGGCCTTAATTCACGCTCCAACTTCTCAATCAAGAATTCGGTATGACCAAGGGTATGATTCGCAAGCACCGGATTGGATTACTTGAATTCAGCCAGTCCCTTCCGGATGATAGGTATTCCAGCAAATCCACTGCAAAGAAATCACGCGAAACGCAAAGAAATTTATCACTCTTTTCTGACAAATTATTACACATATGAATGTTTCTCCTTGGTTTACTCACAACATATTGCGTTGCGGACCTTGCGAACTTTTCATCAAGCTTTCGATGTCCTTCATTTCCTCCAGAAAATCCATTTTCCAAGCGCAGCAGAAAGCGGGAGACTCACAAAAGATGGACGCCTAGCAGATGCAATAACTTTCGACATGCGTTAAGATGCTATTGCATATAATATGCTTGTATAACTTTTCTTGTATAACACTGAAGGTTGAGCGTTCCAGCCGGGTGGAATGTTTGCAGGGAAATTTCTGCAGAGGGAGCGCGCTTTGCTTTGTTTTGGTTTCTTATGCCGCGTCTCTGGATGAGGCAAAAGTTGAGCGAAAAATAGTGTTTTTGCGGTTGTTTTGCAGAAATTCCACGAGTGATTCATGGTGAAATGGCATCAGTGAAGACTGAGCGTGACACTGAAGATGCAGATGATTGTGAAGAGGTGTATTTGTACCTTGATTTCAACTCAATTCCCCTGACCGATGAACTCAATGAGCCTAACCTCACACTCAAGATTGTGGGCATTGAAAGTGAAAATCCAGTCGTGCAGATAAATAATAAATTTTTCCAAGGTATGATTTTGCATGTCGAGGTGCTGGCATTGGAAGTGGATGAGGTGTTAATTTGAGTGGCATTTGCAGGAGAGTATGAGGACACGGTTGGCACACACTTGTTCTTCGAGGAAGATCCCGACCATCATGAGCAACAGGATCCGCTGTACAGCAGGAACCCGAGGACAATGTTCAAGTACGTGAACAAGAGCAACAAAGCGCTGATGATGCGGAGAATTTTCCTGGAGTCGCGAGAGAGTGAGAATACGTCCAGCGATGCGATTCCGGTTGAGAATTCAGCAAAATATCAAGTGACAATGACTTATCAAGACACTCTTTGTCAGCTTCTCAAGCCCGGACAGATTCCGCCAAATGTGCTCAGCGACTGTCTGGATGCCAAGATAAAGTCCACACAGGAAGAGACTGAGGAGCATCAGGATCTGGAGTCCCTGGAGGACAGGAAGCATAATCCTTTATAGACTCTTTTGTCATGGAATACACGCTCGAGGAGCTCATTCATATCCCGGAGAAGACTGTGTTATCGGAATTTCATAAATAATTCAAGCAATTGTGACATGATTGCATCGCCAGCGGGCAAAAAGGGCGACCGGGAAAAATCAATAGGGGAGCCGAGAGGAGAGCTCGAGAGAGTTCAACGTTCCACATCGTAAATCAGCACCCACCCGGCGCCTCCATCCAACTGAGGAGTGCTTTGCGCTCTGGAAATTGTTGCTACATCTTCCGCCCCTTTCGGCGCATGGCAAAGTTGTCCAGTATCATTGATACTTTTCACTCCGCACACACACACACACGCGCGCCCAAAGACTGAAAGCTCGCATCGGCACTGCTTCCTGCCTCTCTGGCGACTCCGGAGAGGAAGTGCGGTTGTGTTTGTGTGACTGGAAAGGACTCTTTTTCCGAGGCGAAAAGATACTGTGAGAAGTTGTGTGGCATCTCGAGTGGAAAAAGCATTTTTCCGCTGTCGGTGTGTGTGTGTGTGTTCGTGGGGGTGCATGGACGACAAATGGTACAGTTCTCATCTTGGGCTTTTCCCACGGAGCCGCGGAGGAAAATCAGTTCTGGGTGGAGAGAGACAAAGGGAGCACATGTCTAGTGTCTAATTCTCACTGAACTTGAGTGAATAGTATTCTCTCCAGTGCCACAGTGTCGCGAGAAGATTCGTGCGCGCCCCCCCAGAGTTCATTTCCCTCTCGCCGGAAGCGCCTCTGGGTTTGCAGCGGAGTTCGGGCGCTGCAGCATCCCCAAAATACAGACACACTCTTTAAGTGAATTAGCAATTAATTATTGAGTTAATTTTATTATCGAGTTTTTCACTAATAAGATTTTATGCTTAGGCGTTTGCGTGTTATTTGGCAAATAAGCAATTTGCATAGTGATAAGGGTAGCGTGTTGGAGATTGAAGGAGCTAAATAGTAGCAATTTAGTGTGTACAAATAGTGCAAAAGGACTCTGTACAAAAATGTCCCCAAATGTGGACTGAATTTGCTGAAGAATTCTCCCAGGAAAATCAATACAAATGTTTCCGACTTTCCAAAGAATTCCAGTGAACTGAAATCTTCTTCGCAAGACTGACAATTCTGGGCGAATATGGAGAGGATGTGGCGGAAGGTGAACCAGGGATTGTCAGGACGCGCGAGTGGCAAGCAGACGCACCATCAATCCACGGAAACCGTGAGCTCGGCGGGATTTGGTGAGGCGCAGAATGTCGTGGCGGTCGCCGGCCGGGCCCCAGTCAGGACGGAGACGATGCCTGTGCGAGAGGCACTTCCTGTCACGTCGGACAAGCGCAAGAGGCGCCGCAGGAAGAGCCGGCCGCGGCGCACAGGGTGAGATACACTCTAGAGTCTTCGCCGTGGCGATGGGAACTGATGATTTCAAATTCTCTCGGCAGGAGATCTTCCGAGCGTGGCGCTCCACCGGTTACGCAGCCACTTCCGCCGCCGCCGCCGGGGGCGGACGCCTCTCTGAAGCAACGCGCTGTCGCCAAGCTGAAAATGTTCAATTTCCACTTGAATTGGGATCTCCATATGACGCAATGCAAGCCGTGCGGGTGAGTAATTTGCCGTCTGATGATTCTGTGCCCGCGACACGTCCTGCTAGTGCGTGGAAGGCCACACTATAATCCGTTCGTTGACTGCATTTTGAATGAATTCATGATTAATTCACTTTCGGGACTCAGATTTAGAATCAATGGTTCTATTATTGAACGCTCATTGGCAAATGATAGATTCACATGCATGAATTCATTCACTGATTAATTATGTGCGCTATTTCCTTCATCACTTCATTTGGATCTATTTTGATTGGTATTGCTATCTTTGTAACGATACAATCTTCATTATGGTTTTAAATAAACTCAATCACTTTGCGTACATTTAAATAATTTAAGTTTCAATGATGTAATTGTTTTCTTTTATCTAAAGACTAGTTAAATGTGCCCCAGAAATTTCTTAATTGATCTTCACTGAATCTGTTTCATTCTCTAACATTTTGATGCCGGTTTCGGCCGCATGACGTAACGCTATCGCGTAAAATACACTGTTTTATGTATGTGGATTTGAATATTTTAGCACTACGTGCTTTTCCTTCATCAAATGTGGATTGAGGCGCGAGAGCAGTCTTTTAATAACAGCAAAACCACGTGTTCGAGCCCTGCGCGAATGTCCCTTCGCAAGTCTCTTCTGAATTACACCCACGCAGTTAATCTCTCCTGCGTCCTCCAGAGCCTCACGTAAAATATTCAATGAATCCCCAGCGGGAAAAGGGGATGAGGCTCTATAAATTCCGCATTGATGGCATCTACGCAAAAAAGTTGTTCAGCGTGATATTTTTAATGGGCGTGTTTTTATCAACAAAAACCGTGCGTCCAAAAGAGTTTCAGGGTGAAATTTGTAAATGGTCAATATTGGAGCTCTATGGCGACAACAAATTCGATTTGCTGTTTGATATTTTCGCAGCAAGAAATGAAAAGTGACTCGGATGGCGCCAAGTTTTCTCTCCCACACTCTCTCTCCCTCTCTCACACGAGTACATCAATGTTTATCGCGAAAAGTACTTGGGCAGACGCTTGGGAGACGCGCTGAGGGGCGAGCAGAAGGCCTGTGACTCACATATTTTGCCAATATGTTCCACATTCTCGGGTGGGCGAATTGAGGGGTCGCGCGATTGGATGGGAAGAGATAAGGACTCAATATTTCTGAATGTGTTTCCATGTAGCAGTCATTTCGCGGGGAAATCCTCCTGGGAAAATCAATTTCTTAATCTTTTCATCTCTGCGCTCCAGTTCCTGTGCCACACATGCTACACAATTAAATGGTCGGAAAAGGAGTTTCGGGCGTGTGTGTGTGTGTGGCAAAGAATTGCCATGTCATGGTGAATCCGGTGAATAGATTTCCTAAACGTGTTGGCTTTTGAGTGACTCCTTGAGAAATGAGTTTTCACATCGAGGAAAAGTCACTTTGTTGACTCTTGTGAAATATTTGATGTGAAAATTCAACAAGTTCTTTATCCAACGAGCTGTTATCACTTAAAGAGCGCCATTCTGTCGATTTTTCACGTCAATTTGCCCGTGCAAAATTCTTTTGTAAGTGAGAAAAAATGGCAATTCAACAGTTTCATTTCTGTCCAAGCATAGATGTGTGATGCATATTGAATATTTCATGAAATTGCCAATAGTGTCTTGGCAGCAGCGAAGATGGAAATCATCTGAAAGCTTTACACAATGGATGTTTCTGCTGAATAATGCGATGCTCTTTCAATTTGATCACGAAAACTTTTGGGAGCACGTACAGAATTGCATGAATATTTGTTGTGTTTCTTTAGTTTTTCATGTTTGACTTTTGGGTGAGAAGAAGAAGAGATTTCGCGTGTATATTTGGACATGGAATTGAAGGAGTTTGTCTTCTTGTTTTCCATGCATTTTTCAGACCTCGCTCCGCCGGGAATATCCTGACGCGACGTCTGTGTCGCAATCGACGACGTGACGACAACGAACTCTACCGCTCTAATAGCTTCAAGTTCGAGAGATTTGACCGGAAGGAGGGACAGGAAGTGGGCGGATCTGAAACACTGCCAAAGCAGGTGAGTCACTCTGTGCGGATTCCCACGCTTTTTAGCTTCCTTATCGCGCCAGCGACAGCAGATTGATAAGCTCTCGAAGCTTCAATACCTTTCATCGATCAATCTGCCACCTAGAGTTTTCCACGAATTTTCCTTGCGGGTTGGTATCCGTGATATCGCCACGCACGGCGGATTTTCCCCTCAATAGAGCTTTCTTAGAAGCCAAGTCGGCTCAATCGCAATGCGTCGTATCGGGCGGAAAACTACGTACATATTTCTCAGAATGGGTATTATTGATTGCGTGGTAATTCAATTTATCCCCGTCTCAATCCATTTGTCTCACGGATATTAATTCCCTGCTTATTGTGAGTGACACTTCTGGACTGAAATCCAATCCGCATGTCTTGTTGATTATGTTTAAACACAGCACACGAGCTTAATGCCTTTCCGCTGGTGTATTGAAAGTTTTGTTGTTAGAGAATTAGTTTCACTCAATTGTACAGCGTGAAAACTTTCCGACGCACAGTCATTACATGTTGGATTTCCTCACAGTTCATTTTCATGGATTTTCTCTGCTGACGCTGCGGAGGAAGGAACCAAAATCTGTCCGTAAGTTTCCTCTCACAGCATCACACAGTGGCGAAAACTTTTTGCGCACGGGCTTAGAAAGGGGGTGAGCTTTGGGAGGGAAGACCAAATAGGAGGGTGAATTTGAGACGAGAGAGAGAGAGCGAGGATGAGATTCACAGAAGCACACATAATGCATTTTTTTCCCTGCTTCCGCCCAATATGTTGACTCTGGATCTCGCAGGAAGATGTATAGCGGCAATACAACTGCTCTCATGTGTGCAATACAATTGAAATGGTATAAAAGTTGGGATTTTAAATTTCATAAATTATTCATTTTATTCTAAATCAACACGGAATAGACAGAAGGAAAAATCCTGCACTACTGGGAATTTATTAACAGTTCGCATAAAAGTGTGCAAACTTTTGGGAATTGAATTTATATTATTATAAACTCTGTGAGAAGATTGATCTTTAAGCAAGTCAAACTGACTTAAATTCATGCTTGGTTAAGTGTATATTTATTTAAGGAAGCATAAGAACATAAACAATAAGCAAGACTCTTAAAATGTCATTGTAATTAAAATAAAAGGAACATGAAAAATAGCAGAAAAAAGTGTAATAAAGAGAATTTTTGACTTAATCATTCAGTGCAAAGCTTTAGAGATTGGAAACATTTGCATACCTTCATTGGCATTGGACATCAGAGTGCACGGAATGTAATTTAATGCTGAAAGCTATTTCTATTCAATAGATAATTGAAAAATTTAAGCTTACAATAATTCTTTCGCAACGACTCTTTGTTAATCCACCGCAAAGGAATATATTCAGAAAGACAATTAACGCCTGAGGTGCATCGCACGTGGGTATTAATGAGTTAACGTCTCCAGTCGCAGACATTCAATACAATCACCCATTAGAATTGCTGAAGATGTCGTTGAGAAAAGCTCTAATCACAGCCTGAACGAGGAAAGACTCCTCCATTCTCACCCTCTGGAAAGTCTTCCAACAAGGGATTTATAATTGAAAATGATTCTCACACCATTCGACGTCCTCGATTCAAATGACACTTCATAACACACTCCAATCCTCTTTCACCGAAAAGCCTTTCAAAAGAGATACACGCGATTTAACTGAATGGCTCTTATTTGACTTTTCATTATACCTGCGCTGCACACACATTTTCAGCTTTCAGTGCGCTGAGGTAAACCACAGTCAAATTGTATGCCTTTCAATCCCACTTGCAGCACTGAACTTCATTTGCTGTGTGGCTTTTTTTCCCAACCACAAGTGACAATTTCAGTCAAACTACCGCATGTCACGTTCAAGGAGAAGGTTTTTCCTCCGGTGAAACACAGCGAGAAAAAGAGCACATCACGAGTGGGATGTAAATAAATTCATCAGTGGGAATAGATGGGGAAAAAACTTTGAAATTAGTTACATTTGGCAAATTGATTAGAATTACTCACGCGAAGCTTTTTCATTCTCAATTTCCTTCCTCGGCACACCATTTGTCTCTCTCTCTCAACAAAATGCGAAGGGAAAAGTGAGGAAAGCTCTGGATTAAGGCTTCAATATGGCTCAGATGTTTTTGGTGGACACGAGAAGATTGAAATACACTCTGCTTTACTTGTCATCTTAGGAAAGCGCACCAATCGTTAGTCAGTCTGCGGAATGAAATTTGAATCTTTGGGGAAAGCAGTGTGTATTTCATGCATAAATTTAATTTTTACCCTCCTTGGCTTACAAAGAGGGTTTTGAGTAGTACAAAAAGATTATAGAGTTTTCTGCCATCGACTTTCCAATTGAATAATAATGCACAAAAAAGAACCTGAGACAGACGCTATGAGAATAACTCAGCATTGGATTTTGTGTAGGGCGATTAAAGGGATGAGCAGAAGCCATCGTGAGTGGGTGAGAAAGTAAAAGTCACTTGAGTGACCGGAAAAGGAATCTAATTTGAATTTGAAAAGGCATGAATTCACTTTGAGGATAAAGGACTTCACGAGGGTGACATTTTTATATCTCCACCGCAAGTCATCGTCAAGAGAATGAGGAATATATTGTGACGAGATATCACAGAAAGAGAGAGAGCTTTCAATGGAGCTCAGTGGGATTTTTCCAGTATAACTTGCAAATGGAAACTTGCGATGAAGGGAAAACTTAAAATTTATACCTTTAATATAATATTTCCTCTGGGACTTTTTGGGGTTGAAATATTTAAATTTTCCGAAGCGAGAAATGTAAATTAAACAGCAATTTAATGAATTTTCATCGGCATTCAAATTCAATTTCATGTAACATGCTGTTCATCGTGCGGAGGCATCAATTTGTGTGCGTCTGGAAAATTAACTTTCAAACTTAATGGGAAAGTGTATTGAAATTTGCCGAAACACCACATCGCCCCCGAAGCAATAACGTAATGTGAGTTGATTGTTGTGGGCGGAGGGGGAATTATTGGGAAAGAATTTTCCCGAAGAAACACTCGGCAAATGGGATATTAATTGGCCGCAACATATTTTTCAACTACATGGCGATTTAAGTACCTTCAGAGCATTGAATTGTGGGTAAAATGTGAATATATGGAAAAGAAAGGCTGCGCCTCTTTCCCAGCAACTTGACAGATTCACTCACAACACACACCCTGTCTCACTCTCTAACCGTATAATGTAAGACACATCATCTGAGTATCCATAAATACTCATCCCACCAGCCGAACGCCTTCCATTGAATACGGGAATGTCAGAACTAACAAATATTGAACGTGGCAATAGGTCGTTTGTCAGACAACACCCGCCAGGATTAATAAAGATGAATTAGTCTCGCCTCCACTTTGAACGTACTCCATTTGACGGTGATGCATCATAAATATTAAGTTTCACGGAAAAAAAGAGAGCCCAGGAAGAAGGAGAATATTGTGTGGATATAATGGAGTCTGGGGTGCCATTTTTGTTTCTCTATGTCATCTTCAAAACGTGGTAAAATTCCTTAAACGACCCCATAAGCAATATTATGATATTGGCTCTTTCCGCCTTCAATTCACTCATATATTGAATATTTAATTGCCCGGGAAAATCAAATGTTGACAGAGTGAAGTAATTTCGCTGGAGAAAAATCCGGAAGAAAAAATAAAGATTGATGTCGAAGAATTTGCTTATCACATCAAAGAAGATTAATTTCTTAAATGTCTAAATGAACAATGTGAATTTCGACGCAAAATATATTTTGTAATTCACGTTATTTTGATCACTGTCACACAGTATTTTAATAGTATTCTGTCTCTTTTTTTGGGAAGTCTTTGTTTTTGCTCACTTCGGGTAGTGAAGAATCTGAATACGTTTTCCTGTCAGGCCATTATTTTCAATAGAGGGATGAAGTGTCTGCTGAAAGAATGGGGCACTTTTCTGTCTCCTAAGGATTTAGCTTTCATTTTAATTATTATCTTGTCGTCGCTTAGTGGGGTGCCTCGCAGCAAATCGCCTTTCGGCAGATATTCGTAATGTTACGATAAACTTAGGGGAGGTAATAAAATGGAAAATCCTCCAATTGCAATGATTTCCAGTTGGGAGTCTTGACAATACAGTATTGATTTGTGATTTCATCTTTCCAGACGAGGGATAGAAATGTGGTATTTATGAGATTTTATGGGAAGATGATGGGGATTTCATATTTTGCGTGCATGCACGCATAGTTTCCCCCCCAATTACAAGTCATACACATTCGATTTGCTGAACATGTTGTGCTGAAGGAGGTGCAAAAACACTTCTCAACCTCTGGGGATTTAGCTTGACGGACTTGACTGTTTTTTGTGTGTGTAGAAATCTGTTCAGTTGCTTAAAGAGAGTGAAATGTGCTTCCTTTGTCATTCACAGTAAAACTTTGCACACACTTTCACTGGATTTGTGAGCGAGAGTTTGAGGGTGGCGCGTGAATTTTATGAGTTTTATTTCGCCAGAGAAGATGCAAAAACACCCTGCATGTGCGCAGATGATTAACTTGATCTCCTCTTGCCGTGAAGACAGTGGATTCTGCAAATGCGGGAGATTGTGAGATTCATTACACCTGACGCTCTCATGAAATACACCTCATTTTCTGCCTCGTGTAGGAGTTTCTCAGTGGAAAAAAAGTCATTCTTTGTACTGGATTTTCATTTCCTCTGGTCTTTGTTGGATTTCCTGGAGGAGAATTTTCAATTTTCACTGGAGAAATCTCACGAGAAGTGAAGCGCAGAGGCGTTAATTGAATGGAAGGTGAATCTTCACTTTATCACCGCAAATTAGGATCTGGTGGATTTTGGTCGATCTGGAGTAAATATTTGCTTTATCCCCTCATTGAGTCTGAATATATTTCGCCGATAATATTGTGAGAAAGTCGCGCGTAAATGCTATTAAGCATTGTCTCCTCCTCGTGAGCAATATTGATACAGTCACTCGCACAAGAGGGGCTGTCGAGGCGTTTTGCATAAACACAAATAGACGAAATAGGGCCAATATTTGGGCCTTTGTGTCTTGTGTGTCACATTGGCGATGGGCGGCGGGTGGCGGGCGAAGCAGAGGTGACATACTCGTGGGGATGGGGTGGAAAATATTGCTCAGTGGTTGGTATGAAGGATTTTGAGTACCCCTTCAATAACAGCGGGTGGTTGCCTTTTTTGCCTTCCTGAGTCGACGGGATAAAAGGCGTTGTAATAAAAGAGAGAATAAAAATCTCTTCTGTGGTGAAAAGAAATAATCTGAGCAATATTGAATCCCTATTTCTTCAGCTCCCTTCTGTCTCTCTCGCTCATTGCTCTGTATGTGCGATATGCATAAAGTCATGAATTACATTTTCGTCTGAGGATTGCAATGAAAATCTCCAGGATTCAAATCGTCCTCCCAAGGAGGAATTTAAATGATTAATATTGGCCGTCTGGAATCGTTTAATTATTCCCCCTTTTAGATATTCTGTCCACCTTTTGAATGGGGAATTTTTCTAAATTCAGACAACGTAACCAAATCCTTTATTCCTCTTCTGCATTTCCCAATTTAACCAACTCCTCGGACGTGAATTTTTTACCAAATTGTATTATACAATTTGGCATTTTTATCCGCGAGTGGTGGAAAGAGGTGGAATGAGGCTTTATATAATTTGATTTCTCAACTTTTAATTCAGTAGCGACAAGTCCACAGACTTAATCATAGGACTATTCTAATTTAATGAAAGGGCAATTTAAATTGCCGATATAAAATGAGAAATGCTTGCCTCACTCAAGTTAGCAGAAGCCTTATTTCTGCCTAACATTTATGGCAAATTGTCACCTTTGTAGAATGTATTCAAAATCAATTGAATCGTACATTGTTTGATGAGTGTTTTTTTTGCTGAATTTCGCGACTTTTGCTTTCCGTTGTTCTTCTAAATTTGCAGTAATTATAGATTGTGTCCATTTGCTGAATGTGAAGACTTATGAAATCTGCCTTTTAATAAAGTACCAACGAAGATTTCTGCTGATTACTATCGAAATCATCATGTGTGGCGCGCGTGTGTTTGAGAAGAAAATATATGCAAAGTAATGGCAAAGAATTTAAATGCCAATTTTCATAACTGCAAACAATCGCCAATGATCAGGCCTTGTACTACATAAATTTTTTCCAAGTTGAAGGCATTTCCGCAACGAGAAAAGAGTGGATTTTCTATCAGTTTGTCTCTAAGTATTTTAGTATCGAAAAGTATTTGCTATAATTGTTTTAAATTACATAATTTACACAAAGGCGTTTGTCATCTCTATTCTTCCACTTGAGGAGTATTTGTGTGGGATGAGTGCGTGGCTCTTAGTAGTGGTATCCCGTCTGGGGGTTGAAGGACTGGCGGGCGCTCTGGACGGCCGGAGGAAGGTACTGCTGCTGGGTGCGGGCGGATTGCGGGAAGCCCTGTCCGGAGGGTCTGTACTGGCCGTCGTTGTAGCCCTGCTGTGGCGTCCTCGCGGCGATGGCCAGGGACTTGGCGATGGCCTCTGGGATTGGAGGTGGAGTGGGCAGGTGATCGCCGACAGGCTGGAAGCCGTTGGCGTCAGCCCTGTAGCTCACAGAGTAGGTCTTGCCGTCATCGCCAGTGTAGGAATAGGCGCCGGAAACCACTTGCTCGGACTGATCAGTGCCGAAGTTGTTCACGTGTCCCTGCTCCTGGTGCATGATTCCGTTACCGGTGGCATAGCTGAGAATCAGGGAAAGTTAGCAGGGCTGTAGATGGCAGAATCGCGCTAGGAAACTCACTCGAAATCATAACTGCCGTCGCCGGCGTTGACGTTGTTGCTGAAGCGCAGGATGGGGATCTGGGGTCCGGCGTTGTACTGCTGTGGCTGGTATTGTCCCTGACCGCCGAAGTTGGGCTGGGCGCGGAACTGGGGCTGGTGCGAGGCGCCAGCACCGGCGAAGGCGCCACTTCCAGCGCCGCCAAATCCGGCAGAGTGGCGGAAATTCTGGCCGCCGGGCGGCAAGTACTGGTTAGATGGCCGAGGGCCCTGCAGGAAGGGCGATCCGCCGGCGGACAGGGCATTGCTCGGTGGGGGAATGTAGCCATTTCCCAGATGCGCGGCCGAAGTGGCGGCAATCACAGAGGCGATCACAATGAACTGTAACACAAGTGCAGTACAGGAAAACCACTCGTTGGAGTGTGGCGCGCAAATCTTACCAATTTCATCTTCGAAGCTATAAAATACAATAATCTTATGCGAAACACTCTGGCGAGTTCACACTTCACTGGGCGAAGGTGCACGAGAGACTGATGCTAGTGTCTAAGACTCCATCCGATTATATAGCCACCTCGCAACCCGGAGATGCCATCTGAGAACTCTGCGCGCGATGAAAAAGTGATCGTCATGGAGAGGAGATCCCTCCATCATATTTGCACGCGCTCCGAACTGTGGCAGCAACACTCTTGTGTACACACACAAATCATAAGGCGCTATTATGCTTGATCTGGGAGATGGGAAAAATTGCCCGTACACACATTTACTCTAGGTCACCAGAGATTTTGTGTACAGCATCGTCACCTCTCACTTCTCACCTATCGCGGAATGATGATGATTCACTACCCCAGTAGCGCACTGGGAATGTGGAGGTTAATTCGATGCTGATCTCTGTGAGAATAGAAGTTCACGAGTTAAGGCTTGACTTCTCGAATTCATTTAAGAAACTTACAGCTTAAAGCTGTGAAGCTAGCAAGCTCGAGAGGAGTAAAACTGTGCCATGAGCTTTCTTTTGAGCAGTTATGAGCATTTATATGTTGCATTGAGTTGTTAATTACACCAAATCCGCATTTAATCGTCTCTTTTTTCATTCTAAGTTGAATACTTCATTCAAATTTAGGTTTTTTATACGTTTGAAATGCCTGAAATAACGTCATGCTGACTTCTTTTCGCTACTTGGGCACCTAAATGCGACTTACTTTAACGGAAAAGGACGTCGCTTGGGGAATTCTTCTCACATTTCATCTCATAGAGTTGGCTTTGAAGTCTTCATTACGAAGATCCTGGTTTAAACAATTACTTGTATTTCCGTTTTTTTGCCATTAGAGGCACTAGTCACGATTCTTGCCAACAAATCACGCCCAAACTTTGAATGATGCGAAGATTCTCATTAATAACTCTAAAATATGAGCATTTATCTGGTGTTTTATTTCCTCTAATAAGCGTCTGCTTGTATCAATAGAGCTCTGATCGGACAGAGTCTCGCGTGTTTGTGTTTGAAGAAGGTGTTTGGAAGTTAATTGAAGTGCGGAGCAAATGCTAATTGTTGGCTTCTTTTTGTTTCTCACTCCTCTTGTCTACTTATCTCGCAGACAATTTCAATCAATTACATTTCCTACCTTCATCGGTCGCTTACATGCCCAAGATTTTCGGCTGTGTGCTCATTAGGGAGCAGCGCCGCATGCTAATGACGAGGCACAGTCATGCAGAGGACACCGTGGTAATTTAGTGATGGTGCTGAGCAGAGCAGATTCAGAGCTCTCGACATGGGGTCAGATCGTGGGTCAAATCGGTGGATTGTGTCGAAGTGTTGTGAGCAGATAAATTGCAAAATTTTAATTGAATTGTTAGAAAGGAATGCACACTTTTATCATCTCAAATGCCTATGGGGAAAAATTGCTTTTCCTCATATTTTTCCACCTTAATTTCATACAAGTAATTCCTGACACGCTAAAATGGACTTCGGTGGAAATTTAATTTCAGGGCAATTTGCAATTTTTCATCAGCTGTTGAAATGTGTTTGAGCTGAAAAGTGGTGAAATGGTGTATTATAGTTATTGCTAACATCACACTCTGGGCGGCAATTATTGCAGAAGAGTTTAATGGCGAGCCGAGATGTCCAAAATTCATCCTTGTATTTTTATTATATCATAACGCTGGCAATGTTGGGCGTTAAATTACAAGTGCTCATGCATTTTCGTGCAATATGCAGAAGCATCAGATGGCGAATGAGGACGACTATTTATGATTTGGGTGTGTTGGGCGCAAGTGGAGTGAACTGGACAATGGATAGATATAATGGAAAATTTGCAGCATACGGTAAATCGTCAGATATGCAAATGTTCTCTTTCTTGTCGACTTTGACCACAGTTTCCCTCGTGTGTGTTGTGTGGCTTAAATGAATATTTAAGTTTTCCATATAATCGCATTTATCATCTGGAGCTTCTCCAGAAATGAATCTCCCCATATATTTTGCAAGAATATAATTAGGAAAAGGAAGGTGGAGAAGAGAAGCTATACATCTTGCGCTGTTGTGTACGTGAGACAAGGGAGAACAGTGACTTGCATCACTGACAAGAACGCTAAAGTGTTTCGCTTTTTCCGTCTCCGCACTTGACGGACTTTCATCTATTATCGTGCCACTGGAGGATTTTTCAACTCTGTCTGGCTTTCTTGTGATCCTGCGAGACAAATGAAGATTTTATTTGCAATCTTCCAAAGTGCTGTGAAAGTGAGACGACGATCAGTTCAGTGTCTCTCTTATCATTGTTTGCCTCGGCGCTTTGTTATTATTACAACTTGGTCAATGGTGCAATTTTTATGGGCGCAAATTAACTGTGGGCGAGGAATCAGAAAAACACACAGCGAAGGTTTATGTAATTTGCTAGCAATGAGTGATATTTATCGAATTATTGTTCGTCTGCTGTAACAATACAGAACCCAAAATCAATGACAAATTTTCATGCTCATTAGCATAATACTTGCATTTTTCCATGGAAAAGCCGCTCACGATATCGCGATGAGATTTGGATACTTAACAATAAGATTGTCTCAGAAAAATAGAGACAATAAAGAAGTTAATTATTGATTCAGTGTTGAAAGATTTCATTGATTTTATGACCTCGAATCTATACAATTTGCACTGTGCATTAAGGAACCATAATCCATCATTACTTAAAATCACAACTCCAAACAGAAACGAACGCGAAAGTCTGCTAGTTTTCCTCTCTCATTACTGCATTATAATGAATCATTTGCATTGAACACTGAGTTAAAGTCTATCAATCGATAAACACTTGCTTGATTGGCACATGTTCCAAGGAAGTTTCTCTCTGCATTTCATTCTCCAGTGACTGTGATTTCAAGGAAATGGCCAAACACTTGTTCCTCCACGTCGAAGACAGCAAATACGAGAGTCACAAGTGAGATTCATTGCAGTGAAGTGTGATTCAACATAGGGAATGACGAGCGCTGCACGGTGAAACTATCTTGCCCAACCACCGAATAAAATCGCCAAGAAGTGTAGGGAATGACAAATGCATGGGGGACGAAACACCCTCAAATTGTGAAGCCAAGTCGTCATTCGAAAGATGAGAGGAGAACTCGCAAGGTATCCGTTTTGCAGTCCACGCTCAAGTGTCTTGTGTGCAATAAATAAACGTTGCCTGGCACTCGCAGAGAATTCAATTGGGCTCAACGGGGAGGGACAAGGGTTTCCTGCGGGGATGCTGAATTGAAAGTGTGCACGAACAAGTGCGTGCAGAACGGTAAAAATCTTATGACAAAAGTTATTGGTGTATCAATTCGTGTGACGTCTTATTAATAACTATCTCGGGTGAGAATGTTTGATCTATACCAAATGGGGGACAATAGGAAAAAGGCGGAAAAGGGGTTGAAGAACTGCGGGTGGATTGCCCTCATTTAACCCTTAAGCGGCTTTTCTATGCATTTTTTTCCTCACACGATGTTGAGACAAATGAGAATTGCCACATCGAGAAGCAACCTTTCGGTCATTAACTCAACTGTATTTCATTTTACAGCCCTTTCGTGTGTTGGCAATTATTTGCATTTGTTTACCACCCACAGGAGAAATTAAATAAAATAGGCACAATTTTTTTGCAAGCAAATTATACATTATGCTTTTTTGATAAAATAGATGCTCTGCAATGTGATATCACATTGAATTTAATGTATTTATATGCGCTCGTGCGATGAGCTGAAGGCTCTGGAGAGATTGTTTGATTTGGGCATTTTTGGAGTGAAAACTTTATAATTCAATCAATGTGGCCAAATTGAATTTTCATTTTTTCTTTAGGAAGCCCCAATTTGGGCTCAATTTCAAATTGGTCGATTCAGCTTTTCGTGAGTGTTTTCGTACGAATGTTCGAGGGTATTGTTCGCGGCGGGGCGCTTCTATGTGAGGAGTTCGCTTTGCCACCAGAGAGGGCCAGAAGGGGTGGATTTTTCCGACATGGGAAGCACACTCCATGATACTGTCATCGATCGAAATTCCAGCTCTCTCTCGCCGGGGCGAGAGAATTCTCTCTGTGCGGCACAGGCGCATGTCTTCGCCGAACGACATGCGGACGCCATTGGTGGAAAGTGTCGTAATGCTGGGTGAGAAAAGCGCTTTTCCATCTGCTCTGGCCTTCCATGAGGGTGAATGAGAGCAACGAGAGCGCCGAGAGTGGTGAATGAGAGGATTTTCCTGAGTATTTGGTGTGTATGACATCATTGTCTATCTGCAGTATTTCTATAACCTTTCGCGTAGGTGGACATAGGAGAAAAAAAGGAAGTGCGAGTTTTCCTCACAGAACCTGTGCTCTTCTTTTATTCTCTCTCTCCTTATAAACTGACAGAAGCTCGCATCCTGTTCATTTGTGCGCGAATGTTGGTGACGAGAAGAGTTTGTTGTCCGCATATTTCCCACACTCTCTTTTCACTCTGAAACAATACTGAATGACAAATAAGACATTTTTGGTGAAATTATGTACAAATTTTAATACAAGTGATTTGTTACGTAACGTAATTAAGAGCAACACTGGCATTTTTGCATCCCAGTGTCATTTTGACGTGACTTTTGGGTGGCTCGATAGAGAGTGAAGACAGGGAAGAGAACATTCTTGACAAGAACATTCTAAATATTGTACGATTGATTTTCAATTGTCACTCATCTGATAACAAAGGTAAGCACCGCTCCACGCGAAGTCAATTGATAGAAGAAGAAAAAAAATGATCGAAATTTGCCTTTTATCTCCGCCCAACAACCTCCTCTCAATTGCGACTGACTTTTCCCATGACGACGACTCGTGATGACTCACTCGAAAATGTAGTGTTGACCTACAAAACGCGCCTCGTAACACAGCCACACGGTGGTGTTCTCGGCTGATGGGGAGAAGGAAAAGCGAAGGTTGCCACTTTTAATGATGGGGTCACGAATATATACTACAAAATTTTCCACATTGCCCTGCATTTTCACGTGGCGACAGACAGAAAGCGAGTGTTTTATCATTTCCTTTGCCTATTGCACCT